AGTTTCGTGGCCCATACATGGTTCCTGTATTGTGTGTGTGTGTGTGTGTGTGTGTGTGTGTGTGTGTGTTTGTTCCTATTTGTTTCTGTGTGGGGCCTGCACAAAAGGGCCTGGGGACAGAGCACCTGGTGGGGAGTGGGGGGGGGGGCGGCAGGGGGAGGGTACCAGCCCTGCTCAAAGTGGAACATCAGTTTATAAGGAAAGTGAGAAGGCCTGTCTGGGGACGTATTTGTAAATATTTCGAGTTTCACAACCTTCATCCTAACTCCCAGGTCTGTTCTTTACCCTGGGAATCAGCCCCAGCCAGACCCGGGGGGTGAGGCTGTGTTGCAATCTCAAACCCCTGTCCTCCAGGCGGGAGAGAGCTCCAGGGGCTGCATACAGGTTTTTCACACAGCAGTCCCGCCTCACCTCTGTCCCCGGTAATCCCTGGTCCCTTTCTCGCCCAGACAGGAATGGCCCCCGAGTGGCCCCCCCAGGTGCGGACCTCGAGCCACCCAAACAAATGCTGGGCGTGGGCAAAACCCCCACAACGGAAACAAAGCCAAAAAAGCAAACCAACACAAAAAGCTCTCCTGTCTGTGGGGCTAGAGCAATAGCACAGCGGGTAGGGCGTTTGCCTTGCATGCAGCCAACCTGGGTTCGATTCCCAGCATCCCAGATGGTCCCCTGAGCACCGCCAGGAGTGATTCCTGAGTGCAGAGCCAGGAGTAACCCCTGAGCATTGCCAGGTGTGACCCCCCCCCCCCAAAAAAAGGAAAAAAAAGCTCTCCTGTCCGTTTAGCTTGATTTTCACGTACAGCTTGAAAGTGATTTCTTCTGATATGTTTCCCCAATGTAAAAACCATGCAGAGGCCACTGCTTGCTGGAGACCGGTGCCTGGGCTGTGGCGATGATGTAGCAGGGAGGTGCCTGCCTTGCACGTGGCCGACCTGGGTTCGAGTCCCACCCCATGTAGGGTCCTGAGCCCACCAGGACTGATGCATGCGTGCAGTTAGGAGCAAACCCTGACCATCAGCGAGTGTGCCCTAAAACTAAAATGAAGCAGGTGCTGGACCACTGCCCAGCTCTGATCTGTACCTCGTTTTCGTCTGTGGAAGTGATAGCTTCTTAGCTCCTGGGCACACTACCATCTGCTTTGTCCAATCTTCTGAACGTTGAAGAATCACAGGCTACCAAAGTTGGCTTCATTTTTTTTCTATGTAAGTAATTTCTTTTAACTCTAGGGAATATTAAAATTCTCAAAGCGTGGGATGGAGAGATTCCTCAAAGGGCTGAGTTGCAGGCGTTGCCGCAGGAAGCCCAGGTTCGATCCCCGGCGCCATCTGGTCCCCGGTTGGAGTTCTTCCTGGCACAGCTCCCTGAATGAGCCCAGTGGCCAAGCGGGCCAGGCAGCTGCTCCAGGAAAAGCTGCAACACCCCCAAACAGCACCGGAAATGACCTCTGGACCAGGAATAGCCCCTGTGCACCACCAGATGTGTTCCCCCGTCTCCCCCCAAAAAAGCAAAGTAAATTAATTCAATACAATTCCAAATGCTGGAAATAGCAACACTTTTTTCCCCATAAACACTCATCTAGGGCTGTCTAGAACAATCTCCACTTGATGTTTAATACCATAGGAGTGTATGAATAAGGAATTGGAATTCCTTAAACGCTGTGATATATGTGTATGAATAAAGAATAAGGAGCATATGAGTACAGAATTGACCACAAAGTGTGACTTTGAGTTTTACGAGCCATTTTTATGGTCTCTGAAACCACAGCTAATCCCAAGCATTTTACAGGTTTTTTTTTCTTTTTAGGTCATATCCGGTGATGCTCAGGGTTTACTCTTGGCTCTGCACTCAGGAATTACTCCTAGCAGTGCTCAGGGGACCATATGGGATGCTGGGAATCGAACCCGAGTCGGCCGCGTACAAGGCAAACACCCTACCTGCTGTGCTATTGCTTCAGCCCCCAACACTTTACAGTTTTTACAGCGGTAGGGCGTTTGCCTTGCACGCAGCCAACAGGGCCGACCCAAGTTCGATTCCTCCGCCCCTCTCGGAGAGCCCGGCAAGCTACCAAGAGTATCTCGCCCGCACGGCAGGGCCTGGCAAGCTCCCCGTGACGTATCCGATATGCCAAACACAGTAACAACAAGGTCTCCAATGGAGACATTACTGGGCCCGCTCGAGCAAATCGATGATCAACGGGAGGGCCTTTACTTTACTTAAATGTTCCCCTGAAGCTACTGTCTCATACCCAAGGCCTGCAGACTCTGTTCTGTGCAGTGGGGCTCAGAGCAACCAGACCAAAACGAACTCAGCAGCAATTCTCAGACAAAGAGGAGGGGACCAAGGAGTGTGAGGTGGCCTGGAGCACGGATGGGGAGTACATCACGGCTCTGATGTTCACATACATACAAGAAACCCCAGGTCTCAAGCCCAAGTTGCTGGTGGCAGGTCCCACTCACAGAACTGTTCTAGGAAGATATGAAACTCCAAAGAAAGCCAGTTCTGGTTCCATCCTAAAGGGGTCATGAAAGACCCATGATTAGTTTTGGCTTTGTTTCATTTCTAGTTTTGATTGAAGCACCACGATTTATACTCTTTGGAGCGATAGCACAGCGGTAGGGCGTTTGCCTTACAAGTGGCCAACATGGCCGACCCGAGTTCGATTCCTCCACCCCTCTCGGAGAGCCCGGCAAGCTACCGAGAGTATCTCGCCCGCACGGCAGAGCCTGGCAAGCTCCCCGTGACGTATTCGATGTGCCAGACACAGTAACAACAAAGTCTCCAATGGAGACGTTACTGGGCCCGCTCGAGCAAATCGATGATCAACGGGAGGGCCTTTACCTTTACCTTTACCATACCTACTGGTGGATTCCTTCCTTCCTTCCTTCCTTCCTTCCTTCCTTCCTTCCTTCCTTGTTTGTACGTTTGGGGGTCACAGTCAGCAGTGCTCCGAGGTTACTCCTGGCTCTGCACTCAGAAATTACTCCCGGAAGTGCTCAGAGTTCTCCCTACACGGGATGTCAGGGATTGAACCCAGGTGAGCCCCGTGCAAGGCAACTGCCTCCCTGCTGTACTACTGTACTATCACGCTGGCCCCATAAACAGTGGAATTCTGCTTCCCCTCCCCCCTTCCTGGCAATTGTCAATCCGGTGGATTTGTTTATTGAGAGGAGAAAGATGAAGTGAGAGGGGTGATGGCCACCTCGGGGTGCTGTCAGTGGGCCGACTTGACTTGCTTCCACTCACTCCCCCGCCTTGCCTGGGTTTGGGGAAACCTGCCCTTCATTTGTCTCGGATGCGAAACGAGCCGGTCAGATCAGGTCTGGTCCAGCTGGAACACGTCTGTTTTCTTACCATGCCCACACACACATGCAGATGGCACCCATGTGAACTGTGTTTGCGGTGGAAGCAGCTGCTGCTTTTATCCTCTGTCAGGCAGAGACAGGGAATAGGCGTCTTGGGGGTGTAGGGAGCCATCTCAGAAGAGTCTCCACCAGCCCCCTCTGTCTGATGCTGCTACGTTCCCACAGATTCTGTTTTGGGGCGGAATGAGCCTGACCTGGCACTGAAATGTGACTCAGAATCCCACTGTGGGGCATCTGGGTAAATTTGTCATCAAGTACAGTGAGCTCGTGTGTCTGTGCAGTTCCCCCGCTTTAAGCTTTTGTCCCCCCCCCACACACACACACCTCTCACCCTATTCCACTTTGGTTTTGGTTCTTGGGTTCTATTTGAGAATCAGCACTGAGGCTCAAATAATTCAAAGAAGTGACATCATCATCCAAAGCGTGTGACATGTTTTCTGAAAAATACAGAAGGTGGCTTGTGTGGAATCAGATACCACGGCAGTCCAAACCGTTTGGTCATTAGCATAAGAAATCACTGAGGTGATGTCACTTTTGGGAGAGTCTCTGCCCGTGGGCAGGGCGTCAAACGGCACTGGCTGGATTTCCCTTGGTGGGTTTGGTGAGAGGGGGCGGAGTATGCCAGGGGGTGAGTTGTGGCATCTAATAGCCTGCAACAAAGAAAGTCTATCCAGATTGTGGTTTAGAGTTTAATGTGAATTTTCTGTGCATACACAGGTTAACAGACCGTTCAAAACTTCCCATTTTGCAGCAACAGTTCTGCTGTGTAATAATGTTTACTGGCATTTCCTGAGAGGCCATTCAGGTGTTAAACCGTGGGAAACGCTCATTGTCCCGAGAAACAGGTTGGTCCTAGAAAGGAGTTCATAAAAATGTTACCGGTGGTAGTGCATTTATTCAAGTTGTCATAATATTAGTAAAACTGATTCTCTAGTGTTAGAAAGTACGCATACTTATTCCGTATCATGTGTCATAAGAACTCGTTATACATACAAACTCATTCGCCATTTCTACACTTTCATTGGAAAGTTTTTTTTTTTCATCAAATCTACTTACTGAAAATTTCAAATTCTCCGTCTGATCGATTAGCATTCCAGTTTCTTTAAATCCCTTAAGTTGATATGAGTTATTGAGAGTTAGTAATTACCGTTTTGCCGCCATTCCCATGCCCTCTGCCCCGATCATTACGTCACATTTTCAGAAGGCGCTTTACAATAGCTCAGCCTTTGGTTAGGGGGCTGGACCTGGCTATGCGTCTTCCTAAGCAGAATTCTTTGCTCCGGAGCTTTCGATCAAACGCACCGACCCCGACTGATCAGAGCAAGTTGACAATAGCATGACGGCCGATAACATAAGACATGACAGCGAGAGACATTATTAGACGGTTACTCATCTCTCCGGACTCTGCAGATGAGGAGTGCTGTGGGGGTTGGGCTCCACGGGAGCTGACCGTTCAGCCCTCCCAGAGCGTTTAGATGCTGGAACCGTGGGGTTCACGTCTGTGGCCACACTGTATTTCTTCCAAGAGTCGTGGCTCTTAGCTGCGTCTTTGCCGGTCGCTGCGTGGACAGTCTCACAAGCTCCTTTGGGGGTTGGGGCTTGGGCCACCCGTCGCCCACAGAACCCTGCCCTGGCCTCCCGTGAGTCTACATGGGCGTCTCTTCGCTCGGGTCCCCCCGGTTCTGCCCCTTTTTCCTGTTTCCCTGGGGCGGGGCCGTGGCAGACCCCCTGAGCATGCTCACCAAGGAGTTTTTGAAGGACTTGCAGAGGAAGAAGTAGATGAAGGGGTCGAGGCAGGCGTTGAGGGACGTCAGCCAGAGCGTGCTCTCCTTCAGGTAGAAGAGCGTGTTCTCGGCCGCGCAGTCGAAGACGTCCCGCGTCTGGCTCAGCGTGTAGGGGATGCGGGCGAAGTGGAAAGGCACGAAGCAGACGAAGAACACGGCGATGATGATGAAGACCCGGACATTCACCCTCTTCCGGGGGGGCTTGCCCAGGCCCCTGGTCCTGACGTACGAGCGGTACAGCTCCTTGGTGATGAGGGTGTAGCAGACGATGACGATCAAGAAGTTGATCCAGAAGATGACCTGGCAGACGTAGTTGACGATCTCGTGCCAGACCAGCCCGAACTCGGTCTTGAGGAAGGAGCACTTTTTTATGTTGCTGTCCCGGGGCCGCCTGCTGGTGAGGATCATGTTGGGGAGGGACAGCAGGAACATGAAGGCCCAGATAACCACCGAGAGGATCTTGGCACCCAGGAGGTTTTGGGGGTTGGAGGTCTTGAAGGGCCTGGTGGTCTTCTGGTAGCGGTCGATGGTGATGAGGCCCAGGAAGGAGATGCTGATGTACATGGTGAAGTAGAAGACCACCGAGGTCACCTGGCACACGAAGGCCCTCAGGGGCCCCGCGCCGAGCTTGGCATCACTGAGGATCTTGAAGGGGAAGGTCAGGATCATGAGGAGGTCGGAGATGACCGTGTTCTTCAGGAAAATGATGAAGTTGGACTTGCTGCGGATCTGGAAGAAGATCCTCATGGCCAGGCTGTTGGTGACCAGGCCAACGAGGAACAGGACCGTGTAGAGCAGCGGGAAGAGCACCTGGGTGACGTTGTAGTCTCTGGCACACAGGCTGGCATTCCCGGGGGCCCCCGTGAGGTTGTCCATGGCTCGGCTGCGCCTGCGGCCTGCAGAAGGAGAGAGAATGGGATTGTCTGCAGTCCCGTGAGTGGGATTGGCTGTGCCCTCTCTTTGTAACCGTGGGGGATGCTTGCTCAGAAGAGTGAGGTGGCCGTTGGTCCTAGAATATAGCATCTCAGCATGTTTCCCCAAGGCCAGAGAGACGGCAAAAGTGACTGAGCACATGCTGTGCATTCAGGCGGGACCTCGTGTCTCCTGAACACAGAGCTGGGAGCAGCCCCTGGCACCATCAGATATGCCCCCCACCACACACACACTGCTTAAAATGCTCCCTGTCCCCAAAAGAATATTTCACTGGAGTAAATATTCCACCTCTAACAAAGTTAAGATGGTCCAGAAAACTGTACTCATATGAAAGTATGGATACATGGCATTTTCAATTGGTTGGATGCAGGCCTCATAGGTTATTTTTGATCTTAGGCAAAAGCTCATGCAGATGGAAATGGCTAGCATATATTTGTGTGAGATAATGTAATATGTATTATTTTACACACACACGCAAGCACACGAAGAGAAGCATTTGGGCTAAGCATCAACCATGCCCTTCCCCCCCCCCCCAGCACTTATTTATTTCTAAATGTGGGGAACAAACATGAGAAATGCTTTACATCAACATACACAGAAGAATTTGAAAATCACTAGAATTGAAAAATCATCTGTGGGTGCTCTTTGTTACAAAAAAAGATATCAGGCCTTCATGCTCCAGAGAGTGTGTTACCATAATCTTGGCATTCTAGAAGAGATCAACTTTGCAGTGTTTCTGCTTTTAGTTAGGAGTCACTTTTCCTGCAGTGTCCTTATTCCATGACTTCTGTCACCTTGATTCCGTTGAACGGCTCCAAGGACAAATGAGGGGTGATTGCATGTTTGATTTTTAACATTTTATGTAGTGTGATTTCTGTCTGGGGCTTTGGGTGTGTTTCTGGTTCCGGGGATGGAGCCTCATCTGTGCAAGGCAAGTAAGCGCTCGACCATTAAACTGTGGTCCCTGTTTGCCATTGAAAGTGAAAATTTCAGGAGCCAGAGAGTTAGGCAGTGGGCAGAGCTCTGGTCAAGTTCGAGCCTAACACTCCAGAGGGCGCCCTGAGTCCTGCCAGAAGTGATCCCTGAGCACCGAGCCAGGAGTAAGCCCTAAGCACCACTGGGTGTGACACCCTCCCCCCCCAAAAAAAAAAGAAATTGGTAATAAATTCCTAGTACATCAGTGACATCATTCACATGGAAGTTAGCGAACTGGATTGGAAGGGGAACTGTCCACGTAAATGGACACCGGTTCCTGCTTTGTCTGCCCCTTTGTGCATTCAGAAACAAACACTGTTCCAGCTTGCAGGCCTCCAGCCCAGCATGTCCCAACCTGTGGCCTTTTGAGCCCCGGGGGTCTGAGGGTATTCTAAAGGGGGCTGGAAAATCACATAAATGGGGGTCACGGCAGTACCCTTAGAGGTCAACTCAGTATGATGGGGTAGGGGGCCACAGGAAGAAAACAGTTGGAAGGGACCCGACCTAGAGGCCAGCTGTCTTGTTCACCCCCAACATTGCCCAGGGCACTGCAGGGTGCTACTGGCTTTTTCTTGACTGTCACTGAGGCAAATGTGAAAGCAGTAAGAAAAGGGTCTCTGTTCACGGACATGGCAGGCACCCCTCAAAGCTTTCTAGGCTGTATTATGGCCTCTAACATAACATGTCCAAACCAGGTCCCGATCAGATGTGACAGGTTATTGTCTTGTTACCAGAAGTTAGAGAAAAAAATAAAACTCGACTGGGCCATGTGTTCCCTGGCATCTATGCTTTGAAATTTAAAAATGAAGTGTGTTAATCGATTTTCCAAAGTCAAATAAAGTTGATTTTGCATAAGCAGCAGCCCTAAAGGTAAGACCTGATATGTTACACGTATAAACAGTGCTGGGTCAAAGATTTAAATGCAACACATATAGGTGGTGCAAAGTCCACTGAGAGTGACAGCAATAAAATTATGAATATAAAATCACATACTCCATATAATTTTGTTATATAGTAATATATAAAAAGAAATACACTATGTATAATTTATATATTATAAATATATAAAATTTATGGCTTACAATAAAATTTTTTTCCATCCTTTCATTATAGAAAGTAAGACAGTTCTGATTCATGTTGTCATAATAAGCCTCCAATTTTCAATCCCTTTTCACCTGTTAAATTTTATACACACATATACTGGGGGAAAAAAATCCACCACTCGAGAAAAACAAAAGTAAGGTGGAGTTCACGCCCAATTCAATCTGCCTAATCAATGGCTGAATAAATAGCAATACTCCTACATTAAAAAAAAAAAAGTCCACCACTCAATCCACAAAACTCCGTATTTAATTGATCCCAGTTCACTGATTTGCACCTTCCTTGCCCCTGTGCTCGGCTCCTGGTGATTCTGGAAATCCTGCAGAGGAAGGCAGTCTCTTTCTGATTCACCGACCCATGTGAGAGCATCCTTGATTGGAGGGAAATCCATGCTCCCCACTGCCGTCTTAATTCCCACTCAAAGTGGAAAAGAAGGCCGTTCTTCCCACGCACTCTATCCTTCCTTTTGGTGACGAGGTTCAGGACTGTCTCTAACACCCTTCATGCAACTTGCTTGTCAGAATTCATTCCAAGCAAGTGCTGGCGAGATGGGCCCCTACTCGAGGGTCCCGTCCCGTCCCCACTGTGCCGTCAGACCCCCACAGACATCATCCTGCAAATCCATCTCGACGGTGGTCGTTACCTGGGTTCTGCTGGTTCTGGAGGATTAGCTGAGGTCTGGCGAGCGGCAGCAGCTAATGCACCCTGGAGCCCGCTCTCTGCCTTTTTCCTTTCAACGTGTCCATTGAGTTGTTAAAACTCTTTAGGAGAGAGGGTTTGCCGCACTCTCACCAGTAAAGTCTGCAGTGTTCTAGAGAAATAGAGGGAAGAGAGGGTGGTGGGGGGAGAAATTACCTTCCAGCACTGTGAGCCCTCGGCTGGGCAGACGCTGTGTTTCCGTCTGACTGCCGTTGGCACTTCTGCATTTATTTCCCTGGGAAATGTGGGGCTGAGTGGGTGAGAAGTCATCCTTTAAAAAGCAACTTGAAATCTTGCGGCTTTGGACTGAAACCTGCCATGGAGCGGAGTTCTTTTGCTTCCTTTCCATGCGAAGGCTATATCCAAGTTGAGGTCAGGCCCTGGGAAGCCAGCTTCCTGGAGGAGACCCTCAGGCTTGCTTTCTGGAGGAGTCTCTACCTGGAAATATATATATTGTTCCTCAGTGGGTGACATAGCACCTCTGGGCGCGCAATTGCATTAACTCGAGATGTGTGCTGGTTAAGTCTCTTGCCTTTTTGTTTTTTCTCTGGTTAATAATGTCATTATTCTAAATTTGTGTTTGATCAACTCTTTGTAGGCGAAGCAGTTTCCTCCCATTATAAATTACAGGATACCAAAATTATATTAGCGAAGAAAACCAGTTGTATTCATTGCCAGGCTTATTATATCAAGCGTCTTTCATGCTTTTTCTTGAGTAGGATTTAAGTAGAAACAAATTAACTTTTTTTCTTTTAGCCTGACTTTGGGTTTGGGAGTGGGGGATAGATCATTAAATTAAGGTCTCCTTATCACTGTTACCTTTATATAATACTGGTGTGCATGTGTGCGTGTGTGCGTGTGTGCGTGTGTGTGTGTGTGTGAACACACACACACGCAATTCTGAACTGTTTTGTCAACAGTAGATCCACCCCATTGCCGTCTTTACTTTGATTGATTGTATATTGGTTTTGGTTGTTTCTTCTGAATTTGCGTCTGTCTCTGCAGATGCTAAATCATCTTGTATAGTGGCTTCAGAGAGTGCACAAGTGCCATTCAGTGTCACCTGCACAGTCTTGGGTTCCTACCTCACTGGACTGGGGAGGAAGTGGGAGCCTGTAGGCCCCACCTGTCCTTTCCGGAGCCCCCAAGGGTGCCTCTGTGGGCTACAGGTGGGGGTCAGCTGAAGGGGGCCTTGGGGCCGGCCTGAGTCATTCCAGATCTATTTCAGCCATGTCAGTGACCCTCGCATTCCCAGGAAAGCTGTTCTGGCACTGTCCACTCCTGGACAGTGGATGTTTTAAAAGTTGAGAAGTCAATGAAACTTACTTGTTGGCTTAGAGACAGAAATTGAAAACTTTTTAAAAGGACTTTTATGTGCATTGCATTTCAATAATTGATTACCTTCAGAATCAAATAACAGGCATTTGATTTCTTCGAGTGTCAAGAGTTCACTCAGTGTGTGTTCTGGAAAGGAGCAGCTCACATTCTCTCCATCCTATGGGGGAGGGGACAGCTCTCCAAACCGAGATGGGAGATGGGGCTGGTTGCGGGGGGACGACTATTCCCAGCTCATTAACCGGCGCCGTGAAAGAACACTTACTCAGATTACTCATGTCTCACTACTTGGTTGATCATTTATTTTTGCCAGTTCCTAGGAGGGCAGGAAGGGGCACTGAAGGGGCTGAGGGAAGGCCCCATCTCACCTCGATGCTCCACCTCACAGCTATGCCCACTTGCGTTCCCGTCACCCTGACAGGGACTAGAATCTTTCTTTGTTTTTTTGTTTATTTGTTTATTTGTTTTGCTTTTTGGGTCACACCTGGCGATGCACAGGGGTTATTCCTGGCTCTGCACTCAGGAGTTACTCCTGGTGGTGCTCAGGGGACCATAAGGGATGCTGGGAATCGAACCCAGGTCGGCCGCGTGCAAGGCGAATGTCCTACCCACTGTGCTATCGCTCCAGCCCCAGGGACTAGAATCTCTAAGCAAGAAGAACCTCTGGTCAGCCCAAACAGGTACCATCTGAGTAGGTGACAGCAGGCCCTCGCCGTGTGTTGTAGCCATGCTGCCAGGGCAAACAGGACCTGCTGGGCTTTATCTGTTTCAGTGAGAAGTAAAAGAGCTAAAATGCACGTAGGGAAGTGCCAGGATTCTAACATGCAGCTGACTTGATGGGATTTCTGGCTTTATTCCTCTGCTTATCTGATAAAAATCGTGCAGTGCCCCAGATAGAGGAGAAAGGGCCCGAGAGGGGGTCCAGGAGGTTGGGCCATGCATGTAACCCACTTCCAATCCCCAGCCCCATAAACGGTCCCTCGAGCACCACCAGAAATCACTCCTGAGCACAGGGCTCAAGAACAGCCCTGGAGGGGAGCTCCAAAACCAAAAATAGTCGAATGGAGGGTTAAATAAAATGCCGTTATTTTGAGGCCCAGCGTTTGCTGGTCGACGCTGTTAGGCTGCAGGGTGGCGGGTAGCATGGAGAAATTACAGCGGGGGAAGGCGGGAGATGGTGCTGTCAACTTAGAGCAAGTATAGGGAAGCCATCGGGCCGCCCAGCCCACTGCACTTCCCATACTCATCTGTACCAGCTGAGAGGCAAAGGATGGGGAGGGGCCAGGCGCCTCCTGAGGTGAAGAAGGGCCCAGGGTCCCTGGGAACAATGAGGACGGGGGCTTTGGAGGACGCTTTGGGGAAACGCGAGTCCTGGTAGCCCATGCTATGCGCCCTGCACCCGGGCCTCATAACGACCACCACTGTGGGACCCTGGAGCCCCTCAGTGACCTCGTAACTCTACCTGGAGGGGTCCCGACTGCCTCTCACCCCCTCCCCAGTGGTTAGGTGAGAGGAGCACATGAAGCGTCCAGACCCGCGCTCTTCTGCCCAGCCAGGACTGGACACGCCGCCCTTTGGGTGCAGACTGCACCCCCGAGGCCCAGTGCTTTCCTCTCCCCTCCCCCAGCCCTCAGCCAAGGCCCCCCGGCCCGCAGCTCCAGGACAGTCGGGGGGTGTCTTGGCTCTCCCCGCCGCATGCTCAGACCCTCAGCACGGCCCTGCCGACTTCCTGCCATCTCCCGAGTTCCCAACTCCGCCTTCAAAGGCCCCACATGTCACCGGCCTGAAAACGGGGTACAGCCAGCTTGCCCCGTGGCACCCTGCGTCTTATCCATCCCCAGGGAAGCCACTCCGAGCAGCCCCCACAGGCTGGTGCCAGCCGCTGAACCGGGCCGAGCGATGGGCCTGAGCCAGCACCAAGATCGAGACTTGTGGTCAGGAGCAAGGGAGAAGCCGAGATGCGGGTCCTTGCGTGCGGGTGGGGGGGGGGGCAGGACAGGCTGACAGCGGAGAGAAATGTCTTTCTGTGGGCGCTTCTGGGCTGAACTTGGCTTTGCTCAAGCAACTCCCGGGCACTCAGTGCTCAGAGGAACCAGATCCAAGCAGGGCTGGGCCCACGTGGAGAGTGAGAACGGGCGCAGGAACAGAGAGAGACGCACCTCGGGAAGTGCTAGGCAGCGTGGAAGGTGCTACGAGAGCTGCCCTGCAGAGATGGGGCTTAGTGCGTGTCTGTGCTTGCAGCTCACCTTTGCCACCTGGACTCCGTGTGGCATTTTGAAGTGAGCGCACGGCTTAACGCACGCACGCGGCATGGTAGCCAGTGGAAAGTGAGGCTCGCGAAAACACTAGGAGGCCTTTTTTCTCGTCCCCCTCTTCCCCGCAACCTGCATGTAAACTATTCTCCGGGGTGCTCGATGGGAAAGCAAGCTTACACCGGAGTAGCCTTGTCCCCGAGGAGAGCAGGGCTAGCTGGGATTGCGATGGCGGGAAGTTGGTGCAAGGAGACATTGTCAGCAGGGGCCAGAGAGAGAGCACAGTGGGTAGGGCGCCTGCCTTGCAGTCAGCGGGTTCCATCCCCTCCCACAATTTCGGTTTGCCACCGCCCCCTCCCCACAAAAAGTTATCAACAACGAAAGGTTTTTGAAGACTTACTCTGCAGAAAATGCCCACTCAGAAGCTTCTGTTATGACACCAGTTCTGTTGACAATCTTTTTTTTTTTTGAATGCCAGCAAGTTCCAAGTGGGAAGAACCAGGGTGTTTTGCTGGTGGAGGTCACGGTGGGCCGGGAGGTGGCTAGGGGGACCCAGACCGCAGCCCTGTCCCTGCCTGCCAGCGTCTCACGGGGTCACCTCCTGTCTTCCAGGACGAATCTTCGAGCCACGAGTGCAACCAGCGCACCATCCTCCTGTACGGCGTGGGCAAGGAGCGAGAGCAGGCGCGGCAGCAGCTGAAGAAGATCACCAAAGATATCCTGAAGATCCTGAACAAGAAGAGCAGCCCTGAGGCGGGGGGTAAGGCGCCCGGGCCCCCGCTCGCCGCCGCCCCTCGCTTTATCGAGCTGGGCTGTGCCCCGGGCCCGGGAGCTTCCTCTCTGGAATGACTGTCCCCACGGAACGTGGATAAGCACATTGCCGAGCGCGGGCCGTGGCCCCTTATATAGGCATCCTGTGTGAGGTGCCCGGGAGAGAGATAGGCAGAGGGGAGGTTGTTTTTGCTGTTCTTTCCTGCCCTTCTCCCTCACCCCAGTTTTCTGCCAGACTCGTGAGTGTTGTGCCATGCACGCATGAGCTGGGCCATCCTTGGTGTGTGTGTGTGTGTGTGTGTGTGTGTGTGTGTGTGTGTGTTTTCTCCTCCCCTGCCTTTTCTCCAGGCTGGGGAGCAGAACTGGCTGCTGGTGCCATTGCTAATCTGACGTTGTTCTTCAGAGGACAGGCGGTCGGTGGAGGAGGGGGTGGGGGTACAGGGGGCTGTGGGGGGAGTGGCTGGCCCAGGAGGAGCCCCGGGTCTGGGCTCGCAATTGCTGTCCCTGGAGTTGGCCCCTCTCCGTGGGCTTGTTGCACAGCGGGCCCACGCTGTGGTGTGTGACATCACCCCCCTTGCGTAATTGTGACCGCACATTTGCCTAATGACCCTCTCCTAGGTTGGCCGGTCTGAGGAGGCCGACCCCCGCTGGGCTCTGACATCATGGGCCGTGGTCCCCGGAGCACCACTGTGTTTTGATTCTGGGACTTAAGTAACATCAAGACGAACCAGTGTGGCTTTTCCTGAGGCCGTGAGAGCTCTCCCGGCCCGTGGTGGGGCCTCCCTCTCCCTGACTCTGTTGAAATGCTGTCGCCACGGTGGGCTGGTCCATAGGCCGATGGATCCATTCCCACATCTTCATACCAAACAACGCAATTAGACCGAATGCGTCCACCTCTGCGCCCCCCCGGGGGAGGGCGGCGCTTGTACAGAACGCGAGGACCCCGGTCAATATTGCTTCTCACGAGTGTGGTGCTACGGATTCGGGGACCTTGTCAGACACTGGGTCATGGCCCCCCAAATCCCCGCTGCCCGAGGGACTGGCCCCTCGATGGCTGCCTCCGGAGCAAGCTGGCACAGGGCGAGGGAAATGAAACCCCGTCCTCCGGGCCGGTGACTCAGCCCGGACACAGAAGCTGCTGCCCCGAGAAAAAACTGTTGATTTGTCATTTTCGCTCTTTCCTCGCTCTTGGAAGAAAGAGGAAACGGGCTTGCTTGGGACAGGCTGATTTCAGAAGCCCAGCAGCCGGCGAGCGAGCCAGGCGTATCTGAAGTGGCTTTTTTTTCTTTCCTTTGCATGATGGGGTAGGAGGCTCACACGTTTGGCTCGTGAAGGTTCCATGGTGCCTGTTTTCACGTTGCTTTTAGCGTCAGCCCCGAATTCTGGCCTTGGGAAGGCAGCGTGGGGCAGGAGGGGAAGGAAGCATGCGGTCCCCTGGTCTGTTGAGTTCGCTTCTTGCAGGGACCACCTCAGGGCCAGACTCCAGCTGAGTCTGTCTCTTCTGCTGGCAGTTCTTGCTGATGAACTCTCCGGGAGAAAACCGTTGTGTGCTGCTGAGTTTGGAGCTAGAAATAGAAGCGCTGCCCAGAGAGGCACCTTCGGTGTGGGGAGGGTTGTCCCGCCCTCAGTCGAGATAAGATCCCTGAACCAGAAACGTGTTCACTGCAGATGCAGTGACTTGCTTTCTGGTCAGTGGTTAAGTCACCCTTTCCAGCTTGTTGTGTCGCCAGATGCTTAACTGTGTCTGCTCGGAATGAAGTTAGAAATGGAAATGAATGGGAGTGTGCTTGCTTTCTTGCTTTCCTCAGTAGAACTAGAACTTGTGTTGGTTTACATTGACTTCTGGCTGTCTGTAGGAACAGGGGGACTCATCAGGAGAGATCTCAGGGCAGCCTGGCTGTCCCTTCGGGAACACAGCAACGAACCTTTCAATGGCATCTGGTAGAACCAGAGCAATCACCCAAAGGCCCAAACTTGCAGGATTTTAAAGTTTGCGATAAGGAAACCGAAGTTGAGCAAAGATGCACACATGCGCGCGCGCACACACACACAGACACACACCTCTGTATGCCACAGCGTCTTGGTCCATGGCTGGGAATACGGGCTTCCCTCTCTTGCCATTGTGCCTGTTGTTGCACACGAGTCATATATTGGATATAGGGTTGATACCTAGACTATCAAGAACTCTCCATATCAAGATATCAAGAACTCTCCACACAGCTTAATAGGAGCCCCAGCGATCTGCTGGAAAGCCAGGCAGGAGCATCCTTAGGCAGAATTCCACACGCAGAGGCCGTCAGAATGCAGGCAGCGATGGTGCTGCCAACCCTGAGTGCTGCATCTGCTGCCACCCACCAGCGAAAGGGGCAGCAGCAGGAAGAGATGGACCCTGGCAAGGAGGGGGTGAAGTGAGCCCTCCTGCACCGCTGATGGACGGGAAGGCGTGTCAGCTTAGCCACCAGGGAGAGCAATGTGGAGATTCCTCAGAACGGCCCAAATCGCAACTGTGATTGAGATTTCCCCTTCTCGACATCTCCCCACCGCATGTGGAGAGGGAGGAAGTGGGATCTGTGCACGCACACTCACCTTTATCCAGCTTCACTCCATTACATGTGCTTGAAGGCACACATACCTGTGCGCCCAGACCCACCCCCCCATGCTGCAGATAGAATTCAGGGCGCCAGGAAATTATGATCATTTAACCTGGAACTTTGAACAGGCCTCCTGAGCTGTGCAGAGACATCGAGGGCACAACTCCACCTTGATTTTTTAAGAATTATTAACATAATTTTATTTTAGCCACTTCTCAATCAGAATTAACTAGATCAGTATATGTTCAACACCCTTAAACATAACATTTATGTAACATGTTTTTGATATATAATCTAGAGATATATATCTATATAGAGAGAGAGATCTATATATATATTGATATATATCTGCATTTAAGTGTAAAAATTTAATAGATTCAGACAAATATAGTTTGGAGCATCTATGACAATAAAATATAAGCAATTTAATCTCCATGAAATGTTTTAGTTCGTATCTAAAAATGCTTTTGACTTCATAGTCAATTTACGCCCCCCCCAGTTAAGGAAATATTAATTATGTGTTCTTTATTAGATTTTTATATGTACTAAGTAATTCAGTCAACCACACCTTAATTATTCTCTTTGCCAGTGTTTCAGAGGAGCTGGTTTAGTAGGCTTGATGGCTTCCATTCTACATTATTCCATGGGGCTTCGGTTGAGTCAAGTGATTCCAACCTCCATCCTTTGATAAGTGTTGACTCTCACCACCTCTGGAAAATGCAGGCTGCCGTCAACCACGATGTCGAGCAACGATTGGACACTTTACAACAAGCAGTACTTTGGGTCCAGGGGCGGGTTGATATCTTAGAGCAACAAATGAGACTGTTTTGTGACTGGAATAGCTCTTCTTTCTGTGTTACCCCCCATAGATATAATGGGTCTGCTCATTTTGGGACAAAATCAGATACCATTTGCAAGATCTGAAGGGAAATATGTCTTTAGATACTCTCGCCCTTCAGGATGAGATTGTTCGAGTGTTTAAGGATAAACTCCCAGGAGTCCAGTATGAAAACTTAGCCCAGGGTATTGCGGATGCCTTACAGGGCCTTGACCCGAGATCATGGTGGCAAAGCATTACCCACGCTATTGGTAGTGCTGGCACGGCCTTATTAATCATGTTCATTCTATTGGTTATAGGATCCTGCCTCTTTCGGAAAAGACTAGCTGATACTGAGTCCCTGACCCATCGGAACTCTTATGATCTTTGGCGTTTCGTAAACAGAAAAGGGAGCGATGTAGAATGACATTGCTTTGTCCTTTCTCCCTTTCTCCACAAGGAGCTTAGGTTTATCAGGTGACACCCATCACAGTGCTCCCGAGTCACTCCCATTCCTTTTTTTATCTGTAACCACTTCTCTGTGCTCTCTTCCCCAAACAGTTAATCAGCTTCCCCCCCCCCCCCAATCAGTGTCTGTTCATTTGTAAGGTCAGATCCTTCTAGGACACTGAAATTGTATTGTAAGTTAATATTGCCTTTCTCCTCTCCTTCTGTCTTTGGTTGGTATTTCACACAAACCATCCCTTGTTCTCATATCGTACTCTCAAGCTAAGACATTGGCAGTTGGAAGAATCTCTCTGAGTCCCATAAGACCTTTTCTGTGTCTGCGGCAGGGAGAGGGTGGTCTTGAGGTGGGCCTGGGGGGCTGCCTCATCTTCTGCTGTGTGGCTTTGTGATTGGAGACTCGACACGCGCGTGTGTTTCTTTGATGGCACTGTGGGCGCAGTGTTCCCCCTGCAAGACGCAGACGCCAGGTTGCCGTGGATGCTGACTGTGCTCTCGTGTTTGCCCCGTAGGAGACGAGGGCCAGAGGTCCAGGAGGAGCAAGCAGGAGGTGTTCCCCTCCCTGGAGGCAGTGTTCACCAAGCTGCAGCTCCTGTCCTACTTCGATCAGCACCAGGTCACCTCCCAGGTAGCCGTGCCACGCTGCGCCTGTGCATGTGGGTTCTTTGCCTCCTTTGAGGAAAATCCGGGGCTGGAGCGGTAGCACAGCAGGTAGGGTGTTTGCCTTGCAGGCAGCTAACCCGAGTTCGATTCCCAGCATCCCACATGGTCCCCAAAGCACTGCCAGGAATAATAATTCCTGAGTGCAAAGCCAGGAATAACCTCTGAGCATCACTGGGTGTGACCCAAATAGCAAAAAAGAGAAAGAAAGAAAGAAAGAAAGAAAGAAAGAAAGAAAGAAAGAAAGAAAAAGAAAGAAAGAAAGAAAGATCCCCTTTGGGGCCAGAGTACACAGTCCAGCGGGGAGGGTGTTTGCCTTGCACACAGCCAACCCAGGTTCAATCCACCGCATCCTATATGGTCCCCCAAGCACTGCCAGGAGTGATTCCTGAGTGCAGAGCCAGGAGTGACCCCTGAGCATTGCTTGCAGGGCTGTTTTGATAAATGTATTTTAAAGAACTTTGGAAGGAAGGTTCTGGGATTGTCTAGGGCGCTGGATGAGGGACCCCATTGCTCTTCTAATTAGAAGATTTTTTTGTCATGATCAATTTTTTTTATTTCATTCATAAACTCAGTTTATGTTTGAAATAACATCAACAGCCTCTGAAATAATCCTGAGTGCAAGGCACTGGTTTCTCTGTCGTGCCTGAGAAGCAGTGGAAGCCTGTTGAGACCTGAACTGAAATACTGTTCAGAGGAAGAGAGGCCATTTGACTGTTTGCTTGGCCAGTGGGTGTCAAGCCCGGGGATGGTCAAGTAGACGTTGCCTGGCAGCTAATTCAGTCTAGCAGTTGCCCTTCGACAGTGAGTGCTAAGTGACCTCTTCACTTATTTCTTAAAAGGACGATAACAGGAAGGAAGTTGTGGGATTTCTGCATGGTGTGGGCTTCTGCTCTCGATAGGCTCGAAGTTTCTTCTAACTTGTTATCGCGGAAATGTGCAAGTTTCCGCTGTGAGAACATTAATGGGGAGAAGGCACTGGGAGTCGTGGTGTCCACTAACGGGGGCGTGTCTCGCCCAGATATCGAACAACGTGTTGGAGCAGATCACAAGCTTTGCGTCGGGCACGTCCTACCACCTGCCCCTGGCCCACCACGTCCAGCTCATCTTCGACCTCATGGAGCCGGCGCTGAACATCGGTGGCCTCATCGACTTTGCCATCCAGGTACAGAGCGGCCCTGCTTCTCGCTGGCTCACTCGTGCCCACCAGACACTGTGTAAAACAAGCTGCTCCCCCAGAACCTTGAACCGTGACCAAGGCGTTTGGAGGCAGCTGTTGATCTGCTAGCTTGCCTTCGTAGCCGTGTGCATGGTTTTCACTGTCATGCTTGTAAGTGGTGCTGTGTACAGAACAATCGCTTAAAAAATGCACAAGGGCCAGGGATGGAGTTCGTGGTACTCAAGGTTAGCACACTGAATGCACGCGAAGGGCCCTGGGTTTTGTTCCCAGCCCCGATCTCTCTGTCTCTGTCTCTGTCTCTGTCTCTGTCTCTCTCTCTCTCTCTCTCTCTCTCTCTCTCCTCTCTCTCTCTCTCTCACACACACACACACACAAACGTGGTAAAGACTTTTTCTATTTTTTCTTTCATTATTTTGCTTAGAAAAAAAGTAAAAGCTTATCTCTTGTCTAGGGAGTCTATTCCAGATAAAGAACCAGAAAACACAGTAGTTCTTCTACACACATTTGAGCTCACATGTTCCCATATGCTGTTGGTGAATAGCAAGAAACCCAAGCCGGCATTGCTTATGAGCTTTGCTTGTGACAAGAAAATCGTGATTGACTTGCCTTGTGTCAAAAATAAATAAAGGGAGATGAATGAGGGTTGCGATTCTCCAGTCTCTGGGGTTGGCATGATAGTGCAATGGGTAGGGCGCTTGCCTTGCATGCAGCCAACCCCTTGGTTCAACCCCTGGCACTGCACCCCGTCCCCCGAGCATGCCAGGAGTGACCCCTGAGCACAGAGTCAGGAGTAAGTGCTGACCGCCCCCAGGTGTGTCCCCCAAAACAAACATCAAACACATGAGACAAACATGGCAACCTACAGTGGGGGCCGCCGTGGGGTTTGAGTTATTAGTTGCACAGCCGCTCCACGTGCCCTGATGCTGGTTTCCACGCCAAGGACCAGCCCTCTGATAAAGCATGAGAACTGAAGCTGCCCGGGTCGACCGGGCGCCTTCTCTGAGTCTGCAGCTACCTGCGTGTGTGCCCTGGGCCGGCTGATGACGAAAGGTTCTTCTGACGGAGCTAATGCAGGGGGCAGGCGTGCGAGCTGGTGTCAGGAGGACCCCACAGAACCACGGCGAGTGAAAGGACGTTTGCCCCGTGCCTCGGCGCCCGTCCCGTTCTCATCCCCTCTTCTCTCCCGTGCAGCTGCTCAACGAGCTGAGCGTGGTGGAAGCGGAACTACTCCTCAAGTCCTCCAGCCTGGCCGGCAGCTACACCACGGGGCTGTGCGTCTGCATCGTGGCCGTGCTCCGGCGCTACCACAGCTGTCTGATCCTGAATCCCGAGCAGACGGCCCAGGTGTTTGAAGGGTCGGTATCGAAACCCTTCTGGGTGGTCTTCACGTACTGTGGCGTGCCACTGACGGCAAACTTTTAATGCAGACTGGAAGAGGCCATCAGTGCCGGTGTCTATTGCAATAAAAAGATACGGCACCGCGGGTCGGGGTGATAGTACGGCAGGTAGGGCTCTTGCTTTGCACACAGCCAACCAGGGTTCAATTCCCAGCGACCCCTAGGGTCACCTGAGCCCTGCCAGGAGTGAGCTCTGAGAGCAGAGCCAGGAATAAGTCCTGAGCACAGCCAGGTGTGGGCCCCCCCTTCATGCCCCCTACCCAAAAGGTGGAGATCACCTGTTCTGCATGTATGAGCTCCTGGGTCCCATCCCTGGCACACCCAACCCCAGTCCCGCACAGGGAAACACTGTCAGAGCACTTTTGCCAGAAAAGCTCTAGCGGGGAAGGGAACTTGCAAAGAAAGCGTATTCTTCTCAGTCAAGTCTCTTCCCTCCTTGCCTGCCCACTTGGCCTCTCCTCTCCCCCACACGAAGACGCCAGTTGGCGACTCGCTCTCCCACCATGCCCCGTGCCCCTTCCTGGCTGGGCACCATGGGGAGCTTGTCATCACCCATTGCTCCAGGTGCGATTTGTTTCCATTTGGGCCGTGAATCCAAAAGCAGGCGAACGGCGAGAGCATGGTCCACTGTCAACTAGGAGAGTCCTTTTTCAGTTATACTCTGTACACAGTAGGAAGGGCATTTGCCTTGCACTCGGCCAACCTGGGTTTGATCCCCGGCACCCTGTTTGGCACCCTGAACACTGCCAGGAGTAAGCCCTGAGCACAGAACCAGAACCACAGATCCTTGAGCATCACTGAGTGCGGCCCCCAAACCAAATAGATATGCATATATGTACATGGGCTGGAGCGATAGCATAGCAGGTAGGGCATTTGCCTTGCGCACGGCCAACCCGGGTTCGATTCTTCCGTCCCTCTCTGAGAGCCCAGCAAGCTACCGAGAGAATTCTGCCCGCAAGGCAGAGCCTGGCAAACTCCCTGTGGCATATTTGATATACCAAAAACAGAACAACAAGTCTCACAGTGGAGATGTTACTGGTGCCCGCTTGAGCAAATCGATGAACAACGGGAGGACAGTGCTGCAGTGCTATATGTACACACACACACACACACACACACACACACACACACACACACACACACTGCTCCAGCCCATTAAGCTTCCTTTCTGGCCCAGTATTAGTTTCTTTAAGGACAAAGGACAAAGTACTTTTTTACTTTCCAGATGATGATAGAATTGGTTAGCACGGGCCATCGGCACTTGATGGAACCATTCACCTCCCATAACTGGTGCCCTGGCTGTGCCTTAGCTGCCCAGTGACTCCTCTGCCTGTCAGTGGACACAGGTCTCGGGGCTGGGCATGCACCAACCGTTTCAACCAGTACCTACTGGGTCACTTACTCCATTGTTAGTGACCCCAGAGCCCTTGAAGGGGCTAGTTTTGGAGGTGCCCCTCGGCTTGTTCCCCCATCTCAATAGGAGACCTACCGTACTGGGTGCAGCGGGGAACTGAAGACGTGAGGGTCCCACCGGCACCTGCTGTGAAGTAGCTCTTGGCGGCCAAGACCCCTCAGTCCCTGAGCCCTCTTTGTAACTCAAGGAATCTGAGTAGGCTGATTCCACAAACCCTTCTCAGCTGGAGTAAGCATGAGTCCGTTGGCTTTATTCTAGTTGTCTTGGGCTGAACCCCACACAAGAAGACAAAATGGTGTTGAGCTCACCTCAGAAAGGGCTGGAAGGAGCACCAGTGTTTGCCTCTCTGATTTTTTTGGGGGGGGGGGCATTGTTTGTTTGTTGAGAAATGCCTGATGTTTTTAATCATCTAAAATTTCATAGCAGGGACTTCAGTGGCACCAGTAAGTTGGGTTCTAAAGGAAGGTACCTTTAAAGGCAGTCCGAAAAAATTAAAAATAAAAACAAAGGGCGTACTAAAAAATGGGTCTACTGCGGCCCTCAATCCTCAAAATGCTTTCCTAAAAAAAAAGAAGACACAAATCAAGGTTAAAGGTGGAGAAAGACGGTCCAGGGCTCACATGTCTCTTATGGAGCCGAGTTGGGTTTGATCCCAAATGGGCCACGAGTGACCCCAGCAGAGGTGGGAGCAGTCCCCCGCCCCATCCCAGCACCAGCTGGTGTAGCCCGAAGCCCACTGGTAGATAAATAAGTAAATGTGGCTAACCTGTTCAGGCCTTCCTGTAGATGTGAACTAAGTACTGAGAACGGAAGCGTGTGGTGTTGAACCCTGTACAGGAATGCGGGGCCCAACTGTGACTTGGGAAAATGGCGCCGTAGTGGCGTGGTACTGACTTGGGAGTGAGACCGTCTCTAGAGAGAAAGGAGGGTTCAGTTCTCCTGTCTCACAGAAACCATAATGGACTGGTTTGGGCTGAACCAGGCAAATGTGATCCCCACATCATAAATTCCTCCAGCCCATGTCAGAACCAGTGCACCTTCTTGGAAATGGACCCCCAATATTTTCTGATTTCAAGAATTGCTCTTTTAGGTAGGAGTGGACTTGGGTTGAATTCATGAGCCTCTTGCCTGAAGGAAGGTTTGCTCTCCCCTTTGAGTTTCTTTTCATGTCCTCCCTCTCTATGTTGCTCCTTCACAGAGCGTTTCTTTCCTAGTCGTGGCACTTCTGAAGTGAAACAAACAAACAAACCAAAAAAAGACTTCTTTCGTATCATCATAGAAAAGCCATCAACATAGTGATTGGTGTCAGGATCTGGGCTTTCTCTCTTCCTCAGGCCCCGAACTTCCCACAGTCCCTCCTGTACATGAGCCTAACTGGGGTTTCGCGTTTGTGTTTTCCTCCTCAGGCTGTGTGGTGTGGTGAAGCACGTCGTGAACCCCTCAGAATGCTCTTCCCCCGAAAGATGCATCTTAGCCTACCTCTATGACCTGTACGTGTCCTGTAGCCACCTCAGAAGTAAATTTGGAGACCTCTTCAGGTGGGTAAAGAGGGAAGGAATGGGATCCTGCCTCAGTGTGTCTGGCTTCACCGACCTGGGCAAGCCTGTGGCATGACACGGGTGAAATGGTCACAGCTCTGCCACGACCACAGATCTGTCTCTCTGCCCTCCTGTTGGCACTCACTGTGCCTGCCTTGCCGTGATTTCAGTCTTGAGGTAAATCAGAAAGAAAATCCCAGGCTGTCTGCACTTGCTCTTAACCCCTTGGCACTGTCCACTGTCCTCCCATTGTTCATCGATTTTGCTCGAGCGGGCCCAGTAACGTCTCCATTTTGAGACTTGTTACTGTGTGTTGGCGTATCAAATACGTCATGTGTAGCTTGCCAGGCTTTGCCGTGCGGGCAAGATACTCTCGGTAGCTTGCCGGGCTCTGTGAGAGGGCCGGAGGAATCGAACGTGGCTCAGCCGGGCTGGCTGCATGCAAGGCAAACGCCCTACCGCTGTGCTCACTCCAGCCCTCGACAAAAGACATCAGGCAGAAAAGAAATTTTCATAAGGCTGGAAAATGTTGCAAGTATCTCTTCAAGAAGTGGCTATGTGTTTCAGGTCACCTCTTCTAGAACGTTTTAAAGGATCATGGGAATTCCCTGTCTACAGAAATGGTGTGGTGATAATCCTTGGCACTCTTCTCTGGTGTCAGAGAGCTTTCAGCATAGTCCCGAGAGCGCTTTGTGATAGGTGACTAGTCCACTTCCCAAGAAGCGCTGACATGACCCATTGAGTTTTATGGCGCATTGAACTAAAGACTGTCCCTGCCAGAGGGACAGATAGTACAGGGTTTAGGCACTTGGCTTGCACTCAACCGCCCCCCCCCCCCCACTGATCCCTGGCACTAAATATGCCCCCCACACCCACAGGAACCATAGTGTAGCTTGACTGTGTGGAGACTCAGGAAACCAACAGTGGATCTGCGGCCTTGGCACTGTGTCAGTGATAACTCTTCAAGAATAGCCACGAAAGAGAAAGACAGCCCCCGGAGAGAAGCTTGAAGGGAGGCGTTTATTTGTAGTTTGAGGTGAGGAAAAGGGCCAAACGAAAGCTGGAGACTCCGAGGTATTTTTGTTAGTCTGCTAATAAAAGGTTTAATAATCGGATCTGCATCCTTCGAGTTGTGTAAGAGGCTCCTTGGCTGCCAAGCCCCGGGCTGGGTTGCGCCCACCTCACCACAAGCCCAGGAAGGGGAAATGACTTCTACCAACAGATGACGCTTCCCCCGTGCTAAGTCAATACATGATGAAGATGCATCATTTTGACCGCAAGCTGTGGGCTGCTTCTAGGACCCTACCCAGCGTTCCCGGTCCCTAGCATGACCCACAAGGCAGCTTGCATCCCCCCTGGAAGTGCCTCTGGAAAGAGCGTCAGAAATGAAACCAGAAGCCTTGGAAGGCCTCGTGTTCGCGACGGCCTCACAGGGCCGGGCCCACCGAGCCGAGCGTCAGTCACGGGCCTCTTTGGACAGGAAAAGTGGACTCTTGGAGAAAGAAAAGTAGAATTATTCTCCTTTTGAAAGGAGAAGCATGAGCACAGAAGTCTAGAGCAGGATGGCCTCGCTCTTGCTGAAGCCTCGGCCCTCAGCGGGTGGGAGATGGGAGGCCCGAACCCACCCGCCACGGGCACTTTGTTCCTGATTCGTTCTTAGAGGGCAAGTGAAGCAAACTAAGCAAGAGGACAAGTGAGAGTGAGTGGAAAGTTGAGTGAAAAATGTGATGAGGCGCCAAAGAGATGGTCTAGCGGGTAGGACCTGGCACAGCCCACCCAGGCTCACGCCCTGGCATCACACGTGGCCTCCTGAACCCCACCAGGAGTGACACCTGAGCATTGTGTGGCCCCAAAACAAAACAAGTAAAAGTGGGCCCTGAGTTAAGAGAAGAAATGGGAGATATTTCAAAGCCCCGAGGATTATAGGTTCTCTCTCTTTCTCTCTCTCTCTCTCTCTCCCTACCTCACTACCTCCCGCTCTCCCTCTCTCCCTCCTTCCCTCCCTCCCTCTCTCCCTCTCTCTTTCCCTCTTCCTCTCTCTCTTTCTCTCTGCCTCTGTCTCTTTCTATCTGTGTGTCTCTCTCTCTGTCTCTTTCTCTCCACCCCGTCCTTGTCCTTCTACCCACCCCCTTCTCTCTTGAACACATTTTGAGTCAAGCTGGCTCTGCATACCCTTTGATGTCTACCGGGGCCGGCTTTTTACCCCTGTGGATTCAGCACACCTCTTTCTGGTGGGACCCCCACATCCTAATTCTGGGCCAGCACCCCAGCTGATTCTCAAGCCACATTCTGCGATATACACTGAGCTCATCAATCTCTGTTCTCGGGGCAGTGACCTTGGCAGCTGTGTAGGGCAGAGTCTGCATCACTCTTCGTTTTAGAGGAGCTTATTCCTGGCTACAGATTTCACACAGTCAAACCCATTGCCCAGAATTCAAAGGAAAAGGAGAGCCCTCGAGTAGAGGTGGTGAACGTTCCTTGCGGATGGGCAAGCCGCTGAGAATGATCGCTCGTGTGGAATCAAGAGGCTCCCTGAAGCTGGAACGTCTGGGAGCCTCTTGCAAAGCACAATGGATACACTAGATCTCATTAAGCGGCAACTTGGCAAAACCTCTCCTGTGCTCTTCAGATAGGTTCTATTCCTGCTAAGAAACACAACCAGGGGGCCAAAGCGTGCAGCTGACCTGGGTTTGATCCCGAATGCTACATATTATCCCTGAGCACTGATCCCTGAGCACAGCCAGGAGTAGCCCCTGAATACCATCGGTGAGGCCCCCAAACCAAAAAAACAAGTGAAAGAAGAAACTCCGCATGACTCTTGAGGTGCAAAAAGAATCTTTGCTCTCATAGGATGCGCCTTTCCACACTGTCCCTTGACCAGAACGCCAGTTTCTTGAAGGCATATGAGGACCCTCTCGTAGTATAAGTGTCACAGGGCGTAGTATGACCTTGGCATTTGACCTTCTCCTGAAGTCTTTATAGCTGGAGATACAAGTTTGTAGGAAGCAGACTGTTTGGGATTAAAATACCAAGTTATTCTTAAGCCATAACATTTTCCATTATTCAGAGACACCTTGGTTAAATTCTTTTTTCCCAGTCATGAAAAATGTGGAGGAGAGTTGGGAAATAAAGATGTCTTTCACTCATTCAGCCATCATTTATTGAGCAACTACTCCATCCCAGGCACTCTGCCCCGGGGACCAATTACTAAGACGTCAGAATGTTTAAAATGTGTAACGTGAATCTTGTAGGACACATTACAGTTGTTTCTGGGATGCGGCCCAGTGCACAAACCCGTGCCTCTTATTCGGAAAGCCCTCGGTTCCATCCCCGGCACCAGCAGTAGAGAAACTGTCCTTGTGTGACGTCCCTTCCGGGTTGGTCTTGGGTTTGTGTTGTTTGTAACTCTGCTTCTTCTAACCTCAGTAGTGCCTGTTCCAAAGTAAAGCAGACCATATATAACAATGTGATGCCTGCGAATTCTAATTTGCGATGGGATCCAGACTTCATGATGGATTTTATTGAGAACCCGTCGGCCCGGAGCATCAACTACTCAGTCCTGGGCAAGATCCTTAGTGACAATGCAGCCAACCGCTACAGCTTCGTCTGCAACACGCTCATGAATGTATGTATGGGCCATCAGGACGCCGGAAGGTGAGCTGATGACCCTGAAATCACCGGTCAGCCATACCACCACTGCTGGGGCGGGGGGGGGACTCTGGGGTGACATTTCACAGTTCCCTTGGCCTTGGTTGACATCTTGGGGGAAGATTTTTTCTTTTTTCTGTTTTTGTTTTTCCATGTTCTTCCCCTCCCAAATTTATCTTTCTATGGGGAGTCTTTAACCTGACAAGGTTTCCTGGCTAAGATCATATACAAGTTATTCATGCATTTGTAAAGTATGTATAGTAGGTAACAAATCATAGAGAGAAATATATGCCTCTCGGAGAGCCCAGCAAGCTACCAAGAGTATCCCGCCTGCATGGGCAGAGCCTGGCAAGCTCCCCGTGGTGTATTCGATATGCCAAAAACAGTAACAATGACAGGCCTCATTCCCTTGACCCTGAAAGAGCCTCCAATCGTTGGGAAAGACAAGTAAGGATCGGCTGCTAAAAATCTCAGGGCTGGGGCGAATGGAGATGTTACTGGCACCCACTTGAGTAAATCAATGAACAATGGGATGGCAGTGATACAGTATAGTGAAAAGACAAACTGACCTGTGGGCTGGAGCGACAGCACAGCAGGCATTTGCCTTGCACACGTTGGACCTGGGTTCGATATCCAGCGTCCTGTATGGTCCCCTGAGCACCACCAGGAGTAATTCCTGAATGCAGAGCCAGGAGCAACTGCTGTGCATCACCAGGTGTGACCCAAAAAAACAGAAAAAGAAAGAAAGAAAGAAAGAAAGAAAGAAAGAAAGAAAGAAAGAAAGAAGGAAAGAAAGAAAGAAAGAAGGAAAGAAAGAAAATGACCTGCATTTTGAAACACTGTGTAGGCCATGGTGCTTAAGAGTCTCAAGTTTTTATGAGGCCCTTAGAAACGTCCACTTGTCAGGCAGATTTGTTCACCGAGCTGAGATCCTGCTGATTGGTATTTTCCCTGATAGCTGTTTGTTGCCCAGTTGTTTTAAATCCTGGGAAACATCGAAAGTCACGTAGCTACAGGTTCTGGGTTATTAGCAGGGGCTGTCGATTCCCTAGATCCTTGAATCTAAGAAGTGCGTGGACTGTGGGTGGGAGTGGAGTGCGCATCATCCCATCATGGCGTGCTCTCTCCTCTGCCTTCCAGGATCAACGACATAGCCAATTTCTCGTCCGAGCTGACGGCCTGCTGCACTGTGCTTAGTTCCGAGTGGCTGGGCGTGCTCAAGGCCCTGTGCTGTTCCTCCAATCATGTGTGGGGGTTTAACGATGTGCTTTGCACTGTGGATGTAAGTTTTCATTTTTGTCGAAAACTCCACTGTACAATGAAGTATTTAGTGAGTGATTTTTAAATTTTAATTTGGTTTTGCTTGGGGTTCTTTACTTTTATTTCCTTTCCTTTTTTTTTTTTTTTTTGGCTCAGGGTGCACGGGTAGTACTCCAGATGTCCTAGTGCCTGGGTGGGGGAGGGTGTTGCTTCTGATGGTACCAGAGGACCCCATGGTGCCAGTCATCGAACCCAGGCCTCCTTCATGCTATACAGGTGCTTTAGCCCTTTGACCCATATCTTGGAGGGTGATTAGGTTTTTTTCTTTATTGATAACTGTCTTTAACTTTGCAAGACACTCCCCCCTCCTCCCCCCCCCCCCCCCCCGCCTTTCACTACCCAAAAGTCGTAAACCAGAATGTGGTCATCATGCATGAAATAAGTGGGGAGAAATAAATAGAAGTGAAGTAGGTATCTGCATCTATATAGCAGAGAGGCTGATCCCCACCCCCCCCCACCACACACACACACACACACACACACACACACACACACACACAACTGTGAGCTGGGATTTTTTCCCCAGGTTCTCTTCGGAGCCCTTTATCCTTTTAACCAAGTGCATTGGGTTCCTCTGGAGCAGTGCTCAGGACTAACTCTTGCTCCGTGCCCAGAGGTCACACCTGGCACGGCTCAGGGTCCAGTGTGTAGCTCCAGGGAGCACACCAGGTCTGCCGCATGTACGACAGGGGCCTTCACCCAGGGACGGGCTCGGCCACTCATTTCTCAAGTTCAACCTAGTGCCTGCCGAGTTGGGATTTTATTATTTCTCTGTCTGCAGAGCTTTGTGCTTTAGAAAACCCACCTCCCGGTGAAAAGCTCCCGCAGTCTCTTTGCTGCCCCAGTGCTTTGTGGGCGACCCTGTCTGGACACTCTTAGCACCTGCTAAAGTCCTAGCTATTTCCCAGCCAGACGAGAACTGCGTGTCTATCTTTCCCCTAATTCCTTTATGTCTTGTTTTTTGCTTCAGTTTTCCTATCCATTGCTTCATCATCTGTACCATTGGGATTAATAATGGCGTGAATCCCGGGGTTATTTTACTTATTTACTTATTTTGCTTTTTGGGTCACACCCGGAGATGCACAGGGGTTACCCCTGGCTCTACACTCAGGAATTACTCCTGGCGCTGCTCGGGGGACCATATGGGATTCTGGGGATCGAACCCGGGTCGGCCGCGTGCAAGGCAAACGCCCTCCCCGCTGTACTATTGCTCCAGCCCCTCGGGGTTCTGCTGTTGACACAGGCGGTCTAGGTCCCTCACAAACCCTGCTCACTCGTACTTAGGATGAGCCTCTTGCCTTCAGACTTGGGAGTCGATTGGAGAGCTTCAGAGCTGGATATGCAACTGAGTCCGGGACATCTAGTTCTTCGGGTCCTGGCAAAGGAACCCGCCAACATAACTGAGAGCCCCGCTCAGTTAGGGGCACCTTAGAGTCTTACCTGGCTCCCCAGTGCTCTGAACCTGAACCCAAGAAAACAAACAAACAAACAGACAAACAAAAAACCAAGAGGCTTATTATGCATCCTGCACATTTTTTTAGGAGCTCCTGGATTTTCTTTTGCTTTTCCAGACTGTGCACTCAGGGTCCAACTGGGCGTCTGCTCCGCTCGCCCTGGGATGAGGGTGGTCCCCATTCTCCGACCCCACCTCCACCCCTCGCAGGCCATGCTGACCCCCATGCGGGGCCCCTGCTAGCCTTGGCGAGCTTTAAGGGCCCCCAATGCCAGCCGCAGCCCCCTCTAGAGTATTGATCTTAGCGCTCAGCTGCCGGGGGGTTAGGTATTAAAACGTGTCAATGTTTTTCTTGAAGGTGAGTGACCTTTCATTCCATGATTCATTAGCTACTTTCATTGCTATTCTGATAGCACGACAGTGTTTCTCCCTGGAGGACGTCGTGCAGCACGTGGCTCTGCCTTCGCTCCTAGCCGCAGGTAAGGGTCCCCAGCTCACCTCCAGGGCGGGCAGGCTGGCGCAGGCCGGCCGGGTGGGCGGGGCCTGGCCTCGGGCAGCCCCAAAGGCACCGCACAGCCACGCCCCTTTCTCCCGTGCAGGTGGGTGCCTGCCTAGCTGGTATTTCACCGCCCTCCCGCGGGGAGCGTTTTTATAAACGGTGGCTTAGCAGGCCGCCCGGGACTCTTCTAGAAGGTGCTAGAAAACTTGCTTTTGAACCCCGCCCCGCCCCTCCTCTCTCTCTAGCTTGTGGAGACGCAGATGCCGAGCCCGGGGCGAGGATGACCTGCCGCCTCCTGCTCCATCTCTTCCACGCTCCCCAGGCCTGCTTGTTGCATCAAGCCACGGGTGAGCAAGGACCAGTGGGTGGAACATTCCAGAAGGTCCTTCCTGAATGGTGCGTGGGCGGGCCTGGCGCCTCTGAGCACCTTCCTGCTGAGTCACGGCCCTCCTGGGTTTGGGAAGTCCAACAGGAGTTAATAAGTCCTAGAGTAGCCCCTCGCTCCGGGCCCCAGTGGTGCAGGTGGGTGGGCCTCAGCAGGGCAGAGGTGGAAGGAGTAAGGCCCCCCGGAGTGTGTGCAGGGCCCCCAGAGATAGTACCGCAGGTAGGGCACTTGTGTGGCACACAGCCAGGCTGGAGGAGGCCCCTCCAGGCTCCCTGAGCTCGGCCAGGAGTGAGACCTGAGTGCAGAGCCAGAGTAACCCCCAAGCATCCCCGGCTGTGTACCAGAAACAGACAAAAACCCAGAACTGTGTGCGTGGGATAACCTGCCTACGTGGACCAAAGCCCCACGAGCATTTCCGCACCCTGGTTGAATGATGACACAGGAAAGTGGAGCGAGCACTGTCAGCCGGGCTGCTGGAGTGCCCCGGAAGCCTCTGCAGAGCAGCTCCTGGCCTGAGGCACTGCCACCCAGCAGGCAGCCCTTCCAGCCCCTGGGCGCAGGTGCAGGCGACAAGGGGACTCTGACCTGCTGGATCCTCTCTCCTCAGGCAAACCCTTCCCGGGCATTAGATCTTCCTGCGACAGACACCTCCTGGCCGCAGCTCACAACGGCATTGAAGTGGGGGCCGTCTTCGCTGTCCTAAAGGCCATCATGATGCTGGGTAAGGGGGCGTGGGTACGGCCCGGGCTGACCCACCACGGAGACCCAGCCCGTCGATTCGGGTATAATTCCAGCTAACTTGAGTAGGAACTTGCTTGTCTGGTTCTGTTGGGGACAGCCAGGCAGCTGTCGAGCCCCTCGGCCAGTCCTCCTCCCTACACACAGCGCAGGCTGCCCGTCACCCCCAGTCCTGGGGGAGTTGGCATGCAGTGCCTTCAGGGGTGGTCTGGGAACCCGGAAGGTTCCTGTTCTGATCTATAAAATGGCTCCATATCCAGTTCTGTCTCCGGTAACGCACCCTGTCCAAGCTGCCCTTTTTTGCCTGGTTCTGCTTCTCATTGGCGTTGAGCAGGGATAGCGCCCAGCCTCCGTCCCGCAGGCCACCAGCCTCCTGAGCTGTCTCCCTGACCACCTGCCCACGTTTATGTGCCAGAGCTCACTCAGGATGAGGGAGACTAGGAAGGCTCACAGCTTCACTTTGCCTCACTTGTACCTTATTTGTACCTGGTTTGTACCAGAATGAGCTTGGGTCTTGACCAAGAAACAGGTGTAATTTCTTAGTATCAAAAATGCTCCCTTTGATTAGAAGAGAAATGATGTAAGGAGAAATATGTATGTATGTAATATGGAGCGATAGCACAGCGGTAGGGCGTTTGCCTTGCGCGCAGCTGGCCCAGCCAAGCTGGGTTCGATTCCTCTGCCCCTCTCGGAGAGCCCGGCAAGCTACCCAGAGTATCTCATCCGCACAGCAAAGCCTGGCAAGCTCCCCGTGACGTATTCGATGTGCCAAACATAGTAACAAGTCTCACGATGGAGATGTTACTGGGCCCGCTCGAGCAAATTGATGAATAACAGGAGGACCGTGACTGTGACCCTAATATGTATGTAAAGAGAAATTGGTTTTTGACTTGTTGTAAATAATATATTTGAGCATTAGCTTTTTCCCTTTATATTTCCGTTGGAGAAGGTTTATTCAGTAATGGTTAAGGATGAGGACAAATATAATAATGAGGATAATAGGGCTAGAATCAAATTATTAAAAGTTCACATTTAAAGTTCACTTTTCTGGGCCAGAGAGACGGTACAGTGATGGGCTTTTGCCTTTCCTGTTTTTTTTTTCCCCGATCTTATAACTTAATAAAGTTATAAAGTCATCAGTTTCATTACAGACGTTTCAGTATTCCAACACCAGTCCCACCACCACCGCACCTTCCCATCACCATTATTTCCAATTTTCCCAACCACCCCTTAAGCCTGTCCCCATAGCAGCCTTGCCTGTTCTTGACCAGAGTTCAGTCCCCAGCTCCAAATGTGCCCACTCCTCAAGCCCTGGCAGAAATGATTCCGAAGCAGAACCAGAAGTAAGCCCTGAGCACTGCTGGAATGCCCCTCACGAAGAAAGAACTTATCCTTGGGACTGGGGTTCAGGGGAGAGCCTTGTCTTCCATCCTGCTAACCCCTGCTGCCATGTATGGGGTCCTGAGCACGGACCGCCAGCTGTAGCCCCTAAAACAACAGCAAACGAACACACATTTAAGGAGCATGTTGTTGCACATTTATGTGGATGTATATATGCATGTTTGTGTTTGTTCCTTTGAAGTGCCCCTGGGTTTTGTGAAGGGGAGTGTGAGAGCCACATGGGGGCCGAGGAGGCAGGGTCCGGGGCGGTGGGGTGCGTACCCCTGAGCTTGGGAGCATGAGGTATCATACAGTCAACATTAAATCCCCGTTTCTTAGCTCAGCTCCATCCTGAAGACTGGTCCCCGTCTCAACCCGTGTTGGTGTTCCTCGCTTGGCCCCCTCTGGAGAAGTCTGTGTTCCTTCTCGAATCTTCCTCACTTGTCTTTCTGCCCGCTCTCGTTTCTCTGAGTTTCCTTAAGTAAAGCTGTTTTACTTCCAGAAAAAAAAAGTCCTGGGGCCGGAGTGATAGTCTGCAGTCGGGCATCTGCCTGGCACTCAGCCTCCCAACATCCCATATGGTCCTCGGAGCGCCGCAAGGAGTAACTCCTGAGTCTGGAACCTAGAATAACCCCTGAGCACTGCCGGGTGTGCCCCCAAACAAACCACAGAATCCTCACTTCTTTAAGTACAACTGCACCAGTGGTGTTTGAAAGGAAGTTCTACTTACTAAACGTGGGGAGCCACAGAATTGGGGTTCACTTTCTTCTTCTTCTTTACTGTGGCAGTGCAAAACAGCTGCTTCTTAGGGAGCCCTTGCCCTTGGAGTGCAGGTCTGTGTACAGTTTTGGCCATTGCAAGGTCGCCATTTCCACCCCTGCTGGGACGAGTGTCCTCTGGACACTGAGGAAGACTGACTCCACATTACGTTGGCCAGTCTCTTCAAGTAGGCCGATGGCTGCATTTTTTAAATCTAATTTTATTTTTATGTTTTTGTTTTTGGGGTCACATCCGTCATTGCACAGGGCTGACTCCTGGCTCTGCACTCAGGAGTTACTCCTGGCGGTGCTCAGGGGGACCCTATGGGGTGCTGGGAATCGAACCCAGGTTGGCCACGTGCAAGGCAAACGCCCTCCCTGCTGCACTATCGCTCCAGCCCCAGTGGCTGCATTTAATGGCGCAACATCGCCTAGTGGTTTGGGTCCCCCGATTTTCCTTGAAGGCCTCCCCTTGACCTTTTCACTTGGCCTCAGTTCCTGGTAGAAGGTTGTTCTGGGCTGGGTGTCAGCAGAGCCTTGGGCCAGGCGTTCCGGCCACACCCGGCTGTGCTCAGGCCTGAACAAGCTCTTTGTCCTCTTGTCTGTGCCATGGAAACCCTCAACCCTCCTCGTCATCCCGAACTCAGCCGAGTGGGGCTCTCCTGGGCTGTTTGGCGGGGCCTGTCTTTCTATTTTGACGGCCATGGTCATTTATCCTCCTCCCCTGGGAGGTGCTGACTAGGGCTCCCTCGGTCCTGACTTCCAGGATTCGTTTGCCCCCTGGGAGGTGAGCACTGTTTCGTGGCTTTTGGTAGCTCCTTTCCGAGATGGCTTGGCCCCCGGTGTAGAACTTGTGCTTGAAGTGGCCTGAAGTTGAAGAGAGCATGTGAAAACGGGGTGGTCCCGGGGGCTTGGGGTGAGCTCGGTGCTAGAGCAAATACCTCACATGCGAGAGGCCCATGAGACTTGGTGCCTGTGGCGTCACATCTTTCAGCTCCTGATGACCCCTCCTGAGTGGACAGTGCCCGCTGTGGGGTAGGTAGGTGAGACTCACTCCCAGTGGATTTTTTTTGGTAGTGGTAATTTTAGTAGTTGTTATTTGGGGGCCACACACACGCAGTCCTCAGGGGTAACACCCGACGGGGCTCCCGACCTTAGGCAGTGACAGGAACCGAACGGGGCCGGGTCGGGCATGGACAGGTGAGCACCTTCCCACTGAACTCTCCGCTGCCTTCTCGATGGATTTGATGAGAAACGCCTCGTGATGTCCCGTGAGCCACGGAGGAGTTGAGATGTGTGTTGGCTCCCCCCACCCCCCCTCCCCCCACTTCCAGTTTTACAGGTCACTCTGCAATCTCGGTTCTCGCATTTCTTTGTCCTCCTCTCTGCTTTTTCTTGGCTGACCTGAGCGTTTTAAAAGGCTTTTTGTGCTAACCTGGGCTTGGTTTTACCCACAGGGAGGCCGAGAGGATCTCATCTAATGGGATTCTTGTGGGTTCCAGAACATTCTGGATGGTTTGTGTAAACAGGCCAAAGTTGGGAGACTTCCATCACCAACCATCTTCCTGACCAAAGTGTATTTTCTCGCTGCCAACGACGGTGGTTCTTTTTCACAGTCAGAAAAGACAGCTGACCGTGAAAAAGATGCGAACATTCTGCGCTTTGTCCCCGGCCAGGATTGTGTTTGGCGGGAAGCTCTGAGTTTCCTCGTGCTGAGGGTATGGGAGGCTGGATGTTTGCGGAGCAAAGGGACCGTATGGGGGCCCCTGACAAGAGACTGTCTCCGGGGCAGCCTTGACGTGCCCTGCCCGTCGCTGTCTCCCGGGGAAGGTAAAAAGCGTTTTCACCAGGAGAACCAGAAAAGGAGCTTAGGAGCCCATGAGTGACCTCATGTCACTCATCAGATGAATCTGAATATACCTGTGCTTGAAATATCAGTGAAATCCACATCCCTTGCCTCTCCCTGCTAGTTGTAAAGGTGTTTTTGTTTTTTCTTTTTGGGTCAGACCCGGAGATGCTCAGGGGTTACTCCTGGCTCATGCACTCAGGATTTACTCATGGCAGTGCTCAGGGGAACATATGGGATACTGGGAATCGAACCCAGGTCCGCCACATGCAAGGCAAACGCCCTCCCCACTGTGCTATGGCTCCAGTCCCTGTAAAGACTTTTGTGGGCACAAGCATCACTGAGTCTTGGGCCTGTGTCTCCCCCAGTTTCCCCCTCCCCTCCCGTCTCCCCCATATCTGCAGAAACTTCCTGCATTTGTTTACTATTTATTTAATTTTGCTCTTGGGGTCACGCCTGGCAATGCTCAGGGGTTCCTCCTGGCTCTGCACTCCGGAGTCACTCCTGGTGGTGCTCGGGGGACCCTATGGGAGGCCGGGAATCGAACCCAGGTCGGCCGCATGCCAGGCAAACACTGTGCTATCACTCCGGCCCCACTTCCTGCACTTGTCGTCTGGCTCCTTCCTCTTCTGCTCACCTGCGCCGCGTGCCCGCAGGTCAGACTCCAGTGGACCGGCCTGGCGTGCTCTGCAAATATTCCGCGGCCGTTTCAACTCTGCCTCCGTGATTCTGTTCTTTTAGGAGACGCCAAGATTGGCAGCAACAACGCTTTGAAGAGCGACGACTTCCCGGTGCGGGGCTTGAGGCGGGACGGGAATGCCGAGGAGCTGTGGGCCGCCTCGCAGGGGGCCAAGGCCTGCGGGAAGGGCGTCTCCATCGAAACGGCCAACCTGAGGGAGTACGCCCGCTACGTGCTCAGGACCATCTGCCAGCAGGTACTTCCCGGGCTCGCTTGCTTCCCAGTTGGCACGGCCGCTGCCCGGGGGCGAGAGGCTCCTTCTCCCAGGAGGCCTCACACCTGTCCTCTTCCTCTCCTGCCGGCCTTTCTTCTTAGTCTTTTCCAATTTGCTGGAAAGTTGCGTTGCCGGGGCCCCCTGTTTTCGCCCTTTCGCCTGGTCGTTCTGTGTGGATGCGTATCTGTTTGATGCGCTGTGGTTTTGCTTTTTGGGCTGAGCCGCTCAGGGGTCGGTGGTGGGAGCTCATCTCTGTTGCTCTCCAGTACTTGATTGTTCTTTATTAAAGTGACCAAAGTTGAGGTCAGCAATAAGAATATTAAGCCCGGCCATTACTAGGCCCTGTTCTGATTGTGTCACTTGTCCCTGCAATGTGGGGCTCCCCCAGAGTTTCCTGTGGATTCGCATCAAACAGTGCGTTCCTGTTTAGCTCCTGTGGGGCATGCTCTTTCATCATGTTTTCCTTCCAGTTTTCTTCTGGGGCTCGTGAGAAGTACAGAGGCTTCGGCACTGGCCTTCCACACGGCTGACCCCAGTGCAATCCCCGGCATTGCAGAGAGTGCCCCCAGAAGTGCCAGAAATGACCCCCAGAGTCAGGAGCAAGCCTGACAACAGCCAGACAGGGCCCCCAAACCAAAAACCACCAGATTTCTCACCCATGGTTCGTCGTTTTTGCCTTGCATGGGAAAGTACCCTGAGACGGAGCCTCTTGTCTGCTCTTGGCATCCTCCTGCTCACCCTTCAGCTTCTGCCTCGGTTCTTGTACACACCAGTCTTGACTAGGAGCTTTACAAAATGTTGGCGGGATTCCTCCTCCTCCTCCTTTCTCTTCTCCTCCTCTTCCCCCTCCTCCTCCTCTTCCTCTTAGAAACGGGGCCCTTAAGTGTGCCCATTGCTGCCCCAGTGAGGCTGTGCAGGGGTGACTGTGCTACACCTTGCATACGGTCAACTCTGGGTCAGTCCGCAGTGATACCACATATGGTCCCCATTTGCGGTGCCAGGCATGACCCTGAGCACAGAGCCAGGAAGAAGTCCTGAGCATTGCTGGGTGTAGCCAAAGAGCTTGCTGTCCTCCTGCCTGTAGGACGAGGCTGGTTGATTGCCAGCCCTCCAGCAGACAGAGCTCAGGAGAGCCCCGTCTTGATAGACGCCTGTGTAAAGCATCAGTTCCTACTGAAAGCTTGGCCCAGTGCAACCCCACCAAGTTCTCTTCCTAAGGACTGTGTCCCGTTCTGTATCAGCTGTGCCTCCTTCCATGCTCAGAACATTAGCTCCAAGGAATATCAGTGACGACTCATTTTCTCAGCTCCATACCTGAGAAGGTTACGGAACCCCCAAGCTACAGACCCTGGAGTTAAACGTTTGCTTGTAGCTGTTTCCCTCGGGGCTGAGACTACCGTGCCCGGCAGGTAGTTTGAGCCATCTCTCTGCGTGTTCATTTCTCCTTGGCATCAGATTGATCTCATTTGTTCATGTCTCTTTTGGTTTCTATCTCCTTTCTCCCCTGGCCTGCCATTCTAGTAGCATGCTTCAGGAGCTGGGGAGATAGCTCAGAGTGATGGGGTACACACCCCCGGGTTTGCTCTCTGACCCTGAGTACACACACACACACACGAATGCACGCACACACCTACCCTCCTCTACCCACGATGAGTGGGCTGCGTCTCACAGCACTGCCAGGTGGAGCCTGACTGAGAACAGCAGCCGGGCCCCGAGCTCTACTGGGGAGTCCCCCCCAGTGCCAACGCCCCAAAATGATGTGGCCAAGAGGCCCCTCCGTCGCCCATCTGCCCTCCATCCCTCATCTTAGATGGCCCGTTTCACGGCTCTTCTTGCCCAGGTGTTGTCTCGGTTCTCCCATCACTGTGCTCACAGTGACCACGGACTCCGCGCCTTGCCCCAGACAGGAGCTGGCTCTCAAGGCCCTGGGTGGAGACGCTCCCAGAGGTGACTGTCCTGTGGGGCAAATGCTGCTCGGTTCACATGGAGGAAACGGCTTTGGCACCAAGCAGTGTCTTTGACATCTGTGGCCTGCCCAGAGCTTGGCTGCGCTGATGTGACATAGGTCCAGACACTGGACATTGAACCAGCCCCACGGGTGCTTTTTCCTACTCTTGGTTTGCTCATGGGGGTGGAACCCAGGGCACCTCTGGGTTCGGCTCCCTCCTGCTCTGGGGGGTTCATGCAGCATTTCTCAACCAGGATCACAGGCTTCCTGGCAGACCCCCGGGAGTTTTAGGGGAGTAAAAAGGAGGACAGAGGGGGGCCTGGAAGGAAACGAGGTTGGGAGTGGGCCACAGTCTGGAAGGGGTTGAGAAGCAGTGCTGTGATCGACGAGAGGAGTCCCTAGTGCAGTGGTGGGACAGATCGGAAGATAGGGCCGGGCTCCGGGTGCCACCCAGCGCCCCCCACTCCCATCCTGGGTACCACGTCGCTCCCTGGGCATTCCCTGGGGCACTGAGGCCCAGTCCACGGCATCTTACATTGAACAGCCAGTCCGGTGGGCCAAGGGTTGCCAGGAGGGGCAGTTTGGGGGAATCTCTTCATTCCCCACCCCCCAAGGAGACTTCATCAGAAGCAGATCTGGGTGCAGGTGGGGCTCAGTTACTCTGTACAGTTTCTTTTTTTTTCCATTTTGGGTCACACCTAGCGATGCACAGGGGTTCCTCCTGGCACATGCACTCAGTAATTACTCCTGGCAGTGCTCGGGGGACCATATGGGATGCTGGGGATCGAACCTGTGTCCGTCATGTGCAAGGCAAACGTCCTACTCGCTGTGCTATTGTTCCAGCCCCACTGGACAATTTCTTACTCAGCTAAGTGTCTTGAGTTGGCCTTTGACAAAATTACGTTTAAAAAAAAAGTTAACACTGAGAGACCCTCTCTGGGGGACAGTACCACAGGAATCAAGGCCTTAAATGTCTCAAGACTCTGGTGTAGCAATTACACCTCTATCAGATTAGCCGAAAAACCTATAAAAGATAGATGTGCATTGAGATTTAACTAAATATTGATGATAATAACGTTGTTCATAATGATAATAAAACATAAGGCAATTTTCTCAGTCTTCTAACATTTTTTTCTTCTTATTGGAATATAGTACATTGTATTCTCTGAAAACAAAGACATTATGGAATAGAAAAATTAGCATTACTAAATTACAAAAGTACTAGAAAATGAGACCTAAAAGCATACCTCATTTCCCAAATAAAAATATATACCTTTGACCCTTGGGGCTGGAGCGATAGCACAGCGGGTGGGGCGTTTGCCTTGCACCCGGCTGATCCTGGTTTGATTCCCAGCATCCCATATGGTCCCCTGAGCACCTCCAGGAGTAACTCCTGAGTGCAGAGCCAGGAGTAACCCCTGTGCATCGCCGGGTGTGACCCATAAAGCTAGCCCTGTGCTCAGTGGTCGCTCCTGGAGGGGACTGGGGTGACCACCTGTGGTGCAGGGGATGGATGCCAGGCAAGCACCCTCCCAGCTTTACAATCTGTCTCTCCCTGGCCCCTTTCATTGTTTTTCCTTGGGGGCGACACCTGCCGTCTTCAGGGCTCTGCGCCCAGGAATCACTCCTGACTATCTTTTTTTTAGCAGACTTTTAAAAAGTCAAGGTTCCACACCATATGTTTTAAGGATTCAGAATATTATAACATTCTGTAACTAGGGCTGGGGATGTGGCTCTTGTGTCGGCCTGGATTCAGCCCCCAGCACTGCGCGTCCTCCCTGACACACCAGAATAGCAGGGCGTGGCACAGAACTACCCAAAATAAACAATAACATGGGGGGGGGGGGGAGGTAAGTAAATGATTTTTCAACATTTCCCTTCCTGCTGTCCCCAGCTGAAGCCCTTGCGCTCCCGGAAGCTGTCTCTGGCTTCCTGCTTCTCTGTGTGGGGCAAGAGCGTGGCCCCGACCACCCCCTCTCCCAGGGCTGGGTCTGCGGCTGCCCTTCCAGGCTGCCCCTGGCATCTCGGAGCTGGGGAGATGGGGGGCACAGCCTGCGGTCCGAGGGGCTTTGTCCCAGCTCCGCTAGCCCCCTCCCTGCCATCCCTTGCTCTAGGAGTGGGTGGGCGAGCACTGCCTCCGCGAGCCCGAGCGACTGTGCACGGACAAGGAGCTGATCCTGGACCCGGTGCTGTCCAACATGCAAGCCCAGAAGCTGCTGCAGCTCATCTGCTACCCGCACGGCATCAAGGAGTGCGCGGAGGGCGACAACGTGCAGAGGCAGCACATCAAGCGCATCCTGCAGGTGCCAGTGGGACACCCTGGGAAGGGGGCGACCTCGGGCCCCAGCTCCCCGCTCCCGGTCGCTGCTTCTGTGTCTGCGCTGTTCGTTCCAGTTCCCTGGGATTGTTCCCCCATGCCCACCCTCCCTTTTTTTTTTTTTTTTGCCTGTGTCATGAGTGCTTCTCTCTAGCTTGGTGGCTGAAAGACGCTCAGCCACCCCATCGCTTGTCACTTGTCATCCCCTTGTTCATCGGTTTGCTCACGCGGGCACCGGTAGCGTCTCTATTCCTCCCTGTCGCGTGATAGTGTAGCCCAGTGGCGCCCTGGGGGCTCTTTCGGGGTCAGAGGAACGAGACCCGTTATTGCTACTGTTTATTGTCGCCCATCTCATAGATCTGGGATTTCAGTAGAGATGCTTGTAGGAGGGTCCATCCTGTGGAGGGGCTGTAGTCGTCATCAAAGAGTCCAGACGTGCACCAGGGTCGTCTCGGTGGGGCCAGAGGTTTGGAGGAGGAGGTCTTCTCCGGGGCCACCTGATGTCCGCAGCTGGGTCAGCGCCGTTTATTTCTGCGTTCTCTGAGGCTGTTGGCCTGGCAGCCTTTGAGCCTTCCAAGTCCTTGGGTGGCTGATGACGCTCGTTGGTTCATCTGGCTCTGGAGAGGGACTGCTGCAAGGAATCACTCCATTTCCAGATGCACCTGGTCCCCTTCCTGTGTTAACCCGTCCCCTTTTCCCCAGAATCTGGAGCAGTGGACGCTCAGGCAGTCCTGGCTGGAGCTGCAGCTGATGATCAAGCAATGTCTGAAGGAGCCTGTGAGTAGACGGGGGACAGCCCGCGTGCACACAGGCGCGGCCAACGTGGGCACTGGCCGCAGAGGGGACGGAAGCCCGAGTGCTGGTTTTCTCTCTCTGTCTCTCTCTCTAGGGCTCGGGCTCCGTGGCCGAAATGAACAACCTCCTGGACAATATCGCCAAGGCCACGATCGAGGTGTTCCAGCAGTCGGCCGACCTGAATGCTTCCGGGTCGGGCCTGGGCCTCTTCAACCCCGGCGGCCTCGGGGGCACTGACACGAGCAACACGAGACCCAACGGAATCAAGACGTTCCTGAGGTCTGTTCCGGGGCCTCGGCAGAGACTGTGCGGGCAAGGCTGGACTTCAGTTGCACGTTGGGCTGGGAGAACCCTCCCGCCCGGGCAGGCGACCAGGCCCAGAGCTCAGGCCAGAGGCAGCTGTTCTTGCCCTCAGGCCGGGGGGTGGGGGGGGGGCAGGGAAATCTTCCTGGAGGAGGCACCTTGCCTTACTCTATCTCTCTGAGGTTGTGTGCAAAGGATCCACGGGCAACACTCGCCTTGTAGGTCATTCACTGCGGTGTAAAGTACTAGTGTGTTTTCACGTTGGGAAGTTTGCCAGGGTGGGGGCTTCAGCAAAGGTACAGCACTTAAACACGGCAGGAAACTGTCCTCAGAGACAGACGGGCTGTGGCTAACCATAGCGTCGGATAAACGGGGTGGCTTTGGGACCAAGAAATGCTTTCATAGATTTTTTTTTTGCTTTTTTTGGGTCACACCTGGCAATGCACAGGGGTTCCTCCTGGCTCTGCACTCAGAAATTGCTCCTGGCAGCAGTGCTCGGGGAATCCTGTGGGATGCTGGGAATTGAACCCGGGCTGGACGTGTGCAAGGCAAACGCCCTCCCCGCTGTGCTATGGTGCGATGGCAGCGGCCCTTCGGATTATATTTTTTTAAACACACACACACACACACACACACACACACACACACCGTTTGTGCCTTCCCTCCGAGGAAGCCCTCCGTGGGCCGGCAGCCTGTGCAGGGCACTGTGTGACTGTGTGGCCATGTGAACGTGTGACTCTGTGCGACCGTGCGACCGTGTGCTCCTGGGCCGCGCTGCGTGTGCCCCCGGCAGCCCGGTGACCCCTGCTTCTGATTCCAGTTCCTCTGAACGCAGGGGCGTGTGGCTCGTCGCCCCCCTCATCGCCCGGCTGCCCACCTCCGTGCAGGGCCGCGTGCTGAAGGCCGCGGGGGAGGAGCTGGAGAAGGGGCAGCACCTGGGGTCCTCGTCCAAGAAGGAGCGGGACCGGCAGAAGCAGAAGAGGTACGGGGGCCACCGCGGGCCACTGACGGGACCATCTGGGTGGGTGAGGGGGCCCCTGCCGGTGCTGGGGGTCTCTGCCCAGGGGCCACCCTGGCTTCGAGTCGAGTTCGCTCAGCTCCTCCTCCTTGGTCTCGCTGGGCCTCGTTTTGTCTTCTGGGAGGTTGTGGGGCCACATCCCGCAATGCTCAGTGCCTGGGGGACCGGGCGGGGCCACTGAGCTGTCAGAAATGGTGCTGGTCCTGTGCCAGAACCGGCCAGGGCAGCAGGGCCCAGGTACTTCGAGGACAGTGCTCCTCAGCCCCACTTGAGTGCGTCCCTGAACTTGGCTTTTATCAGTCTTCCTTTCTCTTTTCTATTTTTCTTTCTATTTTTTTTTCCTTTGTTATTTGGCCACACCGGCAGTGCCCAGCTGTTACTCCCAGCTCTGTGCTCAGGGATTACTCCTAGCGGTGTTCTGGGGATGGCAGGCATCACACCCAGGTCCACCATGTGCAAGGCAAATACCCGACCCGCTTGTACTGTTGTTCCGGCTCTAATCTTCCTTTTTTCATGACTTAATTATTTTAAATATTCATAAGATCAGGGTCAAGAATGGGGGTGACCCAGTACAGCATTCACTATGAGTGTGAGATTGACCCCCGAATTCAATCCCTTCCTCTGCCCCTCCCCCACATCAACACACACACACACACACACACACACACACACACACATTATAATTTGGTCATGTTGGGTCCTGAAGAAGTTCCTGATTTTTTTTTTTTTTGGTGGGGAGTAGTGGAACCACCTCTCTCAGGGCTTGGGGAATGCCCCTGACCAGCAGCGTGGGGATCACTCCCTTTGGTGCTCAGTGCTTGAGACCAAGGACGAGCTGGGAGCACCGGGTGCAAATATGCCCTTGAGCCCCTGAGTTCAGCCATTCCTGTAGCCCTTTGACTCTGGACCAGACACGAAGGTTCAGAACCACCAACTGTGCAGACATTTGTGCCATACACAGCCCCACCCCCAGAGGAAAGATCTTAGATCATTTGAGACGTGAAAACTAACCAGATTACCAAAAAAGAACAATACTCTCTCCTATAAAAACACGGGGTCTGACACGCCACAGGAATAATGAGAGGGGAAAAAAATCATTTCTTTCTGTTGAAACAGATTCCCAAGAAGTAGGTTTCTTATCCCCTGATTAATAAGTGAGTAACTGGTGGGGTGCAGCCCAGCTATAAGTCCTGTCATATGCACACACACACACACACACACACACACACACACACACGCATGCGCACACGTGAACCTACAAAGCCTCTCATCAGTCGTGGGGGGCAGTCTCCCTCCTCGCCCCCCTTTCACAGAGGGGAAAACGAGACCGTGATCAGCCCAGCAAGCGTCCCTGAGACCCAACTCTGGGGATCAGTGTGTGAGCTGGGGATCACGTCAGGTTTCTGCCCAGACGCCCTCGCTGTGGGACACTGGCCTCGGGGCCTGGCTCAGGGTGCTTTGCTTGTTACCTGGCTGTTCCCTGTCTCAGCCAGTCGCCTCTACTCAGCCATTGACACCCCTCTTGATTTTCCCAAGTTGTTCTGCTCAGGCGCTTCACGCCTTACCCGGTGCCCATAGGGGGACCCCGGGCATCCTGGGGGTGGGGCATGCTCAGAAGCCTTGGGGAGTGTCCTGACCTCGGTCTCACTCGGAGGCCGTCTGCACAAGGTGGCCCTGAATAATAATGAGAATAATAATAATAATAATAATATTGCGATGTTCAGGGGTTACTCCTGGCTCTGCACTCAGGAGTTACTCCTGGCAGTGCTCAGGCGACCCTATAGGATGCTGGGAATCGAACCCAGGTTGGCCGTGTGCAAGGCAGACGCCCACCCTGCTATGCTGTCACTCCAGCCCCTCTTTTTAAGATGATCATTGTTGAGGTGAGACGGCTACGCCACTGGCCGCGTTTATGGGTTCATGCACACAGTGACAGCACCTTGGCGGCCCTAGAATGCCCAAGCGCCCTCCTTACTGGGTTGCATTTACTCCGATCAGCCCGAGTGGCTCTTCTCTGATCATCCAAGATGGGGCACTAATGTCAGTGTGAAGCCTGTGGGCCAGGGCTGCCGGCTGCCATGTGAGGGGGTTTGCATCACCATTTTGGAGCAATTGGCCCAGAGTGCTGGGCTCAGCTGATCAGCCCCCCCCCCCCCCGCACCGTGGCATGGTTGGAGAGAAGGCCCCAGAAACCTGGACAACCCCTTCCGAACGGGATGCAGCCAGGGGCGGGGGGTGGGGGGGAACAGTGCCGCCTTTTCCCCTCCCTGCTGCCTCTAAACCAGCCTTCCTTCAGCTTGATCCCGAAATTCAATTTTCCAACGTGGAACACAATTTCTCCTCTTCCTGCCCTCTGCCTGGCTCTTGTGGGGCACGGATTGATGCCTTCAAGGGCAGGAGAGCATATTAAATTATTAAAGAGCATTACTGTGGCTTTGATCTCATTAGCCGGGAGCGGGTTGAACTGGGTCATTTACCACTCACTTCTCTTTGCTAATGGCCGGAGAAGTGCACGCAGGAAACCCCCGGGGCCAGGACCTAACGGGCCCCGGCCTTGGCCGCCCTCTGCCTCCCTCTGCAGCATGTCCCTCCTGAGCCAGCAGCCTTTCCTCTCCTTGGTCCTGACCTGCCTCAAGGGGCAAGACGAACAGCGGGAGGGTCTCCTGACGTCTCTGCAGAACCAGGTCAACCAGGTAAAGTGTGGGAGAAGCTCGGAGTAGGTATTGGTCTTCCTCTCGAAGGCGGAGATTCCGTTCATCAAAGGGCACAGCCTGTGTGTGCTTCGCGTGGGAAGAGACGGCTCACACCCTGTTCCCCAGCCAAGGCCGTCACCCCGAGGATCGCTCTGCCTTCACTCTGCAGCGTCCATGAGTGCTCAAAACAGTGTTTGGAGGGCTGGGGCGACAGCACAGCGGGGAGGGCGTTTGCCTTGCACGCCGCCAACCTGGGTTCGATCCCCATCATCCCATAGGGTCCCCGAGCACCACCAGGAGTGATTCCTGAGTGCGTAAGCCAGAAGGAACCTCTGAGCATCGCCGGGTGTGACCCCAAAAGCAACTGCGATAGATCTGCTTAGATAGATCTGCGATAGAACTCCTGGTTCTGTGATCAGGGCTTAACCCTGACTCTGTGCTCAGGGCTTACTCCTGGCTCTGTGCTCTGGAATTACTCCTGGCTCTGTGCTCTAGAATTACTCCTGGCTCTGTGCTCCATGCTTCCTCCTGGCTCTGCACTCAGGACTCACTCCTGGCTCTGTGCTCAGGCTCACCCTTGGTGGGGCTCAGGTCACCATAGGGTGCGTTGGTTGTCGAATGAGCGATCCCGGCCATGCATCCGTCGGAAGCGGGTTCGTTTGCAGAGACTATGGCTGCAGGTTGTGTGCGTCTCAGTGTTCTCCCGGGCAGGCTCTGTTTGGGGCCTTTGCAGTCACATCACGAAGGGAAACGAGTGTGGGCTGGAGGCTGGGCTGAGGCCCCTCGGGCGCTCCCGCGTCAGGGCCACGGTTGTGGGCGGCCTGTGCCTGCACGGGGGTGGGGCTGGTGGCCGGGAACAAGGACGCTTTGCCCATTGGTCATCTCCTGCCTTCTGGACACCAGCAGCCAGGCCATTAGGGCAAGCCTGAGTCGCTCGGGGCTCGGGGCTCCGCGGGCCCCTGCCTCCCGCCACGTCCAGCGCCAGCCCCCAGGGACCCTCCTGCCCTGCCCTGTCTCCTTGGTCCTTGCGGCTGGGTCTCGCCCCTCCCTGCCCATTGGCTGCCGCCCTGAATCGTGCCCAGCTGAGCCCCGTGGCAGCGGTGCTGTGCCCCCATCACCTGGCAGATTTCCGTCTCCCCACAGCCCCGTTCCCCCTCAGGGTCTGCTCTAAGGGGCGGCCCCCAACCACCCCAACAGCACCTCAGGCCCTGGGCCCGCTCCTGCTGCCCCCCCCCCCCACCCCGTGCCTCGTTTTCACCTGTCCTGCTATGGGAGTGCAAGGCGGCTGGGGCCCTCAGGCGAAACCCAGGCAGAGGCTGTGGCTTCTCGTTCTTTCTTGGGCGCCACACGCGGCCCTGCTGGGTGGCTACTCCCAGCACAGTGCTCGAGAGACCACAAGTTGCTGGCATGGCTGAGTTTAAACAAGCGCCACGATAATGGAGCCGGGAAAGCTGCATCTTTTCCCCCTGTTTTCCTTAGATTTTGAGTAACTGGCGAGAAGAGCGGTACCAGGACGACACCAAAGCCCGGCAGATGATGCACGAGGCACTGCAGCTACGCCTGAATTTGGTGAGAGGCCTTTCTAGAACGTTCTCTAGTAAGAGGCCTTTCTAGAACATTCTCTGGTGAGAGGCCTTTCTAGAACGTTCCCTGGTGAGGCCTTTCTAGAATGTTCCCTGGTGAGAGGCCGTTCTAGAGTGCTCCCTGCAGAACACCGCCCTGGGTGGGGGAAGAGCTGTGTCAGTCTCTGTCCTGGGGGAGGTCTCTGCCCTTCGCGCCCGGCCGTGTCCTTCCCATGTGGCCCCCGCTCAGACAGCAGTCAGGTCTGGGAGGCGGGTTTGTGGCCTTTCCGTTGGGTGCCGGAAGTGCGTCTGTGAATCTGTGCTGGCCCCTGGATCCCCGCAGCCTCCCCTGGCTGAGCCCACAGCCTGCAGAGTCCAGTCCCAGGTCATCGTGGGCCACGTGTACCGTTTGAACGGAAGCAGTGGCCGTTTCTGAATGGACCTGAGTCGCTTATAAAAGGCAGAAATGAAACATCTGGAGAGAAGGAACAGTGCGGAGGGCGCTGGCCTGGCACCTATCTGACCCGGTTTGACCCTGACACCCTGTACGGTCCCCGAACACCCCCAGGAGTGGTCCCTGAGTACAGAACCAGGAGTCAGCCCTGAGTACTGTTGGCGGTGATCAAAAACAGGTTGATTTGAATTTGCCCCTAGAGCCATAGCCGCTCGCACCCGGGGCTCCATGCCAGGGGAAGGGCTGACCTCAGGGCTCACTGAGCCCTCCACTCGCACCAAGCTCCAGCCCCCAAAGCATTTCATAAACCAGAATTTGCTCCAGCCGCCTGCCTCGAAGATCACACCACAACCCCCGCAGCCAGCCAGGCCTTTGCAAACGTAAAATTTACCCCTCTCAGTCCTGTAACGTCTCTTCCCACCGGACCAGGCCAGGCCAGGGCTGCTTGGAGCACGCAGGGCTGGCACGCAGCCTTAGCCACGTCATTCCTGCAGGTGACTGAGGTGGCCTGGGCTCCTCCCCTCCTGCCCATCCCGAACTTCACTGGACACCTCCAGGGGCTGCTGGGAGCCCCTGGACTCAGTAGTGACCGGATAAAACAGCATCGCAGAGAACCAGAGTGCATCCCTTTGACCCTTTCCGGTTTGTTTCTGTATCATCATCATCATCATGATTTTGAGGTGCAGGAATTAAACCCACAGCCTCACGTGCCTTAACCCCTGTCCAACCTCTCTAGCCCCTCCTTACTCTGTGATCACGAAGTTCCCCTGACAAAGGGACGCCCCCCTCTCTAACCCCAAGGGAAAATGTCAGATATGTTGCTCGATGGAGAAGATCACCCACAAACCAGCTCAGCCCCCTGTTCTCAGTTCAGAAGTCACTCCGTGCCCTTCCTGAAGATCTGCTTCCTTCAAGCCGAGTTTCTCCCCATTTCCCGGGGGCTTCTTCTGTCCCCCATTCCCAGCACCCACCTTCTCAGGCAGTGGAGGGGGGTGCAGCAATGCTCCCTTGGGGAAGCCCTGAACCGGTTTATCACTTAGGTGTGTCTGTTTAACTTTTGGGCCACACATAGCAGTACTCAGGGGTTACTCCTGGCTCTGTGCTCAGGGATCACTCCCGACAGTGCTCGCTCGGGGAACCATCTGGGATGCCGGGGGCGAAACCCAGCTCAGCCACAGGCAAGGCCAAGCACCCTACACAGTGTCTAGTCATCTCTCTGGCCCCTCTGACATATTTTTGGGTGTTTTGTGGGGTCTGTTTTGTTTTGGGTCACACCCCGCGATGCTCAGGGGTCACTGCTGGCTCTGTGCTCAGAAATCACTCCTGGCAGGCTCCAGAGACCTGTGGGACATGGGGGGGGGGGGGGGGTGGACCGAGCCCGGGTCAGCCACAGGTGAAGCAAATGGAGGGAAGTTATTCGGGAGAGGGGTGGACGCAGAACACTCTCTGCACTGTCCCTCTCGTCATGTTATTTAAGTCCTCCAAGTTTGGCTGCCCAAACGGTGGCATGCCACGTGCTGGGTGACTCAGCGCCTCTCTGTCGCCACGGCAGGTGGGAGGGATGTTCGATACCGTCCAGAGGAGTAGCCAGTGGACCACGGACTGGGCGCTGCTGCTGCTGCAGATCGTCACGTCTGGCACCGTGGACATGCACACCAACAAGTGGGTGATGACATCACACGCCCGCCCCTCCCCCAGACCCGGGCCCAGGCTTTGACATGACCTCTCACCTCGGACCCCCTTCCAGTCCCCGGCGGCTCCCCGGGCTGGCTAGGGTGACAGCGACTGTCCTCTCTCCCTCAGCGAGCTCTTCACCACGGTGCTGGACATGCTGGGCGTCCTCATCAACGGCACCCTGGCCTCCGACCTCCCCAGCGCCTCCCCCGGGGGCTCCGAGGAGAACAAGCGCGCCTACATGAACCTCGTCAAGAAGCTCAAGGTAGGGGCTGGAGCGAGAGCACAGCGGGGAGGGCGTTGGCCTTGCACGCGGCCGACCCGGGTTCAATTCCCAGCATCCCATAGGGTCCCCCGAGCACTGCCGGGAGTGACCCAAAAAGCAAAAAAAAAAAAAAAAAAGCTCAAGGTAAGCTGGCCCAGCCCACCGTTCCCTGCGTCCCTCTCCCTCCGACCCCTCTGGAGATGCCCCGCAGCCGAGGGTGCCTGATTGGATTGTCTGTTCTCGGCCTCCGCCCTCGCCCCTGTGACTCACAGACTGGAGATTTTTGTTTGTTTAATTTTATCTTTGGCAGCAGGTCTGCAGTGCTGTCTGCGGCCGGGTTCCTGCTGACAGCCGGCCCGCCACCCTCCGCGCCTGTCCCCACTTCCGTCCACCACGGTCCCCACTTCCTCCCACCCATCCTGTCCCTCTGTGTCCCGCCGCGGGCAGCTTCCTACCCAAGACCAATTCTCGGTGCCGTGGACCTCGTTCTCCCCACTTTACATCCCACAGAGAGCGTTCTGCACCCGTCACTCTCCCGAGTGACTTCCCTCCGTGCCACGCTGACCAGACCCATTCACAAGTTGCCCGCTACTGTCTTTTCCTCCCTCCAAGTAGTAGTTCGGAGTGTAGATACACCTGGTGATTTCTCAGCCATCAATTCTTGGACAGGTTTTGTTTTACTCTTAGATTCACAGACCATTTGTTCCCCCCTTTTGTGCCCCCTGCAGAGCCCGAACAGTCTAATAAACACCCCCTGCAACGCCACCCATCCCAGCACCTGCAGCAGAGTTAGGACACATCCCACGCGTTTGGGTTTGGTAATCGCGACACCACCTTGGACATAGTCCCCCAGGCCCATGGGGAGAGCTGTGCCTGAGGCTCCCCGGGGGCCGAGAGAGAAGCGGAGGGTTACCTTGGGGTCCGCCTGTGGGTTCTGGGCTGGGTGCTGCCCCGCGGCTCCGGCGCTCCCCGTGCAGATGCCACCCCGGGTTTCTGTCATCTCAGCACTGTGTGGCAGTTGGGTAACGCGGGGCTGGCTCTGGGCGCTATTTTCTGCTGAGAGAAGTGAAACGGCCTCAGCCCCTCAGAGGCGCAGCCCAGACCTGCACAGCAGCTGGAAATGGGGAACCGGCTCCCGGGAACTTCCTTCCTTCACTTTTGCCCTCCTTGTGATCTCTCTCTCTCTCTCCCCCTCTCCCTCCCTCCTCCCCCTCTCTCCCTCTTTCCCTCCTTCCCTCCCTCTCTCTCTCCCTCCCTCTTCCTTTTTCCCTCCCTCTCTCCCTCTATCTCTCCCTCTCTCTTTCCTTCCCTCCCTCTTTCTCTCCCTTTCTCTCCCTCCCTCCCTCCCTCCCTTCCTCTCTCCCTCTCTCTCCCTCTCTTCTTTCCTCCCTCCCTCCCTCCCTCCCTCCCTTTCTCTCTCCCTCTCTCCCTCTCTCTTGCTCCCTCCCTCTCTCTCTCTCCTTCTCTATCTCTCCCTCTCTCTTTCCCTCCCTCCCTCTTTCCCTCTCTTTCTCTCCTTCCCTCCCTCCCTCCCTTCCTCTCTCCCTCCCTCTCTCTCCTGCTCCCTCTCTCTCTGTCCCTCTCCCTCTCTCTTCCTCTCTCTCTCTGTCGCTCTCTCCATTCTTGCCCCTCCCCCTCCCCTCTCTCTCTCTCCCTCCCTCCCTCCCTCTTTCCCTCCCTCCCTCCCCCTCCCCCTCTCGCAGAAGGAGCTGGGGGATAAGCGCTCAGAGAGCATCGACAAGGTGCGCCAGCTGCTGCCGCTGCCCAAGCAGACATGTGACATCATCACGTGTGAGCCCATGGGCTCCCTGATCGACACCAAGGGGAACAAGATTGCTGGGTTCGACTCCATCGATAAGAAACAGGCAAGAGCAAACGTTTCCCCGTCCGTGTAAGCACAGAAATGCAGAACAAAGTACCGTTTCCCCCTTTCTCTATGGTGTGTGTGTGCATGCTTAGAGAAACGCATGCAAATATGCATTCTATTGATATATGTAAAGATCTCAATTGTTTCCTGATTTTTCTCCAACCAACATTTTGATCCAGACATAACACTTACTGTTCTATGAATGGGAAATTTTTGTTTTTGTTTTTGGGTCGTACCAGACTGTGCACTCAGAGATCAATCACCCATGTGCAGAAGAGCAAATTATCTTCTATACTACCTAGCCCCTAAATAGGAGATATTTTGTTTGGTTGGTTGGATCGGTTTGCTCTGTTTATATTTTTTCTGAATTTGGGGGCCGTACCTGGAGTGTCCTAGTTGTTACTCCTAGTTCTGTGCTCAGGGGTCCCTCCTGGCAGGCTGGGGGACCGGGTAGAGTGCCAGGCTGTCTCTCAGCCCCAGTAGGAGAAGCTTTTGGAGATCACAAGTTACAAAGAATTGTTTAAAGAATTCCTAAAGTTGGGACTGGAGCAACAGCACAGCGGGTAGGGCGTTTGCCTTGCACACGACCAACCCGGGTTCGATTCCCATCATCCCATAGGGTCCCCCAAGCACTGCCAGGAGTGATTCCTGAGTGCAGAGCCAGGAGTCACCCCTGAGCATCCCCCGGTGTGACCCAAAAAGCAAAAAAAAAGTGAGTTGGCAGTGCTGTATTCGAAGTCTTTTCTCTAGGGCACTTAAGCAGGTCGCATTTTACAGCACAGTGATGCGGGACCCCCTGGCGCTGGGACCCGAGTCGGGGATGCGGACGGGGATGCGGGACCCCCGGTGCCGGCTACTGCCCCGAGGGCTCACCGACGGTCACTCCTGCAGGGCCTGCAGGTGTCGTCGAAGCAGAAGGTGTCGCCGTGGGACCTTTTCGAGGGCCAGAAGAACCCCGCGCTGTCCTGGGCCTGGTTCGGCACGGTGCGCGTGGAGCGGAAGGTGGTGCGGTTCGAAGAGCAACACCACCTGCTGCTCTACCACACGCACCCGCCGCCCAAGCCCCGCAGCTACTACCTCGAGCCCCCGCCGCTGCCCCCCGAGGACGACGACGAGGACCCCGTGTCGCCCGTGTCCCAGGAGCCCGAGCGCAAGTCGGCCGAGCTCTCGGACCCGGGCCGGGCAGCCGCCGACGAGGAGAAGAAGACCAAGGGCAGGAAGCGCAAGGCCAAGTCGGGCCCCCGGGGAGACGTGAGTTGCCCGCCCGGCCCCTCTCGCCCCCTCCCCCGCCCCCCCGACAGCTGCGGTGTCTCGAGTGGTCACTGGCAGCACCGAACTCATGGGCTCTACCCTGAGGCCAGTCCCACCCTGCGCCCCGAGGGCGGTGTCTGAGTGTCCCCCCCGTTGGTCCCCTTCTCTGTCTGTGCTTTCCCGCTGCCAAGGAGTCAGGCCCCGTGTGTGGCTTTGGTGGCTGCCCTGTCTGCCAGCCTCCAGCCGTGTTTTCTTTCTTTCTTTCTTTCTTTCTTTCTTTCTTTCTTTCTTTCTTTCTTTCTTTCTTTCTATCCTTCCTTCCTTCCTTCCTTCCTTCCTTCCTTCCTTCCTTCCTTCCTTCTTTTGCTTTTTGGGTCACACCCAGCGATGCACAGGTGTTAATCCTGGCTCTGCACTCAGGAATTACTCCTGGCGGTGCTCAGGGGCCCCTATGGGATGCTGGGAATCAAACCCCGGTTCGCCGCGTGCAAGGCAAACGCCCTCCCCACTGTGCTGTCACTCCAGCCCCCAGCCACGTTTTCTTGAAGGACAGCAGAAGTCTGGCGTGGAGGTGTCGGGTCAGAGACCCTGTTGTAAAACTGGCACCTGATAACGCACTGAGTGCACCTGGCGAGCACGGCAGAACCAGGGAGAGCATTCTGGAAAATTCCCAGGCGCTCCTGTTCTGTGGTAGAAGACGTCATGACCAGTCGTGGCCCTTGTGCCATGCCATAGCCACACACCTGGCCCTGCCAGACTGCCCGGCCATCCCCTGGTTCTCAGAACGCCGCCCTCCCGTTGACAGGGACCTGCGTCGTTTTCCTGCCAGGGTCCCTTTGTCGTGAGGGGTTGGGGGGTGCCCTGTCACGATTCACTTCTCTCCTCCTCCCCCCGTGAGCCCCTGCCCTCTCTCTCCAGCCCCCCCCATTAGGATTCCATTTTCCCGCCACCCTCCAGCTAGAGCGGGGAAGGTGGATGGGGGGTGTCCAGGGCCCCGTGCTCCTTCGTAGGTAGGACTGGGAAGGTGTGGACCTATTCAGAGGGCTGCTGGGTAACGGGGTATGAGAAGTCTGGGCTGGGGAGGGGTCCTTGCAGCTCGTCGGATGAACCCCTGGGCATGGCCTTGGTGACCCCCAAAGTGAGCCCCACAGCAGTTTTTTTTTGGTGGGGGCCACACCCATTGCTCAGAGGCTACTCCTGGCTCTGCACTCAGGAATCACTCCTGGCAGCGCGCAGGGAGCCCTGTGGGATGCTGAGGATCGAACCCAGGTCTGCAGCCACGTGCAAGGCCAGCTCCCGACCCGCCGTGCAATCACTCCAGCCCCATGACCATTTTTTTTAAAGTGTCAGGTTTCTGCAGGACTGGGAACCTTTCTGAGACATTCCCACAGCAGCCCCAAAGCGATTGGGTGGTTCTGGGGTCCTGGGGCGGGGGGGTTCTGAGAGACACGTGACCTGAGTGGGCTCGTCCTTGGAATGCGGGGTCGGGCGTGCGAGAGCCGCACTTGCCCGCCCGCTTGCATGCAGCCTGTCCTGGCGGAGAGGCCGGGCGTCAGGAGCTTCTCTGCCTGGTGTTGCAGGAGTACGCGCAGAGCAGCTTGTACCGCGTGCCCCCCAGCTACACGCCCGTCTCCTCGCAGATGGTGCCGCACCCGCCGTCGGCCCTGTGGGGCTACAACCTCATGGGGCAGCCGTCGCAGCCCGGCTTCTTCCTGCAGAGCCCGACCCTGAACGCAGGTACGTGCGTGCACGCGGCCCCCCCACACACACCCCCAGCACCCCAGCCCTCCGCCCCCGCTTGCCCAGGCCCTGGCGCTCAGGTGGCCTTTGTCCACGCGTGCAGGTTTCAGGTTTCACGTGCCGGGGGTGGTGTCCGGCCCAGGTGAGGAGGACATGAGCCAGAGATGTAAAAAAATAGAACCTGTCAAAGTGAGATGGAGCACTGGCCCCCGTGACATCACAGTCACACGTGGCTTTGGCCTCTGGTATCATCCCATGAAGGGTCTCAGAAAGTCGGTTCAGGGCTGGAGTGAGTACAGCGGGGCGGGCGTTTGCCTTGCATGCGGCTGACCTAGGTTCGATCCCCGGCATCCCATGTGGTCCCCTGAGCACCGCCAGGAGTAATTACTGAGTGCAGAGCCAGAACTTAACCCCTGAGCATCACCAGGTGTGACCCAAAAAGCAAAAAAAAAGAAAAAAGAAAAAAGAAGAAAAAAAGAAAGCTGGTTCAGCTGAAAGATTGAGGTGTCGGTGGAAAGCTGCCAACTAAATAAGAAAGATTCTGACGGATGGGATGATTTTTGGTTCTGGGGCCACACCTAGCAGTGCTCAGGGCTTATTCCTGGCTCTGCGCTCAGGGCTCACTCCTGGCAGTGCTGGGGGGTCGTGGGGGGGGGGGCAGGGACTGAGCTAGGGTGGATGGCGTGTGAGGAAAGTGCTGGAACCCGGTGTTGTCAGGCCTCAAAGTCCAGCCATCAGTACTGCTTTCAACCAACCCTCAGTAGATTTTATGTCCACAGTGAAGATTTTTCTGAATGAGAAAAACTCTCCAGCTGGGAATGTGTTTTTGGCCACTTTGAGTACAGAAGGAGGTGCCAGCCTACATTCCACCGGGGTGTGCCAGCCGTGTGCTCCTTCTCTGAGCACTGCTGCCCCTTGAAATGTAACTGGGAGGCCGAGGGCAGGAGGCAGCGGGTACCTGGCTCACAGCTGGGGGCTCTGCGTCCCCTGGTCACTTAGGCCAACAAAGTTGGTCCCGAACGTCTGGCCAGGCTGGGTTCCCGGCCACACTCGGCCAGGTATGGCTTCTCTGCCTCTCACTGGATCGTTTGTGGGGCGCCCTCAGCGAGTTTCCTTCCACCCAGGCCTCTTTTTTACTTTTTCCCTTTTTTATTTTTCTTTTTGGGTCACCCCTGGCAATGTTCAGGGGTTACTCCTGGCTCTGCACTCAAAAATCACTCCTGGCGGTGCTCAGGGGACCCTATGGGATGCTGGGAGTTGAACCCAGATCAGCCGTGTGCAAGGGAAATGCTTTACCCTCTGTGCTATCACTCTAGCCCTGTGCCGGGCTTCAGGGTGGGCCCCACCCCCACTTGGGGTGCCAGAGACCACAGTCACCCACCAGGCAGTAGCATCCACTCTTAGGAACCGGAATCAAATGTCTATCTCGTCCAGCGGTGCCCAGGGCTGACCCCTGGCTCTGCACTCAGCGGTCACTCCTGGCCATGCACGGGGAACTGTAGGGGGTGCCAGGGATCGAACCCTCCGTGCTCAGGCCCGCGTGTGGTGCTGGGGATGGAACCTAGTCCTCCCCACAGATGCTAACTGTGCACTGAGCCTGGGATGCCGTCACTCTACCAAGTGTGGACCCCTCCCAGCTGCCTCAGCGATCACTCCTGGCAGTGTGCAGGAGCCCATAGGGGGTGCTGGGGATTGAACCCGGGTCAGCCGCCTGGAGGGGCAGTGTCCTCCCTGCTGTCCAACCCGCCTCCTGGAGACTAGGTCAGATGCCCCATTCTCGGCCAGCCCTCCCACGAGCACTGCATTGGGTGCACCCCACTTCCTGTTTGCCATAGCTCAGTACCTGCTGGACTGTCTCCCAGCCCGGCCTCATGTCCTGATCCCGTGGCTGCTCTCAGGTCAGGCGTGCTTCCCCAGGGCCTCTGCCTCTCCAGTCCACAGCCCTCTGGCCCAGGGCACCGTCCCCAGCCGAGGGCACAGCCCTGCCCAGGCCTCTTATTCTATGTGCAGCCTGTGGTCGGTGACAGAGCCTGTGACTGTCACAGCCTCTTGAAAGCAGGATGTTGAGGTGGCAGTAGTCCAGCGGGGAGGGCACTTGTCTTGCTTTCAGCTGACCCACGTTCAATCCCCAGTAGCCCTGTGCCTAGAGCCAGGAGTGAGCCCTGAGCACAGAGCCAGGAGTCAGCCCTGAGCCCAGAGCCAGGAGTCAGCCCTGAGCACAGAGCCAGGAGTCATCCCTGAGTACTGAACCAGGAGTCAGCCCTGAGCACTGAGCCAGGAGTCAGCCCTGAGTCTGCCAGGAGTCAGCCCAGAGCCCAGAGCAGGATCCGCAGGATCCGTCCCTCAGGAGTGGGTCCTGAGACCAGAGCCAGGAGTCAACCCTGAGTCCAGAGCCGGGAGTGGGTCCTGAGCACAGAGCCAGGAGTCGGCCCTGAGCCCAGAGCCGGGAGTGGGTCCTGAGCACAGAGCCAGGAGTCAGCCCTGAGCCCAGAGCCAGGAGTGGGTCCTGAGCACAGAGCCAGGAGTCAGCCCTGAGCCCAGAGCCGGGAGTGGGTCCTGAGCACAGAGCCAGGAGTCAGCCCCGAGCCGCCCGGGTGTGGCCCCCGAGCGAGCAAACAGCTCGGGTTGCTGAGCGAGTGACCGCAGCCTGCAGCCTGCGACGTCCGCGGGTCTGGGCGGTGGAAAGGTTCGGGGCCGGGGCCCGGCCGGGGGCCGGGGGTCGGCGCCGGGCGGGGCGGGCGGGGGGGTCGGGCCCGCGCGTCCCCTCACAGCCTCCCCGCGGCCTTGCAGGTGGCGCCCGGCTGGACCCCGCGGGCTCCTTCGTGCCCAGCAACACCAAGCAGGCGCTGTCCAACATGCTGCAGCGGCGCTCGGGGGCCGGGCTGCAGCCCCCCGCCCTGCACGCGCTCGCCTCGCAGCAGCAGCTGCTGCACATGAAGCTCCTGCAGCAGCAGCGGCTCCTCCGGCAGGCGCAGGCGCGGCCCTTCCCGCAGGTGGGTCCCGCCCCGCCCCGCCCCTGCCCTCCGCTCCTGCCCTCTGCTCCCCGGCCCCTCGCCCCCAAATCTCTCCTGCCCCTGCAGGGTCCTGGGGCCCTGCAGGCCTTGCCCCGGGCTTTCCTGGTCCTCTCCGGGTTCTGTCTTTCCTCCATCCCCAGCAAGCGGGATGCGCAGTGCCTGGGGTTCTTTAGAGCCTGCCCAGCTCCTTTTGGTTGCGGAGCTCGTATTGGGAGGCAGGGGAGCCAGGGAAAGCCGCCCTTCAGCGCCCCCCGGGGTTCGGTTCCTCCCCTGAAGCGCCCACATGCCCTTTCCAGAGCGCCCAAGGGAGCGCCCCCCACCCCCGCCCGGGGGGACCGATCCCCATCCCGATTCTCTGGCTTATGCCTCCCACCCGCGTCCCTCTGCCCTTCAGGTGGCAGGGGTTGAGCAAGCTGGTGCAGGGGTGGGGCACCGCCAGCCTCCCTTCCTCAGTGCCCACCAGGATTGGAAAGCAGAGGGAGGCGAGGTGGTCTGAGAGCCGTGATGGTGTCGGGGTGACCTGAGTGGCACCTGGCGTGTCTCAGACCTTGCCCCTTCCCAGCTAAGGAGAGCCGTGGCCACGTGGCTGGCGTGGGGCCCGTTGGAAGCTCCAACGCCAGATGAAATCATTCAGGTCAATAGCAGGGCTGTTTGCAGCTTCGGTTGATCGTGGCCTTTTGTTGCAGACCATCTTCCGTTTCTTCAGAAAGTATTAAGACAGGTGCCAACTGGCATGCATTCCTGCTGTGTTTCAAATCACCTCCTCCAACATGATGATTCTTATCATCAGGGCTATTTTCTTAAAGCTTTCCTGCATGCCTGACATTCGTGGAGAGATTTGGGCGAGGAAGCCTTTGTTCTTTCATTCTTGATAGTTTTCCTGTAGGGAAGTAAAAAGAACCCTAAGCTCGCCATTCCTGACTCAGTGGGACTCTGAGGTGCTTTCCATGGCCTCCAGACGCGTTTTCCAGGGTGGAGGCAGTGCCCTGGGGTTCTTGAGAAATCCGTGGCTTAGGACCTGAAAGCTCAGGCCTGCTGGCTCAGAGGACGTGGCCAACTACAGTTAGTGCCGTCGTTATTTACTCTCTCTCTCTCCTGGGATGGTCGCGTTCAGTCATAGGAAACCCTGAAAGCCATCTTTTCCTTTTCTTCTTTTGTTTGGTCTTGTTTGTTTGAGTTTTGTTTGGGAACCACACCCAGCGATGCTTGGGGCTTAACTGCCGGGCTCTGCACTCTGCATCACTCCTGGCAGCACTCAGGGGGCCCCCCGGGATGCCAGGGATCTGGGTCAGCTGCGTGCGAGGCAGGCGTCTCCCCTGCTATACCTGGCTCCAGCTTTCTCTTTCTTTTCTTAAATACTAAGTTAAGGATTACTAGAGAACGAAAGTATAGCAGTTACTTTCCTTACATAATTACCAGCGTTCTTCCCGATACCGCGCACCTCCTGTGGTCTGGAAGAGGTTCCTGATTGCTGTTTTCATTCCCACATTCTCTGCCAGAGCCGCGGCGACCTGCAAATGCTGGTTACATGATGCAAAATTCTCCTCCTGCTATTTTCACTCACCTTTCTCCTCTCTCCACTGCCCTCCTTCTAACAGGCTTCCACATTCCCCTTCCCACCCTACCAGTCACCTGGGGAAGGTCTTTGAGGGGGGACTCTTAGGAGGACGCAGGAAAATAACTAAATTCCAGGCCTCGATGCCATCATGTTACCTTGATTTCTCCCGGAGACACACAAAATCATCCAGTTATTCTTCCCAAAAATTCGCACTGGATAATTTTAAGAGTTCAAAGACTCATGGACCAAACTACTGGTTAAAGAAACATTAGTATATCTACACAGTGGAATACTATGCAGCTGTTAGGAAAGATGAAGTCATGAAATTTGCTTATAAGTGGATGGTCATGGAGAGTGTCATGCTAAGTGAAATGAGTCAGAAAGAGAGGGACAGACATAGAAGGACTGCACTCATTTGTGGAATATAAAAAAAAAAAACAGCATGAGACTGACACCTAAGGATAGTAGATACACGGGACAGATAGATTGCTCCATAGCTGGAAGCCTGCCTCATGAGCAAAGGGGAGAAGGCAGCTGAAACAGAGAAGGGATCACTAAGAAAAAGACGGCTTGAGGAACTGGTCAGAATGGGAGATGTGTGCAGAAAGTAGACAAAGGACCAAACATGATAACCTCTCAGGGTCTGTATTGCAGACCATAATACCCAAAAGTAGAGAGTATGGGGGAACCTGTCTGCCATAGAGATGGGGGGAGGGGTGATGAAAGGGAGAGTGGTATACTGGGGACATTGGTGGTAGAGAATGTGCACTGGTGGAGGGATGGTATCATTGTATGACTGAAACTCAGACATGAAAGTCTTGTAACTGTATCTCATGGTGATTCAGTTAAAAAAAAAAAAAGACGATCTGTCCAGCTTAAATCAATCACAGTCAGCTTAGAAGACTAGATGCCAGGGACCGTGAATCACCAGGCGTTTTCCTGGCAGCCAAGAGGATTTCTAACAGAGGACAGGAAAGGGACAATCCCGCTGTAGCTACTGGGGACTTGGAGGAGTGTCCAGTTAGCAGGCGGCCACCAGCCACAGAGCAGGGCTGCCCCCTCTCGGCGTGGAAGTGACGGAGCCCATGGGAGCTCCCTTCCTGGAAGCGGCAGCCTCGGATCATGGCTTTCCGTGGGCTGTCGTCTCTGGAGTAGATTTTCTCCCCCGGCTCCTCCCTTCCCTCCCACTTAACCTGTGGCCATATTTCCCAAGCAAAGACACAGGGAACCGCCGCAAGTAAGTTACTGACAAGCTCGTTTCCGTAATAACACCATCATATTTGCACTAGGTTTTTTGTTTTTTAACGAAACATGGCAGCTATGGATGGGGGTTTCTTTTCTCCTTTCATTTCCCATCTTTGCCCTGAAGAAGTCATTGTGATCACTCATCTAGTAGTGCTTTTTCTTTCACTATGAATTTTTGCATCCACTAGCATAAACATTACAACATAATTTTTAATTTTTAAATTTTTTTTCCGACTTACAAACTTCCGTAATTGCATTTGTCATACAATGATCCAGTACCATCCCTCCACCAGTGCCTGTTCTCCACCACCAATGTTCCCAGTATCTCTCCCGCCACCCTCACCCATCGCTCCCCCTGCCTTGTGGCAGGCACATTTCCTTTTTCTCTCTCCTTTTGGGGTGTTATGGTTTGCAGTACAGTCACTAAGTGGCCATCATGTTCGGTCCGTAAGTATTACTTTCACATTTGACATTTCACATACTTGAACGTGGTGTTACAGTATTGCTTCGCACCTTTTCATTTTGACAGATTTGAAATTATAACTATTTTTTTGTGCATACTCTGTCCATCCCGTTTGGATGCTTTATAAAAAGTAACATGTATTATTTGTTCTTTCTCCTATTGATAACCTTGTGGCTTCCATATTTTTATCTGTGCTTTTTTCCCCCGTACTGTTATCAGTCCACGTAAATCTTTGTCCATTTCTTTGCTCATGGGGAGAGTTTTCTGATCTGTGCTGATTAGTGGAAACTGTTGCCAGCCCATCAGTCATTAGTGAGCAAAGGAACATTTTTCCTTCCATCCTCAATAGCCCTTGCTGAAATAGACCCTAATTTCCCCATTCAGAGCGGGTAAAGCGGCAGTGGAGCCTAGCTTGACTTGCATTTTCTGAAGACCCGTGAATTTTGGTATCTTTCAGAGCTTAGGGGTTTTTTTTCTTCTATAATTTACCCGATTGTAGGATCTGAACATATTTCAAAGTGAATGCAGTTACAGCGGCTTGAGGTTGGAAAATTGCCTGTGGAAATCAATACTGAGTGGTGACCACTACCTGTATGTGGCTCACATTGGACCCCAGCACTCTCTGGTCACCACGGGGGTCAGCGTCCTCTTTCTTCTCCACTCTATTTATTTATGTATTTATTTATTTGCTTTTTGCATCACACCAGCGATGCTCAGGGGTCACTCCTGGCTCTGCACTCAGGAATTACTCCTGGCGGTGCTTGGGGGACCATGTGGGATGCTGGGAATTGAACCCGGGTCGGCCACCTGCAAGGCACATGCCCTACCCGCTGGGCTATCATTCCGGCCCCTCTTCTTCATCCTCGATGCCCTGTGTCAGCTCCAGGTTGTGCTTTTCCATGAGGTAACTTTCCCACCGTATTTGCCAGGGCCCTGCTTATGGAGCAGTGTCACAGGGTGGCAAGTGCAAAGGCAAGTGGGTTCAGGAAACCGTTATGGAGCCTGGGATTTGGAAGTCTTAACTTTTTGCACCACTGGGTTTTTTGTTTCGTTTGCTTTTTGGGTCACACCCAGCAGTGCTCAGGGGTTCCTCCTGGCCCTGCACTCAGGAATCACTCCTGGAAGTGCTTGGGGAACCATATGTGATGCCGGGTATCAAACCCAGGTCGGCTGTGTGCAAGGCAAATGCCCTCCCTGCTGTGCTATCGCCCCGACCCCTCTGCATCCCAGTTTTAAAATAAGATACTTCTTGTGTGTTTTGGTTACTGCCTTCATCAGAATGAAAAATCCTGTCTGTGTTGGCTGCCGTTCTCTGCCTTTCCGTAGGATCTCGGGAGCTCTGCCCTCCCGCCTTCTGTAGGCTTTGACTGCATAAAGGCAGCACCCCTGCCGTCATCCTTTTTCTTTCCTCACTTCTGCAGCGTCACTCTCTTCTTGCGCGTCCAGGCGAGAAGCCGGTCACGCCTTCCATAGCTGGTAAATCGGCGGAGTGACCATCTCCCTGTTCCTCGTGTCCTTCCTCTTGAGACCATGACCCGGAACCATGAATGCACCGGCCGTGTTGGACTTGGGGGATGTGGTTTCCCTCCTCCATGGGTGGGCGGCAGACACGGGAGGGGAGCGTGGACCCACTCACGCTCCTACCTCTCAAAGTGGGGTCTGCGCCGGGGCCTCCCTGGCTCCTCCTGGTGCTGCTGGCTGTGCCACCGCAGGGAGACACGCCTGTGACTCATGGGCTGGATCACGAGACTCCGGGTGGCAACATCGCCCAGGTCACCCCACTCCCCGCCTCTCCTGCGCTTCCCCGGCACCTCACCCTCTCCCTGCCGGCAAGCAGAGGCTGTCCCTCCCAGCAGAACACTGTACACGCCACGGAGGGACTGTCCCCTCCTGCTCTCTCTGCGCTAGCGGAGAGCCATGAGTCGGCCCGTGGCACACACGGAGATGCCGTAGCATCTCACCCCGCGCACAGCCCAGATGGAACAGGAGTCAGCGCGTGGGCTGCGCTGGGACTCCTAGAAGCATCGCTGGTCTTACCTCCAGCCCTTACTCATAACCCTTAAGTTATCTGTAATTGGGTAAACACCTGTTTTTTTCCCTTTGGAGCCATACCCGGTAGTGCTCAGGGATGACTCCTGCCAGTGTTCAGGGGACCATACGGGATGCCAGGGATCAAATCTGGGCCAGCCATATGCAAGGCTAATACCCTACCTGCTGTTCTAACCCTGCGGCCCCTTTTCACCGGTTTTTTACAGTGATCTCTGTAATGGTTACTTCAGCAAAGGCAAGTGTTGAGATCTCCGCAGATGACTAGAAGTTTTTTCTATCATTTTTATTAACCTAGAAAATTTAAAAACACTTTGCAGATACCTTATTTTTATTGTAGAATATGGTTCAGATGAGCATTTTGCATCAATATTGAGCTGGCTTTTTTTGGGGGGAAAAAGCATAGGTAACATTTTTGTTAGGTAAGCTCATTTTGATTTTTAAATAATTTTTCAAATTATTGAAAAATGTCTGTATAAACTCAGACATTGCTATATTCATTCAAGTTAATAATGCTCATAATTTTTGGGGGGGCTACTGTTTTCGTATTTGACTTTAGCATTCTCTAGTTTTCAGGAATTTAACAGATGTATCTACTCAGCCAGTCATCATATTCATCCTGTAAGGACCTTAATCAGGTTAGAGGAGGCTCCTCATTGTGTTTTAGAAGGAATCTGTGTCTTCCAGCTACTCATGTTACTGTTAGCGATTCCCAGCCAAGTTATGTTTGGTAGGAAAAAGAACATGGAGTGAGGGCCAAAGAGATAGTTCAGTGGGTAGGGCAACATGGAGTGAGGGCCAGAGAGACAGCTCAGCAGGGAGGGCATTTGCCGTACAAGCAGCCGACCCCACTTTGAGTCCCAGCATCTCCTGTGGTTCCCCAGGCACCGCAAGCCGTGATAACTGAGCACCGCCAGGTGGGACCCAAAGGCAATCCAAAAGAAAAAAAACCCACGAGTATGGTATAATTGGAAAGCCTTTGGTAAACTAATTTGCAACTGGATATAAAATCCAGCTTCCTCCACAGGCTCTTGGCTAATCAGTAAAGCAAGTCACATCTTGGGTTTATCTCCATGGATCAAGGAGCATCCCATGTCGGACTCCTGGAAAGTTCTGGGCACTGATCAGAAAAGCGTAGGGAGGTTGTGGGAAAGAGCAGGTCGGGGGATTCCACCTAACCAGGGGCGTTCCCTGTCCCCAGAGCCTGGTCCCTTTGCACCCGGTGGCCACAGCTGTCCCCATTAGGTTGCATATCCAGATCACCCCCAGCGGCTTTCTTTATTTATTTTTAATTTTTATTAGTGAAACACCATGAGGTACAGTTCTAGACTTACAAAGTTTTGTGCTTGGGTTTCAATTATACAATGATCGAATACCCATCCCTTCACCAGTGCCCATTTTCCACCACCACGGATCCCAGTATCCCAGTATCTCTCCCACCCCCTATCCCCCCCCTCCCCGTTCCACCCTGCCTCTGTGGCAGGGAATTCCCTTTTGTTCTCTCTCTCCTTTTGGGTGCTGTGGTTTGCAAAAGAGGCATTGAGTGGCAATCATGTTCAGTCTATAGTCTACTTTCAGCATGCCTTTCTCATCCTGGGAGGGTCCTCCCAACATTCTTTACTTGGTGCTCCCCTCTCTATCTGAGCTGCCTTCTCCCTCAGCATGTGCGGCTGGCCTCCAAGTCATGGAGTGAACCTCCTGGTACTTATCTTGGCTATTCTTGGGTGTTAGTCTCCCAATTTGTTACTTTATATTCCCCAGATGAATGCAATCTTTCTATGTCTGTCCCTCTCTTTCTGACTCATTTTGCTTAGCATGATACTTTCCATGTTGTACCATTTGTATGTAAATATCATGACTTCATCTTTTCTAACAGCTACATAGTACTCCGTTGTGTGGATGTACCTTGAAAGTCCTCACTGCCCTGGCGCCTTCATTCCCTTGCTCACTCCCATGTCCTCATCCTGCTTGGGGTGTTGTAAAATCTCCCCGAGGCAGGGATTCTTCCTTCCTAACCAGCTGGGTGGTTGCTGAGGGTCGGCTGTGTGTTCCTACCGAAGGGGGCAGGCGAGAAAGGGGCACAGCCATCCACAGAGCAGAGGCGTACCAGCTCGGAGGAGTCTGGGGGTCTGTCGGGGAGGACCTTGCCAATCTGGTGATGCCCTCCACACTTCAACAGCAAGTCACGAAAGACTGGGAAGGTGGGGACAGAGACTCACAAAAATAAGTTGTTTGCCTTTGCTCCAAAACGGTTGACCAAGAAGGCATTTTATTTTTGTTTTTTGTTTTTGGGGGTTTTTTCTTTTGGGGTCACACCCAGCGATACTCAGGGGTTCCTCCTGGCTCTGCACTCAGGAATTACTCCTGGCAGTGCTTGGGGGACCATATGGGATGCTGGAAATTGAACCCAGGTCGGCCACATGCAAGGCAAACAAATGCCCTACCTGCTGTGCTCCAGCCCCAGGAAGGCATTTTAGAGTCTGGGAATATTTCAAAAATTTGTTTCTTCCTCCCTGTTTCATTGAAAAATCATGGTATTTCTTCAAGTTTGCAGTTTTTGATTTTTTTTCCCAAAAAAAGGAATATAGCTTTGAATCCTATTTTGTAAATCTGCCTGCTCTGAGCTCTTTTATTCCATCAGTAAATGAGGCGAGGGTTGCCCTGAAACTCACATTTCCTAGTTTTCTTCCGCACACAATTCCCCTGGTTGATTTCATACAGTTCTCAAAGCTGTGGGGGACTGAGGACCAGGAAGGGCGTCTTGAGACCCTGCATTCCACTCACCCCTTCAGGCCTGGCACCTTAATGTGCTGGCTCGAAGACGACGGGCGTCCTTTTGGCCCATGGGGGTACAGCAGCCCCGAGAACCTCTCTTGGGTGACTGGAGAAGTGGCACTGAGGGAGGGACTGGCCTGTTCCTGGGATATTCAGCTCTGACGCGCTCCTAAGGCTTGCAGGCTCCTCTCTGGCCAAGTGGTCCAGGGGCACCTCGACCAAGAAGGGGCTTCTCAGGGTCCCAGGTTCTGGTGGCTGGGCAGGCCACGGAGCCAGCCACAGGAACATTCAGAGCAGCGACGGGAGGCCCGGGGGCCACACAGCCACTCCCTGGTCAGTGTTGGGTCAACTGTCACCCAGAAGGGGCTAGAGCTATATAGTACAGCGGGGAGAGCATTTGCCTTGCACGCGGCCGACCTGGGTTCGAGTCCCAACATCGCATAGGGTCCCCAAGCACTGCCAGGAGTGATTCCTGTGTGCAGAGCCAGGAGGAACCCCTGAGCATCACCGGGTATGACCCAAAAATTTTCAAAAAAAAAACAGTCACCCAGAAGGCTCTGTAAGATGCCCTCAGGTGATTTCAGGAGAGGATGAGGGACAGACACCCCCCCCCCCCCCGCCCCGCACCCATCCCTCTTTGGTCTCTCTCTTGCCTGGATCAGGATCCTTCTGGGCTGGAAGTGTGCATGCTGGTCTCTGCCCTCGTCTGCAAGGCCCAGGAAGAGCCGCCAGGCTGAGTTCATGGGGGCAGTTGGTGTCTGTGCTCTGGGCTCCATGCTCTGAGCATCCCGCCTCATCTCAAGTTTGCTTTGCAGGCCCAGCCGGGGGACCAGACTGCTCTCTTTGCCGCGCAGGCCCGGCCCTCCCCTCAGCCCCCCCAGTACCCTGGGCTGCAGCAGTCGCAGGTAAGACCCCTGCTTTGTAACTGCTCGGGAGGGGGGTGTCTGCTCTTCTTCAGGGCGACCCAGGCACGGCATTCTATCCTGAGTAGAGAAACTGAGCCCCAGCCGGGCCCCGGCTTGGGGGTCTCATGGGCCCCCCCTCAGTCCCGGAGGCCCCAGGGAAGCGCTTCCTGGGTGCCATGTGGGTATTTGGGAGCTGGTCAGTGGTGGCGGGGGCAGACATCGCACCCAGTACCAACACCTAGCAGGACAGGGGCCCTGTGACCCGAATGTGCCGGGGAACACGGGCGGCCTTCCTGGGTGGGAAATGACCGTGGCGGGCCTGGGTCACCCCGGAAGCCACTGGCCACCCTGATGGTACAGATGCAGCCCGATTAGTACAGAGGCACTGCTCGGCTTCCCAGGAGGGGCAGCTGGTCTGAAAACCCACCTCAACCCAGTGCGGGCTCTTGACTCCCGAACTGGGATTTCTGGTGGGCGAATATACAGCCCGTTGACTCTGTCTCCTCTTCCTCCTCCTCCTGCTCTTCCTCCTCCTCCTGCTCTTCCTCCTCCTCCTGCTCTTCCTCCTCCTCCTGCTCTTCCTCCTCCTCCTGCTCTTCCTCCTGGCTCTGCACTGAGGAATCATTCCTGGCGGGGTTTGGGGGGTCCCTGTGGGATGCTGGGGATGGAACCCAGCTTGGCTGCATACAAAGCAAATGTTTTCTTTTTTTTTTTTTTTTTTTTTTTTTTTTTTTTTATAATTTATTTATTTATTGAATCACTGTGGGAAAAGTTACAGAGCTTTCGGGTTTAGGTCTCAGTCATGTAGATACCGAACACATTTCCCTTTACCAATACTCATTTTTAACCCCGAACCCCAATAGACCCCCACCTCCCACCCCTCCCAATTCTTGTGAGGTAGATGAGTTCTAGTTAATACTCTATCTACTTTGACTAGATAGATTATTTCGATAGAAGATGCACAATTATTGTTTAGAGTTTACGACCCACCCCCCACAATCAGACATGCTGAAACAGCGTTGTGAAATGATTTGCTTTCTACAACTTGGTTTAAGAATAAAATGATGTCGCGCGGCCGCAATAGCGGCCGCGCGGTTTTGAATTTCTGCTATTTTACTTATTGACCCTGGAAGAATTTCTATTAAAAGTTAGCTAGTTAAGAGATTGGTTTCTGTGTCCTGGAGTCGTGGCCGTGCCGGAGAGCCGCTCGTGGGGGGCAGCTGGCGACCCCGGTGGGGCGTGGGGGACGGCCCACAAAGCCCCCCTTCCCATGGGGTCCCCGCTGCTCCCCCCCCGAGCCCGGCTCAAACCCGCTTTCCACAAGGCTCCCGTGCGGCCGCCATCTTTCTTTCCAGAGAGGAACGGGCGGGCTGGTCAACGCCCTTCCCCCTCCGGGCAGGCTTGGTGGCGCGGATCAACACAAGTCCATTTGCTTTTCTGCTCCAAGCGGCTGGTTCTCTGTGCTAAGTCCTTGTGCCTCCGGGGCCGTGGCCGTGCCGGAGAGCCGCTCGTGGGGGGCAGCTGGCGACCCCGGTGGGGCGTGGGGGACGGCCCACAAAGCCCCCCTTCCCATGGGGTCCCCGCTGCTCCCCCCCCGAGCCCGGCTCAAACCCGCTTTCCACAAGGCTCCCGTGCGGCCGCCAAGCAAATGTTTTCTTTCCCCCTTCTCTCTCTCCCCCTCTCTCTCCCTCTCTCCCTCCCTCCCTCTCCTTTTCTCCCTCTCTCCTTCCTTCTCTCTCCCTCTGTCCTCCTCTCTCCCTCTTTCCCTCTATCTCTTTCCCTCCCTCCTTTTCTTTCTCCCTCTCTCCCTCCCTCTTCCTCCCTCTTTCCCTTCCTCTCTCCCTCCCTCTTCCTCCCTCCTTCCCTTCCTCTCTCCCTCTCTCCCCCTCCCCCTCTCTCCCCTCCTCCCTCCCACGCTCCTCCCTCTACCCCCAATTCTGCTGCTCCGTCTCCACCCCAGAGTAGGCCTCTCACGGTTTGGGTTTCGGGAGACACCCGCTCTCCCCCACACCCCCTCCAGGGGTCGGACCCCCGACTAGTGCTTGTCCCCTCCACAGACGGTGCCCCAGGGCTATACCATGTACGGAACGCAGATGCCGCTGCAGCCCACCCCGCCGCTGCCGGCCGGGAGCGTCGTCCTGTCTCCGGGCTACGGCTGCAGACCCTACCCGGCCGCACACTCGGGCCCTGCACTCCTGGAGCGGTTCCGCCACATGCGGCAGCCCAGCGGCTACGCGCCACAGCACGCCTCGCCCTACCTGCAGCCTGTGCCCGGCTCCCAGAGGTGACGGTTCGGAGGGGACGGACGACCCCCTGCACCCTGCTTGCATCCTGTGTGCATGTGGCCAGCCGTGTGCCTGTGGTCTGTGTTCCGCCCTCTCCTTCCCTGCTCCAGAGAGCGGCAGAGACCAGCCTGGCCGTGTCCTGTGCATTTGCCCTTCGAAGAACCCCCCACCCCCTGTGTCTCTGGCTCCGCTCTCGGGGGGCTGGCAGAGGGGGTGGGCGGGTACACCATTTGTCAGTGACTCGCTCGAGGGGGGTCTTTCTTCTTATCCCAAATGACTTCTTGGCTGAAAAATACTTCTGAGAATAGGCTGTTGGATATTGCCAGACATGGGCTCTGCGCCCCCCAGGGCCTTTGGCTGCCTGAGACCCGGGCACCCGGAGCCCAGAGGATCTTGCTCCCTCCCTGTTTCCACTTCACTCCTGGCGGTGCTCAGGGGACCGTACGGGCTGCCGGGGATCAAACCAGGGTCGGCGACGTGCAAAGCCAACGCCCTCCCCGCTGTGCTCTTTGTTCGGCCCTCCCTGTTCCCACCTTTGACGCTTCAGGGAAGTGCCACCGTGGGGGGCTCAGCCCGGGCTCCATCGCTCTGACCCAGGCATCAGGCCATGCTGCGTGCATGCGTGAGCCATACCATCACAGTAAAGGGGGGACCGGGTGACGCCCCTGCAGTGCCGCCCTGGCCTTGCCTGCCAGCCAACCTGGGCTCGGTCCCCATGTCCCGCCCACAGGAATTTCTGAGTGCAGAGCCTGGAGTAAGCTCTGGGCACCGCTGGTTGTGGTCCCCAAAGCAGCAGCCTGTTAAAGGAATCCAGGCACCGTATTTCCAAGCACCGCCACCAGCCATCCACGGCTGGGCTAATTTAGACCCGTTAAAGAGGAGCGTAAACATTCGGGTCTCCGGTCCCTGTAGTCACGTGTCAGGGTCCTGGGAGCCACAGGCGGGGCCAGGACCAGGGCCCTGAAGTCACCAGGCGCTCACACAGGGTGCTGAGTGCCCCGGGCTCCACCAGTACTCCCAACACTCTCTGGAAACCTACACTGATTTTTCGTGGGGTTTGAGGGGGATTTTTTGGTTGTTGTTTTTTGTTTGGGTCAGTCCTGACAGTGCTCAGGGCATGCTGGGGATCGATCCTGGTGAGCCATGGGCAAGGCTGACCCTACCCACTGTGCTATCTCTCTGGTCCTTCACACACACTGTAAAGGAAGCTTCACAGCTGTGAGAATTTTTTACAGCCCGTGTGCTCAGCAGGAGGATGTTGCCTTGTAGCTTCACACCCAGGCCTGGGTTCACACCCTGTACCCCACAGAGATGGAGTCGGCGGCTTTGCTGGCCTTTCCCGAGGAATCCTGTGTACCCTTGCGTACCCCTGGGACTTGGGCGCCTCCCACAACGGAGTTTGAGTTTGGGGTTCTCGGACTACGCCTGGCTCTGAGCTCAGGAGTCACTCCCGGGGGGCCCTTCTGTGGTGCCAGGGGTCCACCCGGGGTCGGTCAGGTCCATGGCAAGCGGTGTCTCCCCGGTGGCGCCCCCGAACTTTCTGGCGTGTGAGTGGCCTGTGTGAGTGACCGTCCGGGCTCTGTCCAGCTGCGCCTGTGGAGTGGGCTCTGCCACCTCATGCCACTCGGCCTGAGGACCCTGGGTCTCTTCTCTCCACAGACTGAACCACCAGTCCCTGCAGCAGAGCCCATTGCTGGACGCGGGCATGGAGCCCGGGCTGCCTGCTGCGCACCCCAGCCTGCCCCCCGGCCCCCTGCCTCAGGACCCCATGCGGCCTCGGCAGCCACAGGTGCGACCCCAGCCGAGGCTCCTCCAGGTACCGGCCTGGGAGGCGGGGCGGGGGCAGGGGACCTGGCCGGGGGCCTTCTGTGCTGAGGCACCAGGGCCCTGGCCTGGGGCGCTGGTCTCTCCGCGGGTCTGAGTTTCTCTCACGGGAAGGGAGGGTGACTGGGGGTCCTTGCTCCCTCCGCAAGCCCCGGCTCACCCAGCCCAGCTAGAGACACGCGCCTCAAATGCAGATGGTCTTGGCTGTGCTTGAACATAGACAACGCGCACACGCACACACACACAGGCACAAGTACACACACATATGCACACGTACACACACAGTCACACATATACACACACATGCACATACACGCGCACACACAGGCACAAGTACACACATGCACATGCCCACACACACAGGCACACATACGCACGCGCACACACACGCTCATGCACACGTATGCATGCACACATCCATACATACATGCACATGTGCACACATGCATTGTGCACACATGCACATATACACACATTCGCACATGCACACACACATGCACATACACATATACACACGCGTGCACGTGCGTACACACACATACACATACAAACACGCACACGCACACGTCGCACTGCTCATAGCACTCGTCAGCTTTGCTGTGGGAGTCTGGGCACCCTGTGCGCCTCTTGGGCCAGACTGTGAGGTTCATGCCGTCTGTCCACCTCTCCAGGGGGGTGGCCCCCACTTGATGCCCACGCCGGGGCTCCTAGACCAGTGCAGATGGCTGCGCAGGTCCCAGGAGCAGGGAGCTGGAAGCTGCCATCTGCCACCTCAGTTCAAACAGTGGGTCCCAGGCCCAGTGCGCAGATGGGCTGGCGGGCAGAAAGGCCTCTCTCGACGGAGGGTCCCCCTGGCCGGATCCGCCGTCCTCATCGTCATTGCCCAGCTCACCTGGATGACTGCTGCACATGTGGGGACCCGCTGTCCAGACCGTCCAGCTAGCGGCACTGCCATGGTGTCTGGTACCGGGGAAGGAAAGTCCAGCCAGCCGGGCGGGGGGTCTCCAGGCCTGGCGTCCACAGCACCCCGCGCAGGAAGGGGGCCGGTGTGTGCCTCTGCCCCTGGCCCTCCCTGGCCTCTGGGACATTCTTTGTTGCAGGGGGTGGGCAGAAGGGGGCGGCCCTCAGGTCTGGCAGGGGTGCGGCGCAGGAGAGTTGAGAGGCAGTGGAGACGGCCGAGAGCACTGCCCTCTCCTCTACACTGCTGGAAGGTGGCTGGTTCGTCTCTTACGCCCCTCGGTCCTACGCCGGTCATTTCCTCCAGGCCAGCCACACCGTTAAAAAAAAAAACTGCCGTCTTCCTTCGTCTCCTCCTTCCGGCCGCTCCCTCTCCTCCTTTTATTCCCCTCAAGCCCTGAAGTTTTCTTGCAGAAGTTCGGCCTCAGCAGGCCTTGCCTAACTGTCAGCGTGACACGGGGTGACAGGTGTGGCAGGGCCTGGCCGGAAGCGCGTCCCAGCAGAGTCCCCGTCCACTCCCCTCGTGTTCAGGGCGGTGCAGACAGGGACCCCTAAAAGGTGGAGGCCCCCAAGGGCTCCCAGGATAGACAGGTTTGGATCTCGCCCGTCCCGGGAGCAGCTGCGATGGCCAGCCGGGGCAGGCGGGAGTGAGTGTCACCTGGCAGGGAGCTGGCTGGGGCTGAGCTGGGCCTGGTCTTGGCCGCCTCTGAGCGTTTCTTCTCTCCGCAGATGCAGCAGGCCGCGCCGCTCCCCCAGGCGCCCACACAGCCCCAGAGCCAGTCACTCGGGCTCCAGTCGATGCCCTCCCAGCAGCCTTTGGTGAGTCCTGGCGTCTGCACTGGGAAATGCCCAGCGTCAGACTTTCCCATGGACCCACCCGTTTCCATTCAGGGGCTGGGGTGATAGTACGGGGCCAGGGAGCCGGCCTTGAACACAGCAGAACCAGGTTCGATCCCCGGCACTGCCAGGAGTAATTCCTGAGCATTGAGCACTGCTGGGTGTGCCCACAGACTGAAATAAATACCACTGTATCACTGTCATCCCATTGTTCATCGATTTACTCAAGCGGGCACCAGTAACATCTCCATTCATCCCAGCCCTGAGATTTTAGCGGCCTCTCCTTACTTGTCCTTCCCAGCGGTGCCATATTGGAGGCTCTTTCAGGGTCAGGGGAATGAGACCCATTATTATTACTGTTTTTGGCAGATCGGATACGCTATGGGGAGCTTGCCAGTCCCTGCCATGTGGGCAGGATACTCTCGGTAGCTACCAAGCAATATATATGTATTTAAATACATATATTTATTTAGTTTTCTCTCAAAACAAATACATGTATTTAAATTCAGGCATCATTGTCTTTCTAAATCATGTTAAATGGTAATTCATTGTGTATGTGTGTGTGTGTGTGTGTGTGTGTGTGTGTGTATGCAAGGAAAATGATCTCGCATTGCGTTTTTACTCTCATTTGATAAAAAGCTCACTTGCTTTCATAAAGAAGCTTTCTTGCTTTCTAAACTAGAGGGCTTTGTGATATAAATGAAATTTCAGCTTCAGCCAGCTGTGATCATCACGCAATTCAAACCCTTCTCCAGACTGTGTGGATCAGGGATTGAATCGGTAAATTTGCCTCTTCTGCTGCCGTAAATAAATGGGTGAGCAAGTGGTCACTGGCCTCAGCAGCCCCCCCGCCCGCCCCAGGCCCCATGCTAACCAGTCAGTAGGAGGTGAGTGGCAGCCAGAGTTCTGACCAGCAGGTCCTGGCTCGCGGCTCGGGCCACACCTGGGTAGGCCTGGCAGTGTCCCTTGGGGTCTGGATGGCGATTGCTCAGCCCACAGCCGATGTGGAGAGAAGGGGACTTGGTTAGAGCTGTGGTAGGTTAGGACATTGAGTGCCCCAGCGGGCCCCCCGCCCTGGCCAGAAGGGGCTCTTTGATTCTTTGGGGGTCCACACCCGGCAATTCCCCAGGGCCTCTCCTGCCTGACTGCTGCTCCGGCCCACTCCTGGCAGTGCTCGGGGGACCTTGTGGTGCTGGTGCTCTAACCCAGGGCCCCTTCATGCGAACCTACAGCTCCTCGAACCATCTCTGGCCTGGAGCTCTAGTTCATGAGGAAATTCATTTTTTTCCATGATGAATGGAAAGACTCATTCCACAAAACAAAAAAAAAAGAAAAGAAAAATTCGTTTTTCTTGTCTGTCTAGCTTGTGTGTATGTGTCTGGGTATGTGTGTAAATTTCCTTTTTTGGTGCTCTTGTATATTTTTTTGTTCTTATTTGCTTTTGTAGCTCTGGACTCGTGTGTGTGTGTGTGTGTGTGTGTGTGTGTGTGTGTGTGTGTGTGTAGGAACTGAACCGAAGGCTTCACCATCTGAGATGTGGCCTTTCCCAAGGAATCCAAGGGCTGGTTTCGGTTCGGTTTCGTCTTCTCCTTTGCTTTGCATCTTTCCGTCTCGGAAATGGAAGCGGTCACCCAGTGTCTGTCCCGTCTCCTCCTGCTGGGTTTCACTGAGCTCGGTTTCCCCCGGAAACTGAGTCATATTCCCTCTTGTGCACAGGCCAAGCCTTCCGCACGCCTCCATCAGCTGGCACTTGGTGTGTTCCCAGATCTTGGCCAGCTCGAACAGCGCTCTAGTGATACATCGGGTACATAGATCTTTCCAGATTTGTGGCTGTTGAGTCGTCAGACAGATGCCTAGCACTGAAGCCACCGGCCCAGGTGGCAGCCCTATTTCCAATATTATGAGTCACCCCCGTTCTGCTTTCCTAGACCCGTGATCATTCCCACCAGCGGGACGAGGGTGCCGGGGAGGCCTCGGGCCTTTCTGCCACAGACCGTCACTCTGGCACGAGCTGAGCTGGTCCAGGGTGACGCTCCTCTATGTGCCTGTGGCCGTGCATCTCCTCAGAAGTGTCCACTCAGTGCTGCTTCTGCCCACTTTCGCACTGGGGAATCTGACCGGTGGTTGGCGTGGGGTTGTGTGAATCCTTCACGTGTGTGCAAGAGCCTGTTGCTTGATGAATGACATGCAGATACTCTCTCCCAACTGTAGAAATTGGCCCCTTGGTTCTGAAATGTGCACCTAGGCAGAGTTGAAATCTTTGATTTCTGGACTCCTACGTGGCGCCGATCAAAGTTGGCAATTTAATTTTTTTTCTTTTCGCTCAGTGTGTTGTTATACCAGACAGCGGAAAAAAAAAAAGCTGCAAGCAGCCCATTTTACTTGTTTCCATACCCAACAAAACAGTCTGGTGGTATTTCGACAGAAAGCCAAGAAATAAGTCAGCATATCTGCCCATAATGTCATGTCAATATTTAGAATATTTTGATTTCATACTGGCAAGTCCTTCGCTTTTATTTTTCCTTCTAATTTAAGATGATGGCTTCTTATTCCGTAATGGTAATGTGAGCTGTAGAGGATTATGAGAAGTGTAATTAGACCATTTCAGAGGTTTCATTCAAATTTGTAAGTACTTGAAGGATAATTATAAGAAGCCCATTAATTTGAGAATTATAAATTCTTCTTTGGCTGTTCCTTGCTGATAAGAAAAAGGTTACATAACTGGACCTGCCTTACCGGAAATGCAGAATCAAATGAAAGACTGTTCCAATTACTTTTGAACATCTAATAACTCTGAATCACATCATTTTAGCTATTTCTCAGCCTCTGATTCACATAAACATCAGATACGAATATTTACACCTAGCACAAGGAATATTACTCCATCTGCATTTAACCTATGTATTTAAATTTGTATTTATTATATATATATTGTAGCACTGTGACACTGTCCTCCTGTTGTTCATTGATTTGCTCAGGCGGGCACCAGTAACGTCTCACAACAAATTGTGAGACTTGCTGTTACTGTTTTTGGCATATTGAATACGTCACGGGGAGCTTGCCAGGCTTTGCCATGCGGGCGAGATACTCTCGGTAGCTTGCTGGGCTCTCCGAGAAGGGCAGAGGAATCAAACCTGGGTATATACTCAAAATCTTTACAGTTAATTATTGAGATGTAACTGCCATCCTGTGACTGTGGAATATTTTCTTTCCAGAAACATTGCTTTGATTTATACTCAAATTTCTTAATATCTAATATCTTCAACAAAATATTGGGGTTGGATGGATGCCAGATAGTGAGCAGACATTAACAATGCGATAGGTTTTTTGGGGTGCTGGGCCACACCCACCAGTGCTCAGGGCTTGCTCCTACACGCTTAGCTCAGGGATCGCTCCAAGTGGTGCTGGGACTCCAACCCAGGGTGGCCGGGGCGCAAGGAAAGGGTGTGTCCATATCACCGCCCAGGATTAAATTTGGATTGATTTTTCTTTTGAAGGGTGTAGCCTGACCCTTGGGCCAGGTGGTGACTGAGCCCATCTGCAGCCACCTGCCTGCTTATCCCAGGACCCCCCAGCCCACCCCCGGCACAAGGCCACTCCCGGCGTCTCTCACCTGGCCAGGACAGACTCAAGCAGATGCGCCAGGCGAGAGCACTGTGCCTGCCTGCTTCCTGACGGGGAAGGAAAAGGCTTCAGGGGGCGCGGGGCGGCTCACAGGCCTGAGTGCAGGCCAGAGAGGCCCTGAGTTTGACCCACAGGACTGCTAGGCATCACCCTTCCCGTGCCCAGCCCCACTGTCGTTTGTCCCTCCCCGTGATGGACAGATGGGCCATGAGGTCATCCTCTGCCTGCGCCCGCAGCCCCCAGGGCCTGGCACCCTGCCTCTGCCGCGGCCCCCCACATGGTCGTCTCCGGACGGCTATGCTGGACCTGACCACTGACCACAGAACCCCCCCATCCCCCGCCAGTGAAAACGGGTTACAGCTGCGCCACAGTATCCACTAGCCGCCAGGGCCCTGGGGTGGACCCTGAGGGCTGAGCACATGCTGAAGGTTCGCTCCTTGGTACCCTGAGGCCTCCCGAGCACTGCCAGGGAGTGAACCCTGAGCACCACCATGGGTGGCCCCCAAACAGGACAGAACATGAGCTGGCGGCTGGAGGAGGAGCTGGCACAGACGACAGCCGGCGCTGCCGCAGTGTGGGGGCACTCCATCCCCAGTGCTCCTTTCTTCCAAGGCCAGGCGGAGGGGCCCTGGGGGGGTGCAGGGCTCCGTGGGCCCCATCCCTGTCTGACTCGCGCTCTCCCGCACCCCAGTTCCCCCGGCAGGACCTGCAGCAGACGCAGCAGCAGCAGCAGACGGCAGCCCTGGTGCGCCAGCTCCAGAAACAGCTCTCGAGTGAGTGCCCCATCCCCGCCGCATGCTGAGTCCCCTGCTCGGAGTGGCCCTGCCCCCTCTGGAATGCTGGGTCCTCCATCTGACTCCATCCCAAACCCGACTTTGTTTTTGGGGCCACACCCGGCGATGCACATCCTGGCGGTGCTTGGGGGGCCATGTGGGATGCTGGGAATCGAACCCGGGTCAGCCGAGTGCAAGGCAAACGCCCCACCCACTGTGCTATCGCTCCAGCCCCTTTGTATAACTGGAAGTTTCCGAGGCCTGGCGGGGCCTCAGACATCTGGATGAGGAGGTTGGGGTCTCCTGGGGACTGAGGGCCACACCCCTCCCGGGTTGGGGCTTCGCTCACTCAATCGGGGCCTGGTGATACTGGCCAGTGGGGCCAGCAGGTCAGTACTGAGCCGGTCAGCCTAGTGGGGGTGCCGGGGGTCCAGCTCTGATGCCAGGATCTCCTATGCGCCCCCCCACATTGGGAACTTCATCCTTGCAGTGAGGCCCACAAGGTGTGACCCCTGGGACATGGGTTAAATGCCAGGGGCGTGAGAGGAGGGGCTGGCTAGAGTACAGGAGCAGTTTTGTGGGCTGAATTTTCTGCGGAAATTGATCCTGGGCAGGGGAATGTCCCCTCTTACACCCTCGTCTCTGCCAGTCAGTCGGGAGTGATGGGTGTCCCCCAAGGTGTCTTCCCAAGACCCTCTTTCATCCCAGAGAGCCCCATCGGTCTTTACCGGCTGCTGCCGTCAGGTGTCATCTCTCAATGGACCCCATAAAATAGGGGTACGGGGCTAAAGTCCTCATCCCGCACACGGCCAGCCCAGACTGAACCCAGGAGCCACATAGGTTACCCCAAGGATGGCCAGGAGCATACCCCAGGCCCTTCCGGAAGGATCCCGTTTTTCCTCAGGGTGAGGCTGCAGAGACCGAGAGGGCCAGAGCCCATGTTTCTGCTCACTGTGCTGAGCTCAGCTCCCATGACAGGACGCACGTGTCTGCGCCGTTCCTGCTCCCCAAGCCCCGTGCCTGGGCATGGTTGGGGGAGGGTCACTTCATCTGGGGTTTTCTGAATGTTGGGGGAGGGGGCGCAATGTCCAGTGATATTGGAGGCTACTCCCACCTCAGTGCTTGGGGACTTGGCTCTGAATTACCCGCACTTGACCCTCAAAGCCGCCTCCCCAGCCCTCACCTCATTCTAGGGTCCTGTGAGAGACTCTGCTGGCCCCCAGCCGGGGAAACAACCCCCAAACGGAGGTGTAAGGCGAGCCAGGGACCACAGGCCTCCACCCCCGTTGCACCCTTTGGTGCTGCCTCATGGCTCCTTCGGCCTCATGGCTGATCAGGCCCCAGAGGGGACATCTGAGCAGTGGTTCTCTGCACACACGTGAGCACATACGTGCACGTGTGTGGACAGGCACGCACCTCACTCGCACACACACAGCCACCCGCCAACACACTGCACGTTTCTTGCAGTCACGCCCGATTATGACATCCCTGTGAGGTGTGAGGTGAGGTCGCGCCTGTCTACACAGCACTCACCCGAGTCCAGATCCAGCCCTCAGCAGCTGGCCTTTCAGCCGGGGTCAGTCCCCGACTGAGCAAGGAGGTCAGGAGGCTGACTTGTTCTCAGGAACACGGTGGGGCCTCACCTCCCTCAGTGCTGGCTTATCAGGAAACCACAACAAAAGGCTTCATTTTACTCTCTCTCTCTCTCTCTCTCTCTCTCTCTTTCTCTCTCTCTCTCTCTCTCTCTCTCACACACACACACACACAAACCCCAGCATCCACACTGTGACACGCAGTCTCCACAGGGCTGCCCTGTGCCCTGGCCCCGGACCCTGTTATGCTGGGACCAGAGCCGAGAGCAGGGACAAGGGAGGGGAACGTCCGTCTCGGGCTGCGTTTTGCACCCGGCACGGAACCCAGCGACCTGTCTTTGTCCCTGCAGGCAACCAGCAAGGAGTGACCCCCTACGGGCACCCATCACACTTCTGAACCCGGAGGAACGAGGACGAGTCACGGCGCGTGTGTTTGCACTGAAAACTAGAAAAGCCACGACCAGGCATCCGTCACCCTGCAGACTGGCCCTGTGTTTCTTTCTGTCGCCGTGTCCCGTGTCTTCTTGCTGCCTCTCGCGCCAAGGCCGTGACAGCGGAGAGCAGGTGGCCGGAGAGAGAAGGCAGGCTGCGTGGTTTTCTCTTTGTTGCACTCGACCTCAGAGGAGGTTTCAGAATGTGGACCCTGCCGGCCTTCTCCCGGAAGAGCTTTTGAAACCGGTGCTTTTTGGGTTTTTTTTGTTGTTGTTTTGTTATTTTTTTTTCAATTTCATCGCTATAGAATTATGAATTTAAAATATCTATTCATGAATGATATTTTTTTTCCAAACTGTGCCAGACCAAACTACTGATCTGAACGGCCTGTCGATCCCTGACCAGACAAATGACCCTTTATTTATTCTGCAAGCCCCGTGTAGGAAGAACAGACCGTTTCCACGCGCCACTCGCATTGAAATGTTCATAACCACAGAAGCACTTCATAGACGTTTTATTTCTGGGTTTTTTTCCTTTTTTCTTTTCTTTTCTTTTTTTTTTTTTGTGTGTGTGTATGTGTGGTCAAAGGGTGTTGAGCCAGATTGTTACTTCAGCCCTAACCCTTCCCCATGGATGCTTCTGGGACACCCCTCTCCTTGGAGAAGCCCCTGAACCCTGGTAGCTGTTGCCCTCACACTTGTTTGCAGTGACAAGATCCCAGGTCAGAGGCTTTTCACGGAGAAACTTGTAAATCCTAAAGGCCAGAAAGCAGCACGGGAAAATCACCACCGTGACCTGGTGCCAGGTTTTGGCCAAAATGACAACCCCATTTGGGGTCTCTCGGACCTCATGCAAGAACAGCGAGCGCGTTGCGGGCCTCAACCCACCCAGTGGGTCCCCTTGGACATCACCTGGTTTTCAGGGGGACTGGCCCTAAGTTCAAAGTCTCTGGTTTTCATAAAAGATGTATTTGCTGTTTATTTTGTATGGTAAGTATTTGCTATTTTGAATTAGATTCTTGTTGGTGTCAGTCTTGGTTGTGGGTGGCAAATACCATATTTATAAATGGGTGCAGGAAAAGCACAAGTAAATTATACATCAGATTTATTATAAAGAAATAGTAACTATTTTAACTTTGTTCAAGTATGTGGTAATTTGCTCCTATTAGAGTTTAAAAATATACAGTAAATTATCAGTTTGTGTAACTTAAGAGTATTCCATATAATATTTTTTTAGATTTAGATGCATAAGATTTTGAATGTGAAAATTGCAGGGCCTTTTCAAACACATGTGGGGGATATTTTCCCATGTTCTGTGTTCGATCATTTCCTTTGACCATATGGTTTTACATGTAATGTAGTCGGGCATACTGTGAATAGATTTGTCTGTAATGAGCAAACCATGTAGAACTACCTTTTTAAGAAAACAAAAAACAAAAAACAAAAACCGAAGCTAGTACAAACTTCAGGCGATCACTTCTTCTGCAGACCATCCTCTAACCTCTCTTCCTCCTCGGGTCCCTCATTGCAAAGTTTGCCTCCTGCAAACGACCTCAAGGCAGAGCCCCGCCCGCTTCCGTGCCGGCAGCCTCTTCGTGGCCAGCTTTGCCCACTGTGAGCCTCTCACTCCAGCCCCATCACTCCGTGTTTACTCTGGGCTGGGAAAGACTTTGCCAAAACATCCAAGACCATCTCTTTTTCACTCCATTAGCAAATTCTTGCCCGTTTTGGCTGATTTGGTAGATCAGGTAATCCCCCACCAACCCCGCCCATCAGCCCCCTGGAGTCAGATGTAGCCGGGTTCTCTGGAAAGTTCTTTCCTCTCCCAAGTCCTGCTCATCCATCTCATGACGGCCTTGGCAAAACTACCGAACCGCGAAAATGTTGTGCCTGGTGACCGCATCGTCTCCGTCCTGGCGGTGGCTCTCTCTTTCCCGGAGCGACGGGGGTCTCACGCGTCACTTTTCCGTCGGAACCATCCATTTTTGTAGCTCCGTGTTGCAAATGGCAGCAGAGCTGCCTGGAGAATGATTGTTGCCATAGCATAGCGTTTGTCCGCACTTTATGTTTTGCAGTTAGTGGCATTAATTTATTCGTCCTTTTGCACACGAATGCTGTGGGTTACGCCCGTCTTTGTGTTTTGGGGGGGGTGGGTGAAGTAGTAGGTGAAGAAGTTAAGTCGCGGTCTGGCTAATTCAGAGTCCGTGGAAAGTTGAGAAAAACCCTGGAGCTCTTTCCCACTGAAAGCAACTGAAATCTGTCTTCTATCCATTCTTTCATCAACTTCCACTTACTGCTCGAAGGAAGGAGAGGGTTCTCTTTTTGGACAGACGAGCATTCATATGATGCCGGGGGAGGAAGCCCCGTCTTGGGGCTGAGCTGGCCTGTGACATGGGAAGCATGGCAGGAGGCTTAGAAATGGACAGGGCTGCACCTCAGACCTGTTTATGCTGTGAGCCCTTGGTCAGGCCCTCGAGGTGAGTGTCCTCATCTCTTGCGACCCTCAGCAGCAGTGGGCAGTCACATTGGGTCCGAGTTGGCACTGTGATCCCAGGGAAGCATGGGCCTTGGCGTTGGTGTGTGCACCGAGATGAGCCCGCAAGCCCCGTGTCCTTTTCTCTCCTCTTCCCTGAAGGCCCCCTAGGATTCTTCCCCAATAATAGGTGGATGCCTAACCAGACGTGAAGGAAACAGCACTAAGTGGTCCCAGCCGAGCACGGTGCCCCCTCATTTCATTCAGGTTGAATCAAGCCTGTCACGGAAGTGAGTTCAGTGAACTGCAGGAAGGAAGCCGAGGGAAGCTGCAGTACCTCAGTGCGGGTCTGAGATGTAGATTCTTCTAAACCTTTGCCTGGTGTCAAGGATTAACATTTAGTAAAACCAAAATCAATAATGTTCACAGAGCAGTGATGACCGCAGACCACTTTCCCCATTCTCAGCTCCAGACCCAGGCTACTTGAGCAAGAAGCTGCCGCTGTAAAAAGATCCCACTGTAGTGTTCAAGTAACGGCTGTTCGGGGACCCAGATAAAATCAGCCCACCTGATGGTGCAGGCGTTGGCCAGCCGCTGGCCTGCATTTGTTTGAAAATGCGGTTATCACATTCTTGTACTCCCCACCAGCGAAAACGTTCTGTGTGTGCAAATCGGTGATCCTTAACGCCAGCCGTCCCGTGGCATCATTTCCCTTCTAGGTTCGACTAAAAATATTTATAAACCAGCCCCAGCATTTATCCAAGACCGCCAATCAGACCTTTCCCCAGGGTCACTAGGGGAGCACTAGGCAGCAGGCAGTGACAGTGACATTCTCAGAGAATCCAGGTACACCACTCTGTTATTCCATGGCGGGACCGTCTCCATGTTCCTTGTTCTTTGTTGGCAAAATAAAAAGTGCCTTAAGTTCAAAAGTTTTGTTCTGAGAACCACTCAAGAAGTCAGTATCCGTTCACCAAGCATTTCTTTGCCACTTTATTTTGCATGTCCATGGTGGATTTGATATTGTAAATGTCTTCAACTTCATGTATATGCCTATGGCTGCCTTTGATTAAACTTCTTCCAAAAAAACAAACCCGTGCACAGGCGTGGTCTGTGGGGACACTGGGCTCGGCCGTCAGATGACCCGCAGGAAGGTGACCGCCGAGTCGCTGCCCAGCGAGTTCCTGGCAGTGCATTTGTAGGTCCCCGAATCCTCCGTCTGCGGGTCGTGGAGGACCAGGGTCCCAGGCTGCGTGACCGGCTCCGAGGTGCTGCCCCGCCGGGCCCGGGGCAGCGGGGGTCCCGCCGGCCCCTCCCACGTGATCAGCGGCCGGGGGACGCCCAGTGCCCCGCAGGACAGCCGGACCGCAGTGCCTGTCGTGGCCAGCACGCTCCTGGGCGGCCGGCGGGTGATGCGGGGCGCGTAGGCCACCACCGTCACGGGCACCGCGATGTGGGCGCGGCCCGCGCTGTTGCGCGCCTGACACACGTAGCTCCCAGTGTCGCGGGCCTCGGCCGCGCGGATGACCAGAGTGCCGTTCTCGTGCAGGACGTAGGGCCCCTGCGGCCCGGGCCGCTCCAGCACGGCGCCCGGGGGGGACCGTCCACGCGAGCCGCGGCTTGGGGCTCCCGTCGGACACGCAGTGCAGCCAGAGGGGCTCGCCCCAGAGCCCGAACACGCCGCCCAGCGCGGGCGTGAGGATGACCGGCCGCTGGCTCACCTCCACCACGACCAGCTTCTCGACGTAGCCCGCCGCGTTCCTGGCGGTGCAGCGGTAGCGGCCCGCGTGGCTCCGGGCCGTCCTGGGGATGACCAGGGACGCGTTGCCCGCCGGGCCGGCCCCGGGCAGCCGCGTGCCGTTGGGCAGGACCCAAAGGATGTCGGGGGGCGGGTACCCGTCGGCCGCGCAGTGGAGCGCCGTGGGCCGGCCCAGGCGAGCCACCACCTTCTCGTGGGCCGGGCTGCGGAAGCTGGGCCTGCGCGCCGGCTCCAGCACGTCCAGCCGCACGGCCAGCGCGCGCTGCCCCGGGGCCACGCACACGAACTCGGCCGCGTCCGACGGCCGCACGTTGCGGATCTCCAGGCTCCCGTTGGCGTGCACCGAGAGGCGGCCGCCGTGGTAGGGCGCGCGCAGGGCCACGGCGCCCGGCAACAGCCACGTGGCGCCGGGCGCGCAGGGCAGCAGCGCGCGCGAGTGGCGCCCGGCCGTGGCCCTGCGCACGGGAGCGGGGCCCGCCGCGTCCTGGACGTGCAGCTGGTACGTCCGGGCGTCGCCGCCCCCCGGGTTCCGGGCCACGCACACGTAGGCGCCCCCGTCGCGCGGGGTCACCCGGCTGACGGCCAGGGAGCCGTTGGCGTGCAGCGCGTACCGGCCCCGGGAGGCGGCGACGGTCACCCCCGAGGGCAGCAGCCAGAAGCGCGTGGGCGCGGGCTCCCCGGCCACCTCGCAGTCCAGCACGGCCGTGTCCCCCGTCCGCACGCGGGGCGCGGGCGCGGCGCCCGGCTGGATGCGCGGGGCTGCGGGGACGACGGTCAGGCGCACCCGCATCTCGTCCCGGCCCAGCGCGTTCTGCGCGCGGCAGGTGTAGTCGCCCTGCTCGGCCGCCCCGACGCCGCTCAGGTGCAGGGTGCCGTTGGCGAAGAGGGTGAGCCCGCGGGCGCGGCGGCCCCCCGGCCGGGCGCGCGCCACCGAGCCGTCGGGCAGGACCCAGGAGATGTCGGGCGGCGGCGCACCCGAGGCCGGACAGTCCACGCGGAAGGCCCCACCCTGCCGCACCTGCTGGCTGAGCAGCGGCTCCCCGGAGATCCGCGCCGCCTCGCGTCGCAGGCCCACGTGCATGGACACCAGGTCCTCCCCGCTAGGGTTCCTGGCCACGCACAGGTAGTCGCCCTCGTCCTTGTCGGCGGCCGCGTCGATGGCCAGCGACCCGTTGGAGTAGACGTGGATTCGGCTGCCCATCCTGTGGGAGAGCAAGAGAGGGGTCTGAGCGGGCTGCGGGTCGGGGCGGGGGAGGGGAGGGGGTCTGCGCTTGGCTTTAGGGACTGGGTGTCGCATTGAAATCAGCAACTGCCCTCGCTGGCCCCAGCGCCCGCATATGGTCCCGGACCCCGCCAGGAGTCACCACTGGGCACTGACAGCTGTGCCCCCTCCCACCCCCCACCTCCCTCAAAACGATCAGTACTGGCTCTATCTTCAGTGCTCAGTTAATCATTTTAGATTATTGCAGCAGGTAGAGCTGGGTGGTGTTTCTGCCTAGCCATTTAAAGGGGGGAGTTTGATGGGCCACACCTGGTGGTGCCTCCTAGCTGGGGCCCTCCCAGACGCGTCCCAGGCCTCCTGCATGCATGCAAAGAGCGTGCTCCAGCCTCTACGGCTCTGTCCCCAGCCCTTTAAGTCACTTCACGGGTGAGATTGTTAGGAATCCCGGTGCACTGGACTTCCTTGTCCACTTTATGTCCTTAGAAATATCAGGTCTCTTAAAAAATAATAAATAAATAATACAAAGTCAAAAAAACCCTCCAGATTTTTAGTCTGGCTCAGAAAGATGCCAGACCAGACATCTTAAAGATATCAGTGGCAAGCCATCAGTTACTTAAATGGAAAATACGTCCTGCTCTGTTCCATAGAAAGCTGCCTGGTGCTTGGTTCTCCAGGGCACAGCCCGCTTACAGGGGCAGAAACACCCGAAATTGGCGGTTAGAAGAGCAAGCCCAGCATTCCCCGGGAAGCCTCTGCGCTGCCTGCCATTTCCACCTTCGGCCAGCAGATGGCAGAGCTGTTCTGCCAACAAAACTACACACTTTTGTTTGTTTTGGTTTGGTTTGGTTCTTGGTCCACATCTGGCTCGCACTCAGAAATCAATGCGGGGGATGGGGGGTGGGAGGGATACTGGGACCCGTGGTGGTGGGAAATGGGCACTGGTGGAGGGATGGGTATTTGATCATTGCATAATTGAAACCCAAGCACAAAAATTTGTAAGTCTACAACTGCACCTCATGGTGTTTCACTAATAAAAATTTGAAAAAAAAGAAAAAAAAATCACTCCTGGCGGTGCTCAGGGGACCATATGGGACACCGGGGATTGAATCTGGGTCAGCCGGGTGCAAGGCAAGAACCCTACTTGCTGTACTACCCATTCTCTGGCTCTCAGCCCCACTTTTTCAGAAGGACCACTGGCAGTCAGGAGGCCACTGCCCAAAGATGAAACGAGGATGTGTCGGTCATATGCTGCCGGAGGCCATGTGCTGCTTCTGCCCACGTGGCTGAGCACATGTGGTGCCTGAGCACATGTGTCGCCCACATCTCCGCTCTTGAGATGTGTACTTTCATGCTTTCATGTCTAATGCCATGGGATGTGTCTAAGGGCTCTTTTTGCCCTTGAAGAAGCCTGTGTGTTCTCTCTCTCTGTCTCTTTCTGTTTCTGTCTCTGTCTTTCTCTCTGTCTGTCTCTCTCTCCCTTCAAAACCCCTAAAAACCCTTTAAATAAAATCTACTTAAAAAAATAAACTGGGGCTGGAGCAGTAGTACAATGGGCAGGGCATTTGCCTTGCACGTGGCCAACCCAGATTCTATTCCCAGCATCCCATATGGTCCTCGGAGCACCACCAGGAGTGTAGAGCCAGGAGTAACCCCTGTGCATCGCCGAATGTGACACAAAAAGCAAAAAAAAAAAAACAAAAAAAAAACTAGGATGTTTCTCACGTTTTTTTGGCAACGTGAGCTATGCAGGTGGATAAAAAGCCTACAGACCTTTTCATGGTATAGAATTTCTTAACTGAATCATTGGTTTCAATTTCAGTTGGTTTTTCGCTATAAACCCAAATATGAAGAGGATTGGAGTATATCATAAAAGTGATGGTCTTGTGGAGATCAGCCCGCTTCACTGACTGAACAAATAGCAGTACTCCTACTTTTTTTTAAGTGGTAATTTGTTTGTTTGGGGGCCACACCTGGATGAACTCTGGGCTGACTCCTGGTTCTGTGCTCAGGGCTTACTCCTGGCAGTGCTCAGGGAAGTACAAGCAGTGCTGGGGTTTCAACCAGGCCATATGCGGCTCAAGTGCCTTAACACTGCACCATCCTCCTGGCCCTGTCGCCTTCATATTTCTTCTTCAGTGTGGAAGGAGCATCTCTCGTCTCTCACCACGCATGTACCCTCCCAGGTTCAACCCCAGGTTCAATCCTTGTCACCCCATATGGTTCCCTGAGCACTGCCAGGAGTGAGCCCTGAGCACCACCAAGTGTGGCCCCAAACTCATAAAACCGACCTCTATAAAAGGACTTGGAGGGGAGGGGCTGGAACGATAGCACAGCGGGGAGGGCATTTGCCTTGCACAAGGCTAACCCGGGTTCAATTCCCAGCATCTCATATGGTCCCCTGAGCACCACCAGGAGTAATTCCTGAGTGCAGAGCCAGGAGTAACCCCTGTGCGTCGCCAGGTGTGACCCTGTCACTGTCACTGTTCTCCCGTTGTTCATCGCTTTGCTCGAGCGGGCCCAGTAACGTCTCCATTGGAGACTTTGTTATTACTGTGTCTGGCATATCGAATACGCCACGGGGAGCTTGCCAGGCTCTGCCATGCAGGCGAGATACTCTCGGTAGCTTGCCGGGCTCTCCGAGGGGGCGGAGGAATCGAACTCGGGTCGGCCATGTTGGCTGCGTGCAAGGCAAATGCCCTACCGCTGTGCTATAGACGTGGGTTCTGCCAATGAGTGCTCTGGAACAAGGGTCAGCCTGCCTGCGTCATGGCAGCGTCACAAATGGGCTGTTAGGCTGAAGGTTTTCTGAGAAGCTGAAGTGTCTGGTGCCCAGGTGGAGGCAGGAAGGACTTGCTATGTGGCCAGAATGCCTGTCATCCTTCCTGGGGTGGGCAGACCAGCGGTACCGCCATCTGGGCAAGGAACCTCCTCACCGGGCAGAACTTTCCACTGCAGACACACAGCCTGTCCACTTGCTTTGCTCTTTAGCTGAAGGATTTGCTGGATGACCCGGTGAGGGTTTATTCCGAGTCATGGAGGCCTGTTTAGGATCACTGCTTTGGATTGACAGGGGACAGCTCCGACGCTCATTCGATACCTCTTCACTGATGGTTTCCACTTTCTGGAAACCAATCTAAAGACCCGAAAATGTTTTCTGCTTTATCTTTCCAGCCTAAGATTTGAACTTGACCTGTAACTCCTGGGGACGCAGACATCCACTGCTGCCCCCTCTCCTACCCCTCCCACCCTTTCTTGCGGTGGTTTCTGCCTATGCTGAAAATTTGAACCACAGCTTCCGAGAATGATGAACAGTTCTCCCGGGTAGGTGAGAATACCCTCGTGTGCTGTAGGATCTATTTTAAACTCAGTCATTTCAGAAAGAATCGGCAGTCTGCGGCAGTCAGGCACTTGTAATTACTGGAAGGCAGGAAACAAGACATGCTGGGAGAGCATTAAATGCAAAAACGGATCCAATCCTAAGTACCTGTCTAACCCCGAGGAACACATATGTGGTTGCTAGGGCCAGGCTGAAAGCCCTCAGGGGGCTTGGTCTCAGGCTTTGGAGGCAAGAGGCACCAAAATGGTCCCCTGAACCCTGCAGGATGTGACCCCAAAGCCAATAACCTACAACCCCCCAAAAATGTGATTTTGTTTTTGTTTGGGGGCCACACCCTGTGATGCTCAGGGGTTACTCCTGGCAGTGCTCTGGGGACCATATGGGATGCTGGGAATCCAACCCGGGTCAGGTGCGTGCAAGGCAAACGCCCTCCCCAAAATACTATGGCTCCAACCCGAATATGTCATTTCTAAAGCGTGCATGACTTGGGGAGAAGCAGGTTGCTCACACTCTGCAGTGCTCAACTCTTACTCCTCGTTCTGCACTCAGGAACTACTTCTCAGACAATTTAAACTAATTTTAATATTTGATCAGTTTATCTACTGACTGATTTGAAAATGAATATTTAACTTCTAAGTTAAAGCTCACTAATTAAATTCAACACCAACTTGCAGAGGACATAAGAAATCTTCCACTTCTTGAAATGAGTAGAATGATCATGTATAACTTTTCTAATAAGGATATTTTTAATAATGAATAAGCAACCTATTCACCTATGTGGCCCCTAATCTTCTGTCAAATTGCAGGAAATCATTGCATAAGGTCATCAAGACAGGCACGATTACTAGCTCAAACTACAAGTGTTACTTTTTGATGGTAAGGTTTAATCTACACATATAAATTTTACTTTTTCCGTAACTGTGTTGGCCTGTTTGGACCACATCAGGCAGGATGAGATCCTAAAGTCATCCTAAAGTCACATCTCGCTTCAGGAAGGCCTTAACACCCCGATGCTCACAGTGTGTCTTAGAATGAAAGAATCAGCACAGATCATACCAACATGCAAAGCAGATGACCCTGAGACTCAGGAGTGAAGCAATGAGACCTTGACCGAACTCACAAACATCCCCGCTTTGAGGGAAAGAAACGACCTCGACTTTTACTGCCACCACCACTTGAAAACTGTCCCCAAGGACAGACGCAAATGAGATTTTCATTCTGCTTGTTCCTACACAGATGCAATAAGAGGTTGGCCCTTGGGCCCGGGGAGAGAGCACAGTGGGCAGGGCGCTTGTCTTGCATGTGGTCAACTCAGGTTCAAGCCCCAGTGCCCCATATGGTCCCCTGAGTACCACCAGGAGTGATTCCTGAGCACAGAGCCAGGAGAAACCCTGAGCACTGTTGGGCGGATCCTCACTTCATCCCCCAAAAAGAAGCTGGCCCTTGGAGGCAGGCCTGGAACATGCAGAGATTTTGCTAGTTCAGCTGATCTCAAGAGGATTACTGTTTTTGGCATATCGAATACGTCATGGGTGGCTTGTCAGTCTCTGCTTTTATATTTTAATCAAGACTGATTCCTCCGCCCCTCTCGGAGAGCCCAGCAAGCTACCGAGAGTGTCTCGCCCACACAGCAGAGCCTGGCAAGCTCCCCGTGATGTATTCGATATGCCAGACACAGTAACAACAAAGTCTCCAATGGAGACGTGACTGGGCCCGCTCGAGCAAATCAATGAACGGGAGGACAGTGCAGTGCCACAGTACTCAAGAGGATTTGCCCTCAAGGGTTAACTTAATAGGCCCCTCTGGGCTGTTTGGGCCTGTGGCTAAGCCACACTGGGCCACCATCCCATCAACAAGCTCGTTTCCGTTTGGCACCCAACCCGGGCCTTGTGCGTGCCGGGCCATGCCGACATCGGCTCACCTGTGCTGTTCCTCCACCACTGCTTTGGACGGCAGCCGCCAGAGAATCCGGGGCTGGGGCTGGCCGGTGGCCGAGCAGTCCAGCCTCAGTCTGCCCCCCAAGTCCACCTCCGTCCAGGTCGGGGAGGCCACGTAGATCTTGGGCGGGGTCCCCAAGGGCTCCACGGTCACGAGGACCAGCCGGGCGTCAGAGCCTGCAGGGCTGGTGGCCAGACAGCGGTATGTGCCTTGCTCGGACGAGGCCAGGTCACTCACCTGCAGAGTCCCATTGGCAAACAGGAGCAGCTTGGGCGGGGCTGGCTGCAGTGGGCCCACCTCTGAGCCATCAGGGAGGACCCAGCGCACGCCGGGCAGGGGGACTCCGGTGGCCGTACAGGGCAGCCGAAGACTGTGACCCCAGGTCCCTGCCACCACCTGCCTCTTCGGTTCCAGAATAACAGGTGGGGTGGCAATGACCTGGATTTTCACCTGCAGCCAGTCCTGGCCGGCCACATTGCTGGCGGTGCAGCGGTAAAAGCCCTGATCAGGAACGCCGAGATCGCGGAGGACCAGTGACCCCTCCTGTGTCACCTGGGCCCGCCCCGCCCCGTCGGAGAACTCGGGCACCACCACCGTCTGGTTGGGAAGAGTCCAGGCGATGCTGGGGCGGGGCCTCCCGTCCGCCCGGCACGGCAGTGCCAACGTGCTTCCAGAATGTACCAGGAGCTCCTCAGCCAGAGATTCCAGCATCCGGGGCGGGTAGGAGACCACCGACAGGGTGACGTAGAGGTGGTCGGAGCCGAAGGCATTGGACGCGGAGCACAGGTACTGTCCGCGGTCCTGAATGTCCACGCTCTGGATGGACAGGGTCCCATTGTCCAGCACCTGGAATCTGCTGCCCTCCTTCCGTCCGGACAGCACAAGACCTGATGAGGAGAGAGAAACAAAACATGAGGCCTGCGGGAAGACAGGCTGCTCCCAGGGGTGGGGCGTGGGTAGGGGGTCTTGGTCCCAGATTTGCAGAATAAAAGGCCTCTGCATCCGCATGGCTAGCCAGGGCACCTCTGAGTCAGCTCACAAAGCACGGGGACAAGCATTCTGAAAAACACGTATTGAAAACCCAGTTGTGGGGCAGGAGCAATAGCACAGCAGGGAGGGCGTTTGCCTTGCACGCGGCCAACCGGGTTCGATCCCCGGCATACCATAAGGTCTCCTGAGCACTGTCAGGAGTCATTCCTGAGTGCAGAGTCATGAGTAACCCTCGAGCATCGCTGGGTGAGACACCCCCCCAAAAAAAACAGACACAACAAAACCCAACCCCCCACCATGTGATGCCAAGGCAGGCAGGAGTATTTGGACATTTGGGAGAAATGTGAAGCGGGTGAGTTCTCTGGGTGTGTAACCCTGCAAGCTTCCCCCTTGTTTTGCCACAAAAGGACCCCAGAGGCAAAGGACATCTGCAAGTACCTGAAGAGACTCTGGTCCAGCGGAGGGTGGGCGGGGGGTTCCCCACAGCCACGCACGGCAGGAAGGCGTCTGAGTGGGCCAGGACTGTGTAGCTGGCAGCCCTACCCCCAACCATCTTGGGCCTCTCAAAGAGATTCCTGGAGCGGGGGTTGACAGGCAGGCCCAGGGCAGGGGTGGTCTTTCGGGCTGGGGTCTCCTGGGAGCTGCTGTCCTCTGCCTTTTGCTGCCCAGGCCAGTTGGGAGTGAGCGTTGTCACTTCGGGTGAGCCCAGACCTTTGGCCTCAGTGGCTGCTGCGTCTGGCTGGGGCCCTGATTGAGTCTCCCCAAAGTGGGGCAGGGGGGTCGGCTGGACCAGGAGGGCCACAGGGTGGAAGGGGGGCTGGGAATGGAAGGTACGGGCCATCCCCGAGGTGAAGCTGGTGGGCCCTGGGCCAGTGTTGGTAGACGACACCCTCTCTGGTGCCAGCTGCTCTGGGTCCCAACGGGGGCTGGAGCTTCCGGGCACCTTGACCCTTGTGTAGGCCGTTGTCGTCGCCCAGGAAGCTGGAGGGGTGCTTGGATGGCCCCAGGGAGGGGAGCTTGGAGTTGTGGGTGCCAGAGGGTCCCCAGGACCCAGGGCAAGGTGCGGCAGGGAGGGCGCCAGGCTGGAGTTCCTGGCAGGGGTGCTCTGGCGTTCCCAGCTGGGCAGGATGGAGGCCGAAGCTTCTCCCGTTTCCTCCAGAGCCCGCATCCTCCCTGGCTCTTGTCCCGGGCTCTGGGTTCTCAGATGCTGGCCGGTGGGACTGGATGTTCCTTCTGTGCTTCCCCATGGGGGCTGGGTGGACACAGGGACACTGGGCAAAGCTTTCCTGGCTGGGGTTAGACCCACCAGGGGCCCCGCGGTTTCCGAGGTGGGGCCGGAATGCCCACCATCCGGGGAGGGACGCGGGACCCTCGCCTCTCCCCTCCATTCCATTTCCCTTTCTGATATCTGGGCCCTGGTTCCATCTGTCTGGGCCGCATCAACTTTGCTCATTTGGGGGACGGCAGTTGTCATGGTCACGTGGAGGGGACCACCGCTAGATTCTGGGCTCCAGAGACGTGGCGCCATGGGGTCCAGAGCTGGGGGGGACAGCGCCTTCCCTGGAGGCCGGAGTCTCGGTGGGTGTGTTTGGGCTACGTGGGTGGATGGTGCTGTGGAAGGAGCCTGTGTGACGAGGGGCCGGAGCCTTGTGGTTCGCAGGGGTGCGGCATGGCGGGATGGCCCAGCAGGAGCTGTGCTGGGGGGCACAGGTGCAGGGACCTTCTGCCCACCTGGTCTGTGCTGAGCCCTGAGCCCCTCTTTCGGACTGGGGCCCCTGGCCGAGCCCTGGCGTGGGAGGACTTTCCCTCTCGTGGTCCTAGCGGTGGTGACAGAGGGCTTAGCAGGGCGGGGTGGACGGGCTGGGGTGATGAAGGCCTCTCTCCTTACTGTGGCCAAGCCGGCCACACCTGGGGGAACTGTGGGGGTGGCCGGACTCTCATCCACAGCTGTAGATGTTGGGGTCCGAGTTATGACCCCGGGCCATGGAGTACTGAAATCTTCCAGGGCCAGTGTTTCCGTGGTCTGGCCCTCCAGGTGGCCCTTCCACAGCAGAGATAGGTCAGAGACCGGGGCTGGGGGGACGCCATCTGGATCTGCTTTAGGGGGCTGACCAGGGGCCGGACTGGGCAGAGCCGGCTCTGCCGCTGTACAGGACGGGCACCCCCTGTTGGTCTTGGGGGCTGCCCATACAGAGGCGTTTCCTTCTGCAGTGCCTTTGAGGCGTGGCCTGTAGGGGTGCCGCCGACCAGCTGGAGTTCTGCGGGGGCCCCAGATTCTCCTCCGTGGGCCAGGCGTGGAGTGGCTCCAGGATGGGTGGGCCTGAGACTTGGCAGCGTGGGCCCAGCCTGAGGGGGCCGCAGAGGGGCTGGGCAGAGGGTGCGTGGGTCCATGCCCCTTGGTGCCACCAGGCAACCCTCTGACTCTGCCCGCTTGGAACCTCATCCCAGCCGTCCCCAGGGACCCCCCTTGTGAACCATCTCTGCCCTCCGTGTGGCCAGTCCTCGGAGATACGGCATCTCCCCCTGGGAAGAACCCAGGGGTGAGGGACTCCGGGTGCCTGGCGCTGGGCCACGTGCTGGCGGCAGACGTCGGGAAAGGCTGGGCACTGGCCGTGGCTCCAGGGAGGTAGAACTGTATGGGTTTTCCCGGTGGGGGTCCGAGGGCGCTCCTCAGGGGGCTGCCCCTAGCGTGCATGGGTGTTTTGGTTGGGGGATGAGCCATTGATTTTCGGGGTCCATCCGGGTCCACCTGGCTGGCAGTCGTGGCCAGGACCACCTCTTCCTCCCCCAGAGGGGCCAGTCCAGAGGACTCCTCCTCCCGGGGCGCGGTCAGGCGCTGGGCTTTGCGCACAGGGGCATTTCCCGGGGGGCTCCCGGGCGCCCCGGGCTGGTCTCTCCGCCTGGCCTTCTCCAGGAGAGCGGCCCAGTGGCGGGGGTCGATCCTTCGCACCGAGGGCAGGCGCTGCCGCCGCTGCTCCCAAAAACGCCCCCGCCGCTGGCCACCGACAGGGCGTCCAGTCTCTGCGCCCCCCAGAGCAGGAGCGGGGCGCGGCACCGGCGGGGGGTCCGGCGTCCCAAGTCCAGAGCCCTCGGTTTCCACGAGCGGCTCCCGGGGCCCCTGGATCCGGACAGCGACGCGGTAGGTCAGCACGTCCACCCCCAATGGATTGGCCGCGACGCAGCGGTAAATACCCTGGTCTCTGCGAGTGACCCGGGCGATTCTTAAGGTGCCGTTATTCAGGGCGTGGCGGTCCGTGGCAGGCCCGGGCAGCACCACGGCTCCGGGCAGGACCCAGCTGATGCGGGGGTCGGGGCTCCCGGTGGTGACCCCGCACGGGAGGTCCAGAGGCTCGTCCAGGAAGACCACCTGCGGCGGGCGGCCCTGCGGGGCAGTGTCCCCGGGGGCCTCCACCACCGTCACCCAGTACGTGAGCACGTCGGTGTCGTGGGCGGCGGTGCTGACGCAGCGGTAGGCACCCGTGTCCGAGGTGTCGGCCGCGCGCATCTCCAGGGTCCCGTCCCTGTGGACCAGGACGCGGCCGTCCCCGCTGGTGTGAGGGGCCCCGACTCGACTCCCGTCAGCCAGCAGCCACTGTAAGCGGGGCGCGGGGTGGCCAAGGCCCGGGCAGTCCAGAGCCACGGTCCGGCCGGCCAGCACGGTTCTGGCCAGCTGCGCGCGCTTCTCGCTGAGGATCAGGGTCCAGGGGCCCGGCTCGGGCTCGGGGCTCGGGGCTTGGAAGCGCGCCCGGCCGGACCATCGGAGCCACGCGGCCTGGGGCGTAGTGGCTGCGCGGTCGAGCCACAGAGACGCGCGGGCTTGCAGGAGCCAGGTGGGCTGGGCCCGGAGCGTGGCCTGGACGCCGGTGAAGGTGTCGTCGGGCTCCGCCGCCACCTGCCCGTATGGGTCTCCCGGGGCCTCTGGAAGCGCGCGGTTTCTCTCCAGCAGCAGCGGGGCGTCGCTGTACGGAGCCAGGATCTGCCACACAGCCAGGAGGTGACCCTCAGCGAGGTCGCACGCCAGCGACACGGCGAAGGCCACGTCGAGGACCACAGAGCTGTTTTCTGCGGCCAGCGCCGCCCTGGAGGAGGTGTTTCCAGGCTTTTCCACGCGGCAGACCACGGCCGCCTCGTTTCCAGCCTGGTCTGTCAAGTTCAGAGCAAGGGAGCCCCAAGAGGCCGCGAAGTCCTGAGGAGAAATGGGCTCAGGAGCACCCCAAGGCCCGGCGTTCAGGCTCCTGTCCCCCGCGGACCCCTCCAGAGCGGGCGGGGCGCACAGAAAAGCCGCCGCGGGGACTCTGGCTAACAGCTGGCCTTGCGCTGTCCTGGGGTTGGTGCAAAGTGGACACTGCGGGGGATTGGAGGGATTCCGGTCCTTTTTGCATTTGATGACGTCTAGGGGTGGGGAGAAGGGGAAATAAAAGTAAAATAAAATGATTGCTGGTTGAAAATGAGCACTGGCGAAGCCATAGAATAAGGTGTCAAATGCAAAATTCATCCGCAAAATTCGGTTGCATTGCTCTACCGAAGTGATAAACTAGGCCACATCAGGAAAACAATACAATCTGCAATTTTTAAAAAATGTAATTGTAAACCTGTACTCGAGCAGGCCCAGTAACATTGTGAAACTTCTTACTGTGTTTGGCATATCGAATACTCACGGGGAGCTTAGCCCTTCCGGCGAGATACTCTCGGTAGCTTGCCGGGGTCTCCGAGAGAAGTGGAGGAATCGAACTCAGGTTGGCCATGTTGGCTGCGTGCAAGGCAAACGCCCTACCCACTGTGCTATCGCTCCAGCCCTGTAGTATGCACAGAAGACTATGGCATGGTTGAATGAGAAAATGGAAAGAGAAGCCTTGCTTATTAATTAAGCAGCATCCTTTCTTTTTTTGCTACACCCAGGGGTGCTTGGGGCTTACTCCTGGTGGGGCTCAGGGTACCATATAGGATGCTGGAGACCAATCTTGGTTGGCATCATACTATCAGCAACTTGCATTGAACTGTGGGCCTGGTGGGCTGAGAACCACAGGTGAGGTCCCCAGCACCCCGACACCCAGATCTCAGCGGACGCTGTCCAGGCTGAATTCCTTTGTATTGAACACTTTGAAACTCACTTTCAAGAAACTCCACCTGAACTGCCTCTCGCCCCACCCCCAAACTGCAGAGTCCAGATTCTTGCTTCTGAAACAAAGGGTGGCGGCTGTCCAGGACTATGTCATCATGTTTAGGGAGGTCGAGTGATGAAAAACTGGGCAGTCGTGAAATTCTGAGTCTGAGTCTGCAGTGACTCCCAAACAAGTCCAAAATCCACTGCAGGGGAGCACAAGGCTCTCCTGGCAGTGCTCCCTTGAGGTGCAGATCTCAGTGAAAAGGTTTCAGAAGCTCTGACACTAAACTGGGGGTGCCCTACTTTCTCTGGCCTGCTTCCCCCTTTTCAGAAAAATAAATCCATCAGCACGCCTGAAGGTCCACCACATTTAAGTGAGCGGACAGTAGCGCCTGGTTGCACAGAAGGCTCTGACTGCCCCCCGCCCCGATCGTTCCAGCACACCTGGGGGGCAGTAAGTCCACACTTGAAAATGAGGGGCTCCTCCAAACACTCTCCATTTGGTGCTCCCTTCTCTATCTGAAATGCCCTTTCCCCTAGAATACCCAGGAGGGGAGATGCATGTTGAAAGTAGACTATGGACTGAACATGTTTGCCACTCAATGCCTCTTTTGCAGACCACAACACCCAAAAGGAGAGAGAGAACAAAAGGGAATGCCCTGCCACAGAGGCAGGGGGGGATGGGGGAAGGGGGTTGGGGGATATTATCCATGGTGGTGGAAAATGGGCACTGGTGGAGGGATGGGTATTTGATCATGGTATGACCGAAACCCAGACACAGAGACTTGTAAATCTACAACTGTACCTCATGGTGTTTCACTAATAAAAAATAAATTAAAAAAAAAAGAAAGAAAATGAGGGGCTAAGCCCACTCAGAAGACACAGCTGACCAGCCCACTCCTCTCTGAACAGTGCTCAGGGGTCTTTCTCCTCACTGCTCTGTGAATTCTCAGGACCCCACAGCACCCCTGACCCCAGGCAGGCTTCCAGACACAAGAAAAAACCTCGCTGAACCATGCTCCTCAGTGATGCTCGGCCCCAGTGGCACTCCGCAGCCCTGGAACATTAGGGGTGTGGCCCAGACGCAAAGCCCAGCATGCCGTTGTCTTCCCGTGCACCCACGAAGGTGCAGTCACAGCGAGAAGCAGTCCCAGCCCTTCTCCCCATCACACCAACCGCTGAGCCGCCCATGACCCTGACCCCTTACAGCTCGGCCCCAACCTGCTGGAGCACACTTCCTCCAGGCGGCTCCCTGCTTTCCATTCTCTGGCTCCTTGCAGCCGTCCCTCTCTCTCACCCATGTGTGGTGTCTCAGGGGTCCTGTCCCCCATGCCCTGTCCAGCTTACAGCGTCTTGGTGCTGTCCCTGACGGGTGTCAGGACAGAGGGAAGTCTAACACTGAGACATTATTTCTTCCACATTTTCCCCCTTTCTCGTCTGCCGTCTCACATTTTAAACTACATTTTAAAGCTGAGTCAGCCTTAGGCTTGACAATCTTTTACACTGGAACTAACAGCATGTCCCCTGCCTGCTCACACAAGACACTCTTCTCTTTCCAGAACTCTCTCTTCCACGGGGCTCAGGCACCAGCGGCATTACTTATAACAAGTCTTACAACAAGTTTGATCCAGGGCCAAAAGAAGTCGCGCGGCACCCACCTCCCAGTTTCAGACCCGGGAAACAAATGTTTGTGGAAGAAAGTGGATTCAACATCCACCGTCCACAAAACGCAGTGCCAGCAGCCTGATGGAGTCCGAGTGTGGACAGCACCTCTGTGCACAATATTTCCTTGATAAGGGAGAAATGGACCCATGGACCAGCTGGCACCCACCACACAGGATGACTGACCCCAGGAGAAAGTGCCAGATTTCCTCTGGGGTAAGAGAATAAGCAAAAAAAAAGAAAGAAAGAAAGAAAGAAAGAAAGAAAGAAAGAAAGAAAGAAAGAAAGAACAGGAGGGAGGGAGGGAGGGAGGGAGGGAGGGAGGGAGGGAAAAAGAAAGAAAAGAGAAAGGAGAAGGAAGGAAGGAGAGAAAAAGAAAGAAAAAAGAAAGGAGAAGGAAGGAAAGAAACAAAGAAAAAAGAAAGAAGGAAGGAGAGAGAAAGAAGAGAATGAAAGAAGGAAGGAGAGAGAAAAAAGAGAATGAAAGAAGGAAGGAGAGAGAAAAAAGAAAAAAGAATGGAGGAAGGAAGGATAAGGAAGGAATGAAGGAAGGAAGGAAAGAAACAAAGGAAAAAGAAAGAAGGAAAGAAGGAGAGAGAAAGAAGAGAAAGAAAGAAAAAATAAGGAAGGAAGGAAGGAAGGAAGGAAGGAAGGAAGGAAGGAAGGAGAGAGAAAAAAGAAAAAACAATGGAGGAAGGAGAGAGAAAAAAGAAAAAACAATGGAGGAAGGAAGGATAAGGAAGGAAGAAAGGAAGGAAGAAAACAAAGGAAAAAGAAATAAGGAAGGAAGGATAGAGAAAGAAGAGAAAGAAAGAGAAAAAAGAAAGAAGGAAGGAAGGAGAAGGAAGGAAGGAAGGAAGGAAGGAAGTAGGGAAAAACAAAGAAAAAAGGAAGGAGAGAGAAGAGAAAGAAAAAAGAAAGAAAGGAGAGATAAAAAGGAAGGAAGAAAGGAAGGAGAAAGAAAGAAAAAAGAAAGAAGGAAGGGAAGAAGAAAGAAAGAAAGAAAGAAAGAAAGAAAGAAAGAAAGAAAGAAAGAAAGAAAGAGAGAAGGAAAGAACAAAACATCAACAGTTAAAACCAAAACCAACCTTTCCTTTCCCCTTTTCTCAAGCTCCCAGCCGTGGCCCTCCCCAGCACCCTCTTTTACTACCCACCAATCCGACCCTGCCTCCCCTTGCGCAGACCCAGACCAGGAGCCGGTACCCTGGACAGAGATGGAGAAGGGACTAACCCAGGCCACTGTTCACTGGAGGGGAGAGACGGCACAGGGACAGCACCAGGACGCTGTAAGCTGGACAGGGCATGGGGGACAGGACCCCTGAGACACCACACGTGGGTGAGAGAGAGGTCAGGACACTGGGCAGGGACCCAGACCTGTCAACTTCACCTGCACAATCAGCTTGAACTTCTGATGCACCAGAGTTTTGTCTGCAAACGTCTCACACAATCCTCAAGGACTCCAGAATTTATAGACCAGCCACTGAGGTGAGCAGCAGGCAGAGTAACGCATCACCCGTTCCTGACAGGTCAAGGTGCACTAAAAGCCCAGAGCAACAACCACACAGCCTGAGAGTGACGCCCTCGTCACGACAGAATGATCTAGACCTCAGCCTCCACATTATCTCAGTCTCCTGACTTGCAGATCAGGCTCTCCGGGGCCAGTTTCCCTGGAGTAAAAGGACAGTGAAGCCCACAGGTTGCCTACCTGGCTTCTCCAGGGTCCAGCCAGCCAGCCACGAGAGATGGCAATCGCAGGTCCAGGGGTTGCCATGGAGATAGAGGCTCTCCAGGGAGGACAGGGGGGAGAGCATCTCTCGGGGCAGGGAGCTCAGGAGGTTATCAGACAGGTGCAGGTACCTAATGGACGATGTCCTGAACACCTCGAGGTAGCGCAGGGTGACGAAGGTGTCGGCATGGAGCCGGGTGAGCTGGTTGCCCTCCAGCTGCACCAGGCGCAGTGCCGTGAGCCCGTAGAAGGCCTGGGGGTTGATGAACTCGAGGCCGTTGTGGTCCAGATGAAGCCGGGTCAAGTTGCTGAGTCCGTAGAGAGCATCTCTCTGAAGCCTGCGGACTTTGTTATAGCTCAGTTTTAGAACCTAAGAGTAAAAACCACACACTTCTTTTGCCGACTGAACTTCCACCGAAACGGAAAAAGCATGGGGGGAGGGGGTATTTGTTGGGGTTCATCCAGGCCCAGGTTTGCAAGTTTGGATCCTAATTCCAACGGGGCTTTTTCGAGTGAAGTCTGAGACCAACGGGGATTGGGAACCAACGCTGGGAACATTTTATAGCAGCAAGGAACTCTGGCTGACATTTTTTTTGCAGGAAGGGGGGTGCTGGGGACCACATTTTAGGCTTACTTCTGGCTCTGTGCTCCGGGGACCACACGCAGTGCTAGGGGCTGGGGAGGTAGCGCTTGCCTTGCATGTGAAGTAGGTCAGCCACATGCACGGCAAGCACTACCTCTCCAGCCCCTCTGCTTACACTTGAAGAAACTGTGATGATGGTGAAAAGCCCCCCGCACCTCTGAGATATGCACTGGGGGGCTGAGAGCTGACACGTTAGGAGATTGTGGGTTTGCTTCCACACAGTGCAGAGATGCGGGAAATAGCTCTGGGATAGTTTGGCGCCGGGGAGGGGTCACGGGTGTTCTGCTTTTGCAAAGTGTCCGTTTCCACAGATAGGCAAAGTAAATGCATATTGATATTGCAAATTTAATTTTCGTTTTTGGGCTACTTCTGGCTCTGTGCTCAGTGTTCGGGGGATCATATGCAGTGCAGGGGATCCAACCAGGCTCATTCATGTGCAAAACAAATGCTTTAACTCCTGTATCATCTCTTGGGCCCCAAATTTAATTTCTTGAATCTATATAAGGTTTATGTATGTATATATTAATGTATAAATTTCTTTTGCATTTATAATAGATATCCCTAGGTGTTAGTCACCATTTTTTCATCACTTATGATTTGAGTATTTGTTTAGAACACAGAATCGGTGTGGGATTATTGTGGAAAATTGCTAGTTTAACATGTCTCAGTAACTTTTAAAAAAATCATTTTATTAGGTGATGGAAACACCTGAAATAAGGTGGTGGGAAGGTATAATGGTGGTGGGATTCGTGTTTGAACATTAAATGTAATCAAATATTGTGAACTACTTAATAGCACTGTAGCACTGTCCTGTTGTTCATCGATTTGCTCAAGCAGGCCCAGTAAGTCTCCATTGTGAGACTTGTTGTTACTGTGTTTGGCATATCGAATACGTCATGGGGAGCTTGCCAGGCTTTGCCATGCAGATGAGTTACTCTCGGTAGCTTGCCGGGCTCTCTGAGAGGGGTGGAGGAATCAAACCCAGGTCAGCCGCATGCAAGGCAAACGCCCTATCCACTGTGCTATCGCTCCAGCCCAACTACTTAATAAAATAAAAATAAATTTCAAAAATCATTTTAGGCAGTGTGGTATACATTATTGATCATGGGGCTCATGCAGTAACATACTCCAGCACCCCACCCTCCACCAGTGTGCTCTCTCCCCACCACCATGAAATCCCCCCTCTAAATCCCCCCTCCCACCTACAGGGAAATGTTTCCAGTTCTGTCTCTGTTGCCTTTGAGTATTTGTTGCTTTACTATGTCTCTTTGCAGCCTATGTATGAGAGAGGTCATCCTGAGCTCGTCCCTCTCATGACTAACTTCACTCAGCACCATGCGCTGCAGATCCATCCATGGACATTCACACTGCATAGTTTCCTCTTTTCTTATTGCTGAAGATCCAGCACTCATTCATGATTTAAAAAAAAAGAAACTTTCGATGAAGTGAGGGTTGAAGAAAGTTTCTTCCACATAGTTAAAGCCATTCACCAAAAGCGCTCAGCAAACATCATACCCAATGGTGAAAAATTGAAACTCTTTCCTCTCAGATCAGACACAAGCCAAGATGCCCACTGGTATCACTGCCATTCACTAGAGGACCAGCCTGGCCATAGCAATAAGGCAAGAAAGAGATATTAAGAGCGTCCAGACCAGAAAAGAAGACGTCAAACTCACTTTTTTGCAGGTGACATGAGTGATACTGTATCTAGAGAACCATAAAGAGCTGCAGAAAAAGCTCCTAGAAATAATAGATTTGTGCAGTAAGATGGCAGGTTTCAAAATCAATGCACAGAAGTTCATGGTACAAAAAAATGAAACAGAAGAGAGAAATTTATATATAAATTTATATATATATGATTTTGTAAAATAAATTTATATATATAATTCACAAATGTGTCTCAGAAAACTTTTTTTAATACTGTAAAATTGTGAGAGGTTTTGTAGATTCACAGAGTTGTGAATATATTATAGTGTACTAGACTATAATCTTCTCCCCACTATCAAACTTGGAAAAAATTTCATTGTTCCAAAATTGGGCTGGAGTGATAGCACAGTTTGCCTTGTGCACAGCCAACTCTGTCGACCTGAATTCGATTCCTCAGCCCCTCTCAGAGAGCCCGGCAAGCTACCGAGAGTATCCTGCCCACACGGCAAAGCCTGGCAAGCTACCCATAACATATTCGATATGCCAAACATAGTAACAACAAGTCTCGCAATGGAGATGTTACTGAGCATGCTCAAGCAAATCAATGAACAACTGGAGGATGGTGCTACAGACTGTGTTCCAAAATAAAATACAGCATCCATTAGGATTCTCCCCTCACCCACTCCCTCACTCGAAGTCTTAGAAAAACCACCAGTTTACTCTATTACTATGGATGTGCCCGTGCTAGCCCCCACATCAAGGGCATCGGACAATAGGTGACATTATGGCAGGCTTTTCCCAATTAGCACAATATATGCCCAGCCACTCCCTATTGGAACACCAGCTCTTCAATTTCTTCCATCACCAAATATTTTTTTTCTTTTTGGGTCACACCTGGTGATGCACAGGGGTTACTCTTTGGCATTGCATTCAGGAGTTACTCCTGGCCGTGCTCAGGGGACCATATGGGATGCTGAGAATCAAACCTGGGTTGGCCGCGTGGAAGGCCTACCCGCTGTACTGTCATTCCAGCCCCACCAAATATGCACATTTGGGAGACTTTCTACTTTGGGGCATTTTTCTCTATACATTCATAACATTGTATAAAAAGCCAACTTTATCAAAGGCAGCATTTTTTTGCTTTGTTTTAGGGTCACACCTGGTGATGCTCAGGGCTCACTCCTGACTCTGTACTCAGAAATTACTCTGGCAGTGCTTGGGGGACCATATGGGATGCCGGGGATCAAACCTGGGTCGGCCATGTAGACAAGTACCTAACTCACTGGAAGAATACTGCTCCAGCTCCAAAACAGCAATTGTTTTTAGAACAGTCACAATGGATTCTCTGATAAACATGTCCAGATTGTAGTTTTTCAGGATTTAATTATAAAGTGGTTTTATTTTTTTTAATCCCAGAGTACTGATTTTTTTCCCTACAAGCTTGTGATAGGAGAAAACTATTATTCTAATCACGGTAAAGAGAGTCCAGAGTAGATAAAGCACTTGCTCTGCACACAGCCAACCCAGCTGGATGCCTGGCACCAACCACATATGGTTCCCCAAGTCTTGCCAGGAATGATCCCTGAGCACAGAACCAGGAATAAGCCCCAACACCATGGAATATAGCCCCAAAGTCTTCTCACCCTCAAATGAAAACTTTTGCAGTAGCTCTTTGAAATCGTCTCTTGATGACCAGTGTCCAGCATGCTGACTTTCAGGGTGCTATTAAATGGGTGGAAATGGGAGGGCCACCCCCCTAGCTCCCTGCTCCCTGCTCTGGTCTTACCTGCAGGGCCCCCAGGTCCGAGAAGGTCTTGTCAGGGATGGTGTGGATGCCATTGCTGTGCAAAAGGAGCATCTCCAACCGGCTCAGGCCAGAAAAGTCTGTCTCTGCCAACCTCACCAAGCTGTTGTACCTGAAGTAAGAATGTCATTTGAGGTGGAAGGAGAAGACTGTGGACTAATTCTTGGATGTCCAGCTCTTTCCCATCCCTGCTCTGCAGAGACCACCCAGGGCCCAAGACAAGACTAAACTTCAAGAGGGTGCCCTGTGCACAGGCCTTCAATGCCTCACTCCCCTCTCAGTGGCCAATCCCTGGGATGTGAATTTTGTTCTGGACATTGAAACCCACCCATTCTCTTTAAACACTCCCCACCCCCATATTACTCTGCGAGGTGGGATTCATTATTAGAATGGGCTTGGCATCCAAATGGTTTGGCCAGGATTGCAAACCCAGGGCTGTGGTGGTGATGCTATCTGGGCAAAGTCAGATTTGTTCTTCCCATGTCCTCGTGTACAAGTTGCAAATCTTACAAAGCTCACTCCTAGCAGGATTGGACGAGGTGGGGGAATCCATGAAATTCTCCAGGCACTGCTCCTCACGGGCTTTGGGGTGCTCTGTTCTGATCAGATTTCACCCCTGTGCCCATCAATGTTCTCCCTTTAGCTGGACTCTTCCAGAATGAGAGTATTCAGTGCCCTAACTCCAAGCACCTCCACTATGTCTGGCACGCAGTAAGAATGTAGGAATGACAAAGATGTCTCCACGTGTGTTTGCTTGTGTGTGAATTAAACTTTCCGGCAGTTTTCATTAAATGATTTTTAAGTGTTAGTTTGCTTGGGCGGGGGGGGGGGGGGGGGGAACTCTTGCCACCTTTTCCCACATCTCAGGAAAGATGCTTCCTGGCAGCCCAGCACCTTGTACAAGGAGCATTATGTTTCCACCAAAACACAGTCAGCAGGAAACATTTCTATAGTCACGGACCTCACAACCGGCCTTGAGTGACTCCGGATTCTAGAAGGACTTTCTCCCTTTCGGAAAAATGTTTGTATCATCCCCAACCAACGACAGATCCTCCTAAAACCCATCACCAAAGAGTAATAGTGCGGGGGTCCCCCGCTATTTGCCACAAGTGACGGGACTGGCCAATGCATCTTTGCAAGAGGACAAAGGGCCACACATACCCTAGGTTGACACGCTCCACGTGGGGCGGGAAGCCGTCGGGGATCGAGGTCAGGTAGCGGAATGTGCAGTGCACCTCGGTGGGTAGGTAACAGGTGCAGGGACGAGGACACGCCCCACACGCAGGACACGCTCCCAGCCAGCTGACTGTGACGAAGATCAGGAAGCAGAGGTGCATGAGACCCTCCACCTTCACCATCCTGCAGAAACACCAAACACAGAGCTATTTGACCCAACCATGGCGGGTAGAGGGAGCATCACCCCCCACACTCCTTCAGACCCTCTCTAGCCTGCTTGGAATGGTGGCGGGGAGAGATGGGAACCTTCATTTGTGTTTGCAGAGATGTAAATCCTGAAAAACAGAAGGTCGTAAACCAATGTCACCCATTAAAAAGAAAAACGTGGGGTCTGGAGAGATAGCACAGAGATTAAGGCACTTGTCTTGCATGCAGCTGACCCAAGTTCGATCCCCCACATGGCATAGTGTTCCCTGAGCTCCACCAGGAGGGATCTCTGGGAACAGAGCCAGGAATAAACCTTGAGCACCGCAGGGTGTGGCCCCCAAACCAAAATGCTTTTAATATGATTTAACCACAGTCCATCTGTGAACACTTTCTAAAGAAGCGCAAGTGTCCACTCATCCCCAGCTGCTGTGGCGGAAGTGCTCTGGCCAAAGCTCTCTCCTGCGGGGCCTCATCTGGAGCGCTGGGATCCAGGGGGGTGTTTATTGCTGTGGAAAGGCCGTCACAGCCATAGATTCTCACTTCTTAATGAAGGGCACAAAGCCAGAAGTGTACTCCAAGTATGGTCCATAACTGGAAAAGAAAACCCTAAACAACTGATTCCCAGATTAATACACGTATATCATCAAAAACTGGAAGCCGTAAAGAAGAAGGAAAAAGTCTTTGCCTTCCCTCCACCCAAGGTACCTTCGTTGATGAGATATGGCTTATTAACACTTTGGGCTATTTCTTCCAACTTCTAGACACACATTAGTGTGTTTCTCTATATAGATAAATGTGTGTCTTTGCAGACAAATGCTCATGTGTATATATGTGTGTGTGTCTCTCTCTGTGTGTGGGTGTGTGTGTGATGTCAAATTAAATTCTGTAACACTTTCTCATGAAATGTTGGTCTTTTCAGCTTGTTAAACTTCAGCGGCATTTTTAAGAACTAACATAATCCACAGGAGGGTGGAATCAGTCTCTAACTTGTCCTCGAGTCCCTGCCAAAAAGACACACTGCTCGTCTCTCTGCCAAATAATCCATAAACACAACAGTGCATTAGCAGCTGAAGGGGAGGGGTGCAGTCCTTGTACCTCAACTGGTGTGACCCCAGCTGCCCCCCGCCCCAGGAGGTTGCTCTCTGCTTTGGATCTGCTCCAAACATCCTCTGCTCTCTCCAGGCTTCCTTTTCTTCCTCCTCACATCTGCAGGGGAGCATGAGCAGAAAAGGAAAATGCTTCACTGGGTTGAAAAACGCGATCTGTTTCCCATATGTGGGGCCATGTCAGGGATCCAAACCAAATTTCCTTCTGAAATTCAGAACACGCAAGACTTTTTGTGATTCCTTTTCAAGAAGAGTGACCAGCAACCGCTACTCATCTCAACATTCCTTGGAGCCAAGTAGTTCCCTTTGGAGTTCATCAGTGTCTGCCCTTCCGAAAGGCTGAAGCTGTAGCCTTGACAGAACCAGGTAAATGGGCATAGATGCAGAAAGAACCGGACTATTAGTCACATTCACCCCAGAGTTAAAGGAAGGAGAAACTGCATATCCACTTTCTTCATTGCAACTGATGTCAAAAATTTTAAGGAAAGTTTGCATGATGGGAGACTCATGTTCGCCTTGTCCTATAAGCGAAGAACGGCCAAGTCTAACGGCTAAGCCAGTTAGTTCTGAGCAGTTTTGGGTTTGGGGTTGGAAAGATGGTGCAGTGAGTAGGGCATTTGCCTTGCACAGGGCTGACCTCGGTTGCATCCCCTGCATCCCATGTGGTCCCCTGAATATTTCCAGGAGTAATTCCTGAGTGCAGAGCCAGGAGGAACCCCTGAGCATACCTGGTATGGCCCCCAAACAAAACAAACAAACAAAAAAAATAAGCTCTGAGTTTGCCCACAGGAGTTAAGTGATTGAGAATCAAATATCTGAAAAAGCCCAAGAAATAGAAACTGTCCATACCTGAGCTCGGAACTGAAACCCAGACAGGAAAACTTCCCAGGAGAATATGCCCCGTTGCAGACCTGAGTGAGGAAAGGAAGCACAGGGCAGGTTTTGGGGGGTCCAGGGGAGAGAAGTAGAGGCACTTTGGCATCTGCCCGCTCCGAGAACCCCAGAAACACGAGCATCCCCAGGACCCAGAGTCCCCCCAAGGACCTAGAGCATCCCGTTCCTAGGTAGGCACCACTGTCCCTGCAGGTTGCCACGAATTACAGCGTCCAGTGGGGTCGCCCTGCTCCGGGAGGTTGGCGCTTTGTGGCTTCTTTAGGGTGCATCTCTGGGGTCCCACCCACGGGGTCTCCACCCTCTCAGGAAGTCTCCTGTGCCCCGCAGCAGGCGGGGAGCCGCTGGGGCTTCCGTTCCCGCCGCCTACTCTCGGGAGTGGGGGCACCCTCTGCGCTTGCACGCTGAGCCCCTCTCTCTTTCCCGGGGGCGCGTAGCCAGCCACTCACCTCTGCACCCAGGGGACCGATGTCCCCGCTGAACTCAGGAACCGGGTCTAGCTGCAGCGACAGTGGAGCCGGGGAAGGAGAGACGCATGGCACGGGCTTGGGGGGCCCTCAAGGGGTGTGGGCACAGCAGGATGAACCTCCGTTCAGCTCCCCTTCCCGGCCCAGCGCACAGGCCGTCTCTGGTTCCTGATTTCTCGCTCCGGGGTCCCGTGCAAGCACGTCCCTGGGGGCAGGGCAGATGGGGGAGGCCCTCCTGCACCTGGGGGCCCGGGAACCTTTGATTTCGGGTTTGTTTGAGTCACCCGGGTGGGCGGTCCTCAGCTCAGGGGGGCTCCCCAAGTTCTGCCCGCAGGGGGGAGGAGAGCTCCAGCGGGACCCGGTATGCCTGGGCGGGCGCGCGCTGAGCTGGGTCTGATGCAAAGAGCAAGAAGCGCGCGCGCTGCTGTGCAGGGGATCCGGCGCGCAGGATTCCAGGGCCACTGTTTCTGCTGGGCGGGGGGACCCCCTCACCCTCACCCCCCACCTCCGAGCAGCGCGCCTCCAGGAACGCCCCCGCCACTCAGCTCCTGCCATCCAAGACTCGGATTCCGGCATGACTATCACAATCTTTTTTTTTTTCACTCCCTCCAGTGACACGCACGCGAGCCCTGGGAGATGGTTTGCAGGGACATGCTTGGACGCGGCTCTGGGGGTGCAGCAGGGTCTGTGTCTGTTAGCTCGCCTTCCCCTGTCTGTCTTCCTCCAGCAGCTCAGTGAGGAAGGCTGATGGTGGAGAGGGGAGGAACAGAAACAAATCCCAGCTCCTTATCATGACAATAGCCTGTGCTCACTGCGGGTTTACCCTGTCAATGGGAGTCCTCTGCTTTCTCCCATTCTAACTCCTGGAAAATAGCCCCCTCCACATCTCCCCACACTCGCACTCTCTAAAAGCTTTTGTGTCCTTTCCAGTTGACAGGTGAGATCCAAAAACGCAATTCACTCCACGTCGGGCAGTCTGCTAGCAGAAGGGTTGGTTCAACTCTGGGGGGAGCCAGGTTTGCCTGCCTCAAGCTCAGCCACAAACCACAGCTGTCTGGTCCAGCGAAACGCGAGGAATGTCACTGGCCCAAAGCCATTTCCAGCGATTTATCCTGAGAAGTAAGTGAGTTAAAGACGCAGGATTGCAGGAGGGGTGGGCGGGGGTGAGGGGGGTGAGCCAGGGTTGGAAGTCGCCAGAAAGCAAGGTGGGATAGGGGTTTGGTGGCTCTGCTGACTTTAGGTCAGAAATTCGCATGTGGTATCCAAAACTGGGGCACCGGCTGCCCAGAGCCACGGATCTGTGGGCTTCCTGCACCACAAACTTTCTTTGAAAGCTAAATTCCTTGACTCCCGTCCTCATGGTTTGCTGTTCTTTAGTATTTTGTAACAAAGTCTGAGTTTTCAGATTCTTGCTGCAAAGACCACAGAGATGGGGGAGTAGGGGGAGGGGGGGAGGAGGTACTCCCCAGGGTCATTAATTTTTTTTTTGCTGTCAGTTTCCTGGTTAGGAATGTTAGCTTGTTTCAAGAATTTTTTTTTTAATGAAAGGGGATTTCTGTCATTGCTTTATGTCAGCGTTCCAGCCCCATCTCCCCTTCCCATGTTCTATTTCTGGTTTAATCTGTCAGAATCATTAGACATTTGAAAGGCATGATGGGACTAATTCTATTTCCATTTGTCCTATTTAACAGTAGTTGTAACAGTCATGTTAGTAATTGAGTTTTTATTTAGTGCATGCATCTGCCAAATGCTTTACACATGCTGCTGAATTCTCAGAATAGTCTTATGAGAGGCCGGAGAGATAGTGCAGTGGGTGAGGTGTTTCCCTGACACACAGCCAGCCTGGGTTTGATCCCTGGCATTTTCCATATCGTCCCCGGAGCCCACCAGGAGTGATCCCTGAGTGCAGAGCCAAAAGTAAGCCCTGAGCATAACCAGGTATGTTCCCCAACCCCCGCCAAAAATAACCCCCAAACGAACACAACAACAACAAAAACCCCCAAATAAATTATGTATTTTTTCAAGTCTTCTGAGCGAAGTGGGCTGGAGTGATAGCACAGCGGGTAGGGCATTTGACTTGCATGCGGCGGACCAGGTTTGATTCCTCCGTCCCTTTCCGAGAGCCTGGCAAACTACCGAGAGTATCCCGCTCACACGGCAAAGCCTAGTAAGCTACCCGTGACTTATTCGCTATGTCAAAAACAGTAACAACAAGTCTCACACTGGAGACGTTACTGGTGTCCACTCGAACAAATCAGTGAACAACGGGAGGACAGTGCTATACAGTGCTATGAGCAAGGTGCTTTTCCCCAATTATGTCTTTTTTTTTAATAATTTATTTCTTTATTGAATCACTGTGGGAAAAGTTACAGAGCTTCAGGGTTTAGGTCTCAGTCATGTAAGTATCAAACACATTTCCCTTTACCAATGCTTATTTTTAACCGCGAACCCCAATAGAACCCCACCTCCCACCCCTCCCAATTCCTGTGAGGCAGATGAGTTCTAGTTAAT